CTCTGGTCACTGTAGACTTTAATCACATCTTTCGACATTCTGGCTTTTTCCACTTTCAACCTTCTGACTTTAATATCCTTTTCTTTTTCCTCATCTACTTCGTCATCTTCATCCAAGTCCATTAAATCTTCTTGTTCTGAAAGGTCACTTACACCTGAATCTTCCGAAGTTGTTGAGTTATCACTTGAACTCGTCCACTCTGAATCCGAGTTACTGCTCTCATATTCTTGTGCAGTAGTTTGACCTTTGTTAGCTTTTTCAAGTGGGCGTTCGTCAACTCCTTCGTCTTCTGATGAAAGGTCACTTTCGTTTTCTCGCGAATCGCTAAGTTTTTTCACTTTTGAATTTTTGAGCAGGGGTTTGTCCCCTTCTTTTGCCTTTCGCCCATTTCGTCCGGCGACTCTCGGGTGACTCCTTGCTACTCGAATTCTCGTTGGTGACCTTTCTGACTGATCGGAGTTTGACCTTTCTTCGTTCGATTTTGACTTTTCTAATTCATTTATTTCTTCCAGACTCGACAGTGGCTTTTCGGTCGACTCGACCGGCGGACATTCCTCACCGTAATCGGGTGACCTTTCCCCGTTTTTTGCCTCCGTTACTGGGTTTTGCTGTTCATTCGATATTCGTTCAACTTCTTCTTTAAACTTCTTCCACATTTCACCTCTGTCCGTTAACATCTGTGCAATGTCGAATGCCGACTCTGAACTTTCTTTCGTTTCGTTCGATCATCCTTCAACTATCTCAACTGTTCCTCCTTCTCTGTTTCTTTTGCTGTCCCCTTATCAACTTCATCCTGTTGAACTGTTTCGTAACCTTTAGGTCGTTTAGGACCAACAAAGATGCAGTTTGCCATCAGTTCTTCCGTGACCCATTCATCATTTGGAATCGTTTCATACATGCACCATGTATCACCGCCTCGTTCGGGGTAGTCCACTCCATCTGGATCTGGTGCAAAGGTCACCTTTTTCTTTTGCATTAATCCCGGTAACCTTCTTTTCCGGGTAACCTGTAGTTCTCGCATCTCTTTCACATCAAATCTGGGGATTTCCTCTTCAAATTCATTCCAATATTTTTGGAATACTTCTTCGTTCCCCTCCTTTAACGCGTTGTAATATACTTCAAGTGATTCGTAGACAGGGGTACCAAGTCTTGCCGGGAAGATGATCGTTCTCCCTTCACCTTTATACATGTGGTTCACACGGAAGTCAAAGAAGAGGTCAACTCTCGCTTCTTCCCACATTTCTCCTTCCTCGTTCATCTCTTCTATCTCTCTTTCGAATCTCCTTTCGGTTGCTACCGGATCAAGAGGATCCTGGATTCCTTTCTCGACACGTTGTAACCAATGGTTTAGCCATCTTCCTCTCCCGATAATGAAGCTCTTCACGCATGACAACCAAGTCCGGTATCTGTTACAGTGATACCGCTCAATGTGTGGCTTCCACATTTCGTTTGTCCGCATGATACTTTTTACTTCCTTTTGAACGTGACCTTTAGGATCTGCTATTGCGGCACTACATTTCGGCCATTGTGAAAGGTCATCTTGGGAGGCATTTTCGCGACATTCAGCACATTCCCATTGTGGTTGTATTCTGCACGGGTCTTCAAAGTAGCCGTGATGACAACTACTAGCTCGTTCATCTGGGGTTAGTGTCCTTTCACTCGCTCGGGGTTTAACTTCTTCCTGTGCTTTAGTATCTTCCTCACATTCAATTTGGGTCACGCTTTTATCCTCAGAGGATATTTCGATAACCTCTGGTTCTTTTTGTGTTCGGTGGCCTCTCAACTGTTCGAGCGCCTTGTTACGGATTTCACTTGTAAACATCTGTTCCTCTTCGGCTATTCGTTTCAAGACTCGTAACCTTTCACTCTTTTTATCCTTCCATACTTTGGCCGTCTTTACTCCCAGTGCCTCTGGTACTGGGATAGGCTTTGCCCACTCCATGCCTGGCACAAGCGATTGTTTCGCCGCAGCTGCCGCTTCTTTCTGTGTGGCAGCTATCTCTTCAAGTGTTGGTGACCTTTGATTTTCGGTAGCAGATCGTGGTTCGAAAAGGTTCGAAGTGCGCTCTGGTTCCAAGTTCTCAGTCATTGGTGACCTTTCGCCTTCCCGTCCCAGTGCCTCTGGTACTGGGATAACTTTTTCAACATTTCCATTTTCTGTGGCTCCTTGTTCACAGTCATCTGCGATCATACTTCTCCCGTCCGGGAGAAATATGATCGCCTCATCCATGTCTGGCGCGAGCGATTCCCTTTTCCTTTCGTTGACTTTTTTGACATTTACGCTTTCGCTTTTCTTCTCCGGTGCCTCTGGTACCGGGATTATCCGTTGGCTGATCTCGTTCTGCTGCACTCTCGTCATTCCCGGTGCCTCTGATACTGGGATGACCTTTTCTCTTCCCTTTTGTGTCAGCATTGTCCGGTTTAACGTGTTTTCAATCTCCTGTTGAATCATTTGCAACTGTTGAAATGGTGACAATTCTTTTGGAGCCATCTTTTTCTTTTTGTTTCCCGGTGCCTCTGGTACTGGGATTAGCGTTTTATTAACCGTTTGAGCATTTCCCGTCTGTTTTACAAGTTCGGTGACCTTTCCGACTTGAATTTTGGCGACTGGTTTGGGGTCATCTTTTTTTTCTTCTTCCCCTTCATTATCCATCAGTATAAATTTCTTTTCTAAGAAGTCAAATCCCAGTAACACCTGTGCGTCGTCGCACTTCGGTCGGACGTAGAATGAATGTTCGCTAGTCTTTTTCCTTAAGGTCACTGGTGCTACGCAGTAGTGTGTCACCATGAATCCTGACGTTCCGCTAATTCCGTTTATTTTCACCAGTCTATCAGGTGGCAATGGGAGCATGTGGAGTCCATTCTTTTCGCAAAACGGTTTGCTGATCAGCGACGTCTCAGCGCCGGTGTCCAACATTGCGTTGACCTTTATGTCTCCCACTTTCACTTCGTGAGTGTATGCTTCAATTCTCTTGGGCAATTTTCCATTTTGAATCTTCAAGGTATGAATCTTACATTTCACAGGGATGAGCGATACTGGTCCCGGATCCATATCGGGAAGCACTTGCCCTTTAGCTGGAGTGCTGTGACCTTTCAGTATTTCACTCAACTTGTCAATCCTGTGTGGCACGTCAGTTTGGACATCGTAAAATTTTCGCGGCTTTTCTTTATTTGTTTGCTTTTCTACCGTCGTTTTGACACTGGTGACCTTTTCAGCATTCCGCACTTGCTCATTTGCTTTTGTGCTAGCTGTGTGACCTTTTGTCACTTCGTTTATCGCCTGATGAATCAGCTCCTCTTTACGGTTTTCATTTCGCTTATCTCGCAGCTTCTCAATGACTTCGCTTGTTATTTTGTCCGCTCGCTTAAGTTCGTCTTCTTCATTATCTTTCGTCTCATCTGATGACCTTTCATATGTAACCATATCGTATCCCTTTTCGGTCATCCACTGCATCACCTTTGCAGATACTTCATTGTTCGTTTTCGTTGGGTCAATTTGTGAAGACATTCCATCTGTTCGGGCTGGTGACCTGTCGTTAGCATCCTTCTGTAGTGCTTGCGATAAGTCCCGTGACCTTTCAACTGTGCTACTCTGTTGCGTTTGCGCCATCTCATTTGACCGTCCTTTTTGTTCATTTTGCGCTAAGTCCTGTTGCCTTTCGTTGCGCTTCATGACAAATCCGCCACCTGTCAACTTTTGTATGGGGACTTTTTCTCCATAATTCAGCGGTTTGTCCTTTGGCGGTGCATTTCGTCGATAATTCGCGTCGGTGAATGCCTTCTTATATTCAGCAGGATCAAATGCTGGGACTGGGTTCGGTGACCTTTGCGCTGGTTTCCCGGTAACCAACTCTTCTAATCGCTTTCTTTCGCATTGCGTTCGCAACTGTTGCATGTCCCAGTAGTCCTCTTGTGACATTCTCGCTTCCTGCTTTGCTTTCGGCGTTACAGGTATCCACATCCCGTGATTGCCATTCGGTCTGTAAGCCACTTTTCGCCAGGTTTCCTTCCGTTGCAACGTTACTGCATCGACAAGTGAGTCATCGGAGTTCTGTTGTGCCAATTCGCTATTCTTTTGCTGCGCTGTTCGCAGTGTCAAGTCTGTTTCTTGACCTTTTAACACGGCGCTTTCACCGTGACCTTTAGCGTTTGCACTTGCTCCTTGACCTTTCACTTGAACTTTTCCAACAGAAGGTGACCTTTCATCTCTACTAATAACGGTGATATTCTGCTTAATCCATTCTTGCCTTGCCAGCTTCTCTTCTTCGTCTTCTGAACAATTCCAAAACTTTGGCTTTGGCTCCCCGTAACAATCGCAACTTGGCTCATTCGCCTTATCGTTTTCTGCCAAAAATTTTCGGAATTTCGCATGCTGCTCGTTTCCTTCTTGCGCAGTGTCGTTCTGCGGTTTCTGCTGATTCAGCAGCGCCTGTTTAATCTTTGCGTTCCGTTGTGCGCGTCGTTGCGCTAACACTTCTTCGCTGCAGTACGGTGACCTTTCGTTTAGCTGCACTTTTTGCAGTGTCGCGCTACCGTCACGACAATTTCCACTCGCAGTACCATTCTGCGGTGACCCTTGGTCCCGTTGCGCGTTTCCACTCGCAGTACCATTCTGCGGTGACCTTTTATCCACTTGGACGTTTCCACTCGCAGTACCATTCTGCGGTGACCTTTGATTCTGTAACGGTATCCTTATAACCGTTCTATTTCCTTTTTGCGATGACGGCATCCATATAGCCGTTTCTCTTTGCTGTGGCGGCATCCATCTAGCCGTTTCCTTTTGCGCTGACGGCATCCATATAGCCGTTGCAGTGGTCACATTCACTGCAGTACCATTCTGCAGTGGTGACCTTTCCGTTCCCTCTTTATCCGGTGGTTTAGGGTCGGGTCGATCAGTAGGCTCACCGGTGCCTACTGATCTTGCCCGTTTCCCTGAACCGGCGCCCCTCCTTGTTGTACGCCTTGCACATTTCCTTGCACATTTCCTTGCACTTGCTCGTTTACTGGGCCCCCTCCGTTATTCTGGCCACCACCCTGTTGGTAGTTTCCGCCTCCATTTCCGCCGCCTCTATAATTTCCGCGGCCATAGCCTCTGTTCCTTCCTCTGAAGCCGCCGCGGCCGTAGCCACCACGGCCGAAGCCGCCGTTCTGGCCACCGCCATTTCCATTTCCATAGTTCCCGTTACCTTGCTGATTCTGAAAGTTCGCTTTCACCTGGTACCATTGCGTGATCAGGTCGTATCCATTTGCGACCGCTTGGCGCCAACCGCCAAGCCCGCGTAATCGTTGCCACTCGTTAAAGGCAAACAGGTTCGGGTTCTGTTCTGGTGGTGTATTGGCGAATTTGCACCCCTGTGTCTGATGGTTGCCATACATACAGTACTGGCACATCTGCACATTGTTCGCCACCCATCCGTCTATCATCTGGAACTTGAACTCTGTTCGTGACCCTTGATTCTGCTGAAAGTTATTTTGATTTTCTCTGTTTGGCTGGAAGTTGCCTTGACCTTGACCTTGACCTTGATTCTGGAAGTTTCCTTGACCTCTGTTCCAATTTCCATTTCCGTATCCGTTTCCGCCAAAATTTCCTTGTTGCGGTGCCCCTATGTTCGGGGGAGGCATATTCTGAGGTACAAGTGGGGCTATGTTCTGGGGGGCCGCATTCTGGGCTATTGGCCTCACTTGGGCCGCTGCCTGTATTGCAGCCACCATCGCATAAGTCATCGGTTGTCCTGACTGGCTGTCGATAAAGGTCACTCTTTCGGTGACCTCTCTGACTGGAGTTTCCACACGGTATTCCACTGGCAGTTGGACTGGTGCAGCCGCCATCCTCTGTTGCGGTACATTTTCAACTTGGCCTTGCCGGATGGTCACGTATTCCTGATTACGTTGACCTTTCGGCGCCTTGTACTTTTCTTCGCCCGTTGCCCAGTGTCGGAAGAAGTCCTTCGCGTCAGTTGGCGTTCTGCACTTTTGTGTACGCAAAGCCTTGTAGAGTTCATTGTCCACTCTGCATCCTTCGATTAAGAAGCCCACTGCCTGTTTTTCCGTAATGATCCGTTTTGCTTTGAACCGCATCATTGCCTGATAGTACTGATCAAGTGATTCTTTCCCGAGTTCAAATTTTCTTGCGTAGGCCTCTCGTAAGCCTAAGACTTCTTCATCTCGGTCACCGTATTCATCTTTGAATTTCTCCATCCACTCCGTTACCGAATATTCAATTCCGTCTTTTGATGCGATATCCTTTTCTCCTTCAAACCAGGTTTTAGCGGGACCTTTCAGTGCGCTGGCTATCTCGATCATGATTTGATCGTCGGTGAGCTGGTAGGTTTTCTGCGTTTCTTTTACCAATCTTGTCCAGCCATTCACGGTGTCGCGACTGCCGTCAAAGGTCACGAGTGTGTTTTTTCGAGCCATCGAGTTAAGCGCTTTTGTCAATTGCACCGCTGTATTTTCTGCTCTCTGGTCATCCTCCTCTTCGCTACTTTCATCATCGTTTTGATTTCGTTTCGCCTTTCCATAACGGGATTTCCTTGGACGCTTCTGCCGGCTGGAGGGTCTGTCCCGTCGTCCTTCGTCAATGAACACATTTGTTTCAATGTGCGGAGGAAATTGTGAAGGGTCACCTCGACTCATATGCGGGTAACTTTCCGAAGGTGGCTCTTTGTCTTCTTTGTCCTTTTCACCTTCCCGTTCCGTTTTCACGCTTCCTTTACCGGTACCAGTTCGTAATGGCATTTCAAAGTGAAAGCTTTTGCCTGTGCCCGTTTCGTGCGCCTTGCTGTAACCGGGCGGCGGTGATTCCACTGTTGTTGCCCTGACTCCATATTGTAACAGCTGTTCATCTTTATGTTTGTTCGACATGTTGAGCGCCTTATTTTCGTCTTCGTGGCGTCGGACTTTCAACTGGAATTCCTCTTTTTCCATTTTCAAATTCTGATTCTCTTCGTTGACCTTTAGCATGTGCTGATGGAGTTGGAAGGTCTTCTCCTGGATGACCTTTTCAGTGTCATTCTCCACCCTTTTAATGTGTTCCGCCAACTGGGTCACATCTCTTTCCAGTTTAGTGTATTCATCTGCTGCTACTCTTAGCTGGATTTTTGTTTGGGTGACCTCGTCCTCTCTCGTCATTGCCGTTTGGGTCATATCAATCAACTCCGTGTTGAGTCTGATGATGTCCTGTGTCTTCTGGTGTACCGTCTGTTGCCATTCTTTATCTTTCAGTTCAAGTGCCGTAACCTTTACGTCCAAGAGGTGTGCTTCATGCTCCCACCTCATGCCCTGTTCGGCAATTGTCTTAGCGGTTCCTTTCAACTCGTTGATCTCTTCGGTGACCTTTCTGTTATCCTCTTTCAACACCGTGTTCTCTTCTTGCTGTTCCTTTGCCACCCTGGCGGCTTCATTGGCCCTTCTCTGGTGATCATATGATTCCTTCTGGAGGATCCCGATATTCTCATCACGCAGCTTCAGGTCATTCCTGAGCTTAAACACTTCGGTAGTGTTTGTCAGTAGTCGCTGGGTAGCCTCGGCGAGTTTAGTCGCATAGTCATCTCTCTTGGCTTCTGCTTCAGTGACCTTTTGTTTCAGGGAGTCGCATTCGTCCTTCAATTCTGCCAAGTGCCGTGACCTTTCCGCTGTTTCCTCGGACATACTCTCGTTAAGGTCACTGACTGCAAGATGACCTTCCATTTCTCTGTCATCTACCATTTTCAGGTACTCCTCAGCGAGTTCTTTTTGGCGCTCGTATTTGATCTTCCATTCGTCCGCCGTGTTCTCCAAATAAGCCTGTTGTTGCTCCAATTCATAAATACGAGCATTGAGGGATCCCATCTGGTTTTGGTATTCCTGTCTCTTTTTCATCACCTGACCTTCCTTCACTTCGAGTTCTTCTTCCAATTCCTTTACACGTCTTTTCAGAGTTGACGTCGGACTGTTCGGTGATGGCGGTCGTACGTTGATGACCTTTCAAGTTTGTGTTCGTTCGATAAGGTGTTCCGGTATGTCCTTGAAAGGTGTCATTCCTTCAGCACGGTCAGCTAGTCTCATCGCAGATTGGAAGGACATATTCATCGTCGTTTCATCATCCGTGAAATACGATTCATTCGATTCATCTGAAACCATCGGAGTTGCAAAAAGGTCATCGTCTGCCGCTTTATCGTTCAGCGAAAGGTCATCCAGACCCAGTTGAGCGAGTTCCTCTTCGGTGACCTTTGTCTTATCAACTTCCATTTGAGTCAGGTTCACGTTTTTATCCTGCTCATTCATTCCGCTAGTGGTAGCATCCGACTGTGATGCCCCAACTAGGTCCGCTCCTCTTTCTGTGGCTTTTTCCTCCCCAGTGACCTTTGTCTGGTTCATCGGTTGACTTCCCGCCGCAGATGCGGGAGTATCCTTTCCGTCACCGCTGGAGCTCTCTTCATTCTGTATAGCTCCGAGCGCCGCTTGGTATTATGCTGTCACTGCCTTTGCTGTCCTTTCTTGCAAAGGTCACAGCCGCTCGGGTCTGTCTATCATGTCCGACTGGACGCGCGAGCGACTTGCATTCCTTCTTATAAGGATCAACTGTGCCTTGTTGTGATCCTCGGGAGCTCCTGCTTCCCTGACTGCTGGTGGATGTCAGTTCCTCTTTGTCCATGTTGATCGGATAACTTGGACGCTCCTGCCAATTGTTCTCACACAAACGTTATTGTATGGTTTATTCAATTATCCTAAAGGTCACTTTATACTTCCGAAATTTTTCTAAGTCCTTGTTAAAGGTCACTTTTCGGTTGAAAAATTTCGATTAAGTCCCGTGTAAAGGTCACTTTTTCGTTAAAAAGTTCGAGAGATTTGCCCTAAAGGTCACTTTTTGGACAAAACTTTCGAAACCGCTTTTACAGTTCAGAATTCGTTAGCGAATGAAATCCTACAGCTGCTGATATCGCTGTACTACTAATCAACTCAATTTCGACTTCGTTAAAGGTCACTGTTGGTTGCTTTCAGATCATAAAGGTCACTTAAATCAGTTTATCTCCTCAATTCCGACTTTTTAGTAAAGGTCACTTTTCGAAGTAAAAGATCACGTTCTAATCTTAAAGGTCACTTTCAAGCTCAGTTCAACTCAAAAGGTCACTTTCTAACTCAATTTCTGTTAAAAGGTCACTTTCCAGCTCAATTTCAAGTTAAGGGTCGCTTTCCAGCTCAATTCGATCAAAGGTCACTTTTCCTTTGTCTGAACTCAAAAAGTCACTTTCCGTCTCACTTATCTCATCTCAAATCAAATTTCCCATTACCGCTCAAGTTCAGCGGAAAATCCCCATTCGGGTTGTTTACTTCGATCCTATTGGTCAGCTAACTCGAATTATTCAGTTCAAATTTCAACCAATCACAGCTCAGATAACCGACCAATCACGTTGCTCCTCTAAAAATCTATATCTGCCTGACGTCACGGTCAACGGCCAGACATGCACGCCGTGTGCAAAACTCCGCCTACTTTTACGCTCAGCTCAGTACGGGCCAATAGAATTTGCCAAATTTACCAACTAGCTAATCCCGTAATTAATAACGGTTTTTCTACCTGTTAACCGTCCGTCCGTTCTACGTCCGTCCGTTCCACGGGGAGAATGATCCAGATGATCCAATTCTTCTTCCAACTCCGCTCCCGCGTCGCCGCTGTTCCGTAGCGTGCCTCGCGCTATTAGTCGGTTACTGTGCCGGCTGTGCCGTAGCAACAGTAATAGTGCTCTACTGCCAATTTGGAGGAGTCTGATCTGGCAAATCCGTCCGCCCCTTTCGGCGCTTCGTCGCTTGTGACCCACGGCTTAGGATTCGCTGAATCCTTGCCGAGTAGCAGTGACACCAGTGTAGGTCTTCGCTGAAGACTCTACACCGAGGAACACTGCCGCCTGAACTCTTGAACTCTTGCTCAGTCCTTGCAACAGTACAGGTCTTCGCTGAAGACTCTGCACCGAAAACAAGGCTGGAAATCCGATGGGAAACTTGCACCGCCTGTGGTGTTGCGCTTTGCTGTTGGACAGACCTGTGCCTTACTGGTCGGGTTTCACATCAAATAACAGGCCAACTTTGCCTGACACAAATCAATTCGAATCAGAGAACCGCTGTCGGCTCTGCTACCATCTAATGCTAGATCCAGAATGGGTCCAGAGACAGAGACAGAAACAGAATCTATCCTGTGGAAGCGAGCGATACGATATGGATCGCGAGCTATGCGGAAACACAAACGTCGCACCGTAAATCGCTGACTTTTAATAATATTGAAAGTCTGGAAAACCAAAAATCAACACTGATCGGCGCAGCTCGATCGTAAAGCGTAGAGCCAATTCAACAGTGTGCATCACTGTGCAGCACGTGCTATGCCGCGCCCACTAACACAACTCAAGCCAATCAGAAGCGAGACACAACACAGACACGTAATCCAGTGGCGTAGCGTTGCGGACGTGAACGCTAGTGAACCCCCGCTCACAGTTTTTTAATTGTTTTTAAGCAATTTTACTTCAGGTTTCGGAGTTACTGGAATCTCTGTTGCTTGTTTCACTTTTATTTCAATATTTTCTTTCAAGTGTGTAATTAAGCTACATTTTTAACATTGCACACGTAAGAAGTCAAACAACTGTAAAGCGTGCGCATATTGTTAAGTTAATTTTGTAATTGACGTCAGCTCCTTGATCTCCGAAACAAAGCCCGAAATTAATCGAATGCACGAATCAGCATGTCACATTACATTGGGTTACATTGGGTTACATTGTACGAAAACTCGCTCCCTATCAAAATGTTTTCCAGAGTGATATTTCGGGAACAGTCTACACTGAAGACATCCGTGGTATTTCTGTTTCTTTCGACACCTGCGGATAAGTAGTTCCCGATGATGAACACTTCTCCTGGTTCTTTTTCCCCGATTATAAACGGTTTTTGCTCTAAAAAGTTGCGCAGCCAAGCAAACGAGCAGTCGCAGTGCAGATTATACAGATAGTTGAGTTTGTCGTCGGTGGCGAAATAACTGTAGGCGCTTTCAGGATGCCCTTTAGTCTCCAGTGCGATGGTGAAATCTCTCTCCAGTGTTAAGCTGCGCAAATGGATCAAATCCGTGAACGTGCCCGGCTCCAGCGCGCTGATTGATGTTATATAGAAGGCAATCATTCGCAGCTGCGGCATCCGGCTGAAGTGCTTCTTCTGGATGGTCATATTGGTACAACCATTAAGCGTGAAACTGTACACATTAGGCAATAATCCCAGTTCGTGCACTTTGGCGGTAGTATTCGGCGTTTGACAATCAAAAACGCCCAGGTGTATGGTCTGATCCCGCACGGGATCGACTATATCAACGGTAACCGGGTCTTCTTCTGCCTTCCATTCGTACAAATTCAATAGTACGGCACGCTGCGGGCTGATTTGCCGTACTAGCTTGGTGGTTTTGGCTAGAAACGCGTGCGGCTTGTACACACAAGATATATCCACGTACGTGACTCCCATCTCGTACTGGCGAGGGTTTTCATCGTTAACGTCGCACAAATTGTGAATCCATACCGCCATAATCATGCATACGGATTTCTTATCTATGTGCTTTATATAGAGATTGCATTCCTCTACTGTAAGTAAATCCGTCCGGAAAGGATATGTCGCAGGCGGAGAAATTTCATCGTTTGAGGCTGTGGAATTCTTCTCACTGCAACCCGAATCGCTTTCAGCCTGCACACCTAGAAAAAAAACCTTTCATAAAAGTAAAAAAAATTGTAATTATGCAAATGCAGTACGTAGTGATAGCACATGATGCATTTTATCACATTGAGGACGTTTTAAGATGAATGTTTTGCGAATTTCCGGGTGTGTCTGGGAATGTGGCACATCTTGCAGACCTACGCTAATTCAGAGTCGCGTGACTTACCGTAGGTGTTGCAGACGAAACACAAAATTATTATTCCGTAACTCAGTTTTTCCATATTGGAAAAAATCTAATCGTGTAATACTGTATAGCAAAGCACGGCAGCATCAGCACTGACAATTGTTGGTGAAAAGTTTGCGCATGCTGATGCGTCCATTACCGTATAAATTTTCCGAACCTGCAATTATACCCTGCAGCATCACATGCAGCATGTGGGATTGATTAATGAGCTATTGAAAACTGATGACAGTGCACAAATTTCCGCCTGGTGCGAATGCAGTATATCCAGCTGATCAACCAACAGTTCTGCTTGACCAATCTTTTAATACAAAACCGAACAAAGTAATGGAGCAACTTACACAGCAATCCTGTAACGAATTGGCCGTACCGGTATTTCTGGGTCTTGAGGAAAATGTACCCTGAAGTTCTCTCAACCACAAATTTTACCGTATGTATTTTTCGTAGTGCAAAGCAGCATATCACAGCACCATAAGATGATAATATTTATTATTATTAAAGTCAGCAGGTCATATTATCGCAAATCGCATTGTACGAGAACTCAGCGCCTGCCGAAATATTTTCAAGAGTGAGATTTTTTGAACAGTCCACGCTATAACTCTCCGTATAGTTTTCGCCTTTGTTAACAGCCGGTGACATATGGTTCCCAATTACAAACACTTCTCCCTCGTCTTTCGCTTCAATCAGGTGCGGTTGTTTCTTGGAAAAACAGACGCAACCAGGCAAACGAGCAATCGTAATGCAAACGGCGAATATACTCGAGGTCCAGATTTCTATCAAAGATACTGACGTAGTACCTCTCTTTGGTAGAATTCATTAACGCCCAGAAGAATTCCTTCTCCAGTGACAAACTGCGCAACTGGATAATATCCGTAAAGTCCCCGGTTCTAACATGGAAATAGTTGACCCGATAAACTCGATCATGCGTAATTGGGGCATCCTGCTAAAGTCCCTTTTCCGCACGGTAAGATTGTAGCAACTGCGAGTGTTGAAATGGAATAGGTTGGGTGAGATTCCGAGTTCGTATACCTTGGCAGTAATATTTTTCGAATGACATTGAAATATATCTGCAAGTGTACGGTTTGATCCCAAAGCGGTTCGATGATATCTACGCTAAGCATATCTTCCCGGTTTTCTCCGCCTGGGAAGAGCAGCAAAACCGCGCGGAAAGGACTAATTTCCCGGACAAGTTCTGCAATTTCTTTTGCTGTTGATTGATTGTTGCAGCGATACGATATGTCAGTGAAGGTTTTCTTATCTGGCCCGAAGGGCGGGTTACGAAAGCACGAGGCAACGGTGGGAGTATCCAGGCATATCTTGCGTTCCCGTACGACTGTCCGGAAGAAACCACATTCGTCGTCCGTAAGAAGGTCTGTGCGAAACGGATACGTCACGTTTGAGGAAAAAACTTTTTCTGGTGCGGTTTGATTTTGGGCGTCGCTGCAGATTGTATCCACATCAGTGGCATCACCTAGAACTTAGAGAATAAAAGCCTGTCTCAGATTAGCAGTAACACGCATTTCGTGTTTAGAATGCGTTACCATTCATGATGTGGAAATAACAAAACGTTAATAATCCGAAAGTCAGGGAATTCTTCATGTTGCTGGCTCTACTCATCCTGCTCTTGTTATACATGCCTTTTTGAATATATTTCAGTAAATAACGTATCACCAGCTAATTCGGCACTGTTAAAAGTGTTATGCATGCCACCACAGTAATCATCAATAATTAGAAGTGTTATACTTGCTGATCGGTGGATAACTTTTGCCGAACCAGCAATACCTATTTTCCTGAGGCTACAGGTAGACTATTACCATTTTTGATTGTGAGTCCATATCCTTATGGTTGGGGACTTGTAATTCCGGTTTGGAAATCGCTTCAAACTGAAGTTTTTTTATTCCGTTTTCTTGTAATTGTTGATCGGTGGATAACTTTTGCTGAACCAGCAATATTTTCCTGAGGCTACAGGTAGACTATTACCATCGTTGATTGGAAGTCCATATCCTTATGGTTAGTGACTTGTAATTCCGTTTTGGAAATTGCTTCAAACTGAAGTTTTTTATTCCGTTTTCTTGTAATAAATTCCGCATGAATGCGCAGCTCATAAAATTTAATGAATGTTCTACTCTCACCTGTATCAGCAGTGAATGCTGTTTGCTATACCCTTTCCAAGCCGAAAATCTGTATTTTTCGCCCACCTCCACATTTGGAATCCGGCTTCCACTAAGGGCACTGAATGTGTTTAGTGTGAGTTTTATTGGTGCGCACGTGTAATGCGACCTCAAACATCATTTGTAGAAATTCAATGATAAATCGAAACACATAACAGTTGTTACATACTGATATAACAATATGTTTTCCGAATCTGGTAAGTGCTCATGAAACACAAAGTGGCCACCTTTATTCTCTCACTTCTAATAAATAAACGCTGCCGGAAATAGTCAAATCTTGAACTGCATCTGCATTAACTTAAGTTTTAGCTCCATTTTGGTCCTCTCATCCAACATGCAGCGTGCTAGCTGCGGTTTACTGTATTGTCTGTTGTTCTAAACAGATACTGAGCCCTTGCACAAAAGCTTTAAATCCTTATTATATGTTTACAGTAAGTCGTCAATATAATTAATGTTTATCCCGGATATCACACGACGACCGGCAAGCAACTGTGCAACGGCAACCAAAAGCGCGAACTTATAAAGCCAGATTTATCAGTTACAAATTTGTACCAAAATCTACAAACTTTAATGCTGAAATTACAGTTTCCGGTTGCCTGACAATGATAATTCCCGTTAGGTTATTGTGGGCTAAAAAAGAAAAATAAATTCAGATAAAACATGAGTATCAGCTTCGTTACCGCTGCCAGCAGAGGTGACAGTTAAACTGCTTCAAACAACATAATAAATGAAACAACTAACAGGAACATTTGTGATAACAACCAGTCAGATATGCTCAGCACAGCAAAACGATAGAAAGCCATCGATTTGTGGCCACATTATTGCTTTATGTATCAACCCGGAACTACGGCCAGTTAATGATGTGCAGCGGAAGCAGTCGCGTGCTTCAGGCAGTGACGGACCATCTTGACCGTCTGGCTGCTCCTAAACCGGCAATCGGCGCACACCAGCTGAGCGTTGCGAGCAAGACATTGATGTCCTGGGCTGAAAAGATGGGTGACCAGCTGCTGTTCGACATCCGCCGCGAACTGACAGGCGTCGCAGCGATACTTGTGCCGTTCTGTTAAACCATGGCAACCGATGGTGATCTTTTTGAGTGTCGATTCTGAGGGCTCGGTCGAGTGCTTATCTGCTTCGCAGTATTTCGGCACTTCTGTCTGTAGTTGAAAATGAACTATTTTCGAGTCGGTTTCATAATCGTATAAAAGAAACTGGATTTAGAAGAAATCTCGTCAGATCCCGCTATTTTGTTCGTTTAAAATATTCGTTTCAGATGAATTTACTTATATTCTGTACGTAAAACATTCAGTATTTCCATCCTAAATGCTAATAACTTTAAGCGCACGAAATTCTGTTTGATTTTGAGATGATTCAATCTGACACTGAAATTTTAAAAGCTGATTTGAAATTTCGAATCTCACCTCTGTCGAATCATCGGCGACACTAATGTCCTCTATTTCCGTAACGGGTTTCAAATGGTCATGAGGCTGAATCTCAGGGTCAATTGGAAGCGCCTCGGCAGAAGCATCCTCATCTACGACCGGGGATCGGTACCTGCGTGGTGTTGGGCGAGTTTCTGCCATGGTGCCCGTGTGCTGGCGTGATTGACGATGCCTGGCCGCTCGCTTCGCACCGCTGGCTTTCCACGCAATCCGTAGTTCTAAAACACAATGGCAACGCACTATTGGGAAATTCTTTCAAGAAGACAATATAGTTTATTACCATGTTCGTGGCCCTTGCGGCAGGATCGCTTATGGGCAAAGCGTTCGTATCAAAATCGTTACGACTCATCACAGTCAAAGTAGTCCAACTACACATTTGTTGTGAGGTGAGTGAAAAAAATTCCTGTTCTTTGGAAGCAAAAACACTTATTACTGAATTTAACGTGAAAAAATTATTTTTTTAGCAATGGTTTCGGGATTCGAAAAAATTCGCTGATTTTTAATACGGATCAGATTTGGCTTAAAAAAATGACTACATGGCCAATAGGAGTTGCACATAGCCTCTGTTCACTGGAAATTAGCACTTGGGATATATTCACTATGATGCGGCAGTGCCGCATCGGCTAAACTTACGGGCAGTATAAACACTGCAAATGCCGATATTTGCTACTTCGACGTTGTTCTCATTCCGGACGGTTTCACAATATGGATTCGCGTAACGGACACCGCATTCTCCGTGTTGTTCCACACGACAAAATTTTTCAAAAAGTGACAATCATGAAAGTTGGTGTCGTTTTACAAGCTTCTGAACGATATTACTAAACATTATCAAGTACGCTTATGGGAGCAACGAAGAAAATAACCCAGCTCTGGTGTGGGGTACGAGAATCCGTATCACGAAAGGTCCGCAGTTCGGTAAACGTCGAAAAACACAAACTCTGGTATAAATTTTGGACCGCAACAGCAGTAGGCATAGCCTAAGTATCCACAAACGCTTCCCAAGAGGAACAGCCATACTTCCTACGCGTAAAATCTGGGTTCGAACAAAGAAGCGTCGGCTTGCACAATTCGCTCACAACAAAGCTCTACATTTTTAGTCGTACGTTGTAGCTGGTTATAAAACTGAATTAGGGTTCTCACTCTGAATATGGCGTTGCAAAGACTGAAATAGTGTCCATTAATGGACACAGTGTCCATCATTGAAAATAGTTTGTCCATCATTGCTGCCAAAGGTGTCCATTTTTGTAAAATTCAAATAAATTGTAAAATTTAAATGGGGGTCTATTAATTTTAAATTAAATTTCTCGGTAATTGGGTTTTCTTTGTTCTTGCTGTTTGATCAGTTGAAATAATTTGTTTGGTGCATATCTAAGCTCATACTCTCCATACTCGTAGTACAGATACTGTCAGATCACCTTGTCGCTGTTTGCTAACTTGCCGGTCAAGGCGTATTTCGGCAGCCATCGGTCGGTCGGTCTGTCTTCTAAAGTACTAACACATACAGAGTACAGTCTGAGTACTTACCTATTTCTTCTTGCAAATCGCAACTGGTTAGAGTGAAGGTAAGAAGAAAAAAGCGCTGGGAATTGCGGTTATACCGCGGAACTGCGGTTATTATATATGTGCGGTTGCGGGTAGAAAGATGGATACAGTACTTTAGACACCGTCCGAGAGTGCAGGTCGACGCGACGAGCAATCTTGTCCAGGTCCATGTTCTCGTCAAACAGCTGGATGATCAGCTCTTCCTGTGCATGTGAAACTCTAGAACTGCTTCGGCTGCCACCTAATACAGAGGAATAATGCATCAGGGTTCCGTGGTTCCTGTTTTCTGCTAATTGTTAGGTTTGCGAGAATGATAAGAGTACCTCGCTGCGATAGTGTTTTACCGAGCAGCACCAGCTCCCTCTGTAGATCATATTGTGAGACCCCAGCGCCTGTGGCGATGGCCTTCCCCCTGAAACCCTGCTGGAAAAGGTCGCAGATCATCTGGCGCTGATGGTGCGTGATCTTACGCGGAACGCGTTGACGCTCAGCTGGACGCGGGTCGGTCATGTTTCCTTTTGGTACGGGAAATTCCGGAGACCCACGATCGTCAATCGCTCTTTCCGCTGCATCTGGGTTCCCGATAGCTGCAAATAACATAACGAAGTCATTAAATCGTTGCGATTAATCGCATGGGGTAAACATTCTCAAATTTGTTAGCAGCTATGGTTTAAGAGCCAATTATGGTCCTACCCTTTTGTGCCAGGCGACTGGAGCGCCGTCGCGAAATTCCCGATTCCATAATTTTACACTGCTTGTCTGTCAGCTCTATCAAAGTTCAAGCCAGATACAGGTACAATTGTTTTACGTCAGAATACATCAGTAGTTTTGTCGAATCGGTTACATGTAGTAAACGTTTGAAATAATCATCAAAATATAGCGCTGCTATATTTTGATGATTATTTATTATTAATTGACAGGCTAGAGTTACGACTGGGGAGAAATTCTAAATGAAACTGAATGTGTAGACAGGGCGCCTGCGCTATGCTATTCTACGAGAAAACGAAAAAAACCTTAACAAAGGCGCACTCTCGAGAAAGCAGATTGGGGCAGCGTTGCTGCACCGGTCTCTATCTTATGCTTGCTGAGCCGCTGACCCAGCCGGCTCACGAGAAAGAACGCTAAAGAAAGAAAACTGACAGCAGTCAAAAAGCTGTCAAACAAATGACAGAAGCCACAAATAAAAGCCGGATCAGTGTCCAAAGCGCTATTCGCTGACTGCAAAACCTGTGGTACGAAGTAGCGGTTTACTAAGTAGAGCATCCGGTAAAGTAAATTCTCATGAACATTTCACGCAACTGCTAACGCTGCTGAGCTTCATCCTACATCCGCCATGTTCGGGTGTTTTGTACAGTTACGATAGTTTACCTATTTTAATTTGTGCTTAAAAAGTTTCTAAAAATGTGTTGACATTAATAGTAACCGTCTTGGCATCAAAGAAGACTTTAGGAAGATATCAGCCGCTGTAGAATAATAGCACAACCGCCACAACGGGTTGAAATGTGTTAAAAGTTTTGTATCGCCATTGTGAACTTATAACAATAATGTTTATAAAAAAGGTAATATACCATATTTAACGGAAACTCGCTTACCGGCACGCTGTAAAATTGTAAAAAATGAAGTTTCAGCAATCTGCATCTTAGCTCAAGCTTAAACATAACGGCGTACAGACGCCCTCTTTAATGGCCGTATTGTTAAACTGCACGACCCGTCCCGGCGATATTACAAGGAAGCGTTGTAACTTGTAACACGATACGGTATTTCCTTTCTCCTTGGTATACAAATATGGGTTTTGTAATTCGGTGCTACTAGCAGTACCGCATTATAGCAAAAACTGAATCAGGAGGAAATCGCCTGACATGGTCCTAACAAAGCAGACACGTTTGTGACATGACAATACCGTACCTATAGACTGTAGCTATAGGTTTACAAATGACAGTCAAATAATTCAGGTAACATTAGCTTACCCAGTACCATCATTTATTACCGGAATCACGATCAGAATTCTCATCGTACTCAGACGACTCATAGTAGCTGTGGGGCAGCTCGTGCAAACAAGTTTGCACTTTGCACAATCTGCAGAGAACAAACGTAAAACTACAATTTTCTTAGTATACTTGACTTCACTAAGTCTTATACAGAAAACGCAGCTGAATATTAATAAGTTTTTTAAATTGGCAAGGTCTGATCTAAATGAATAGAATAAACCAGAAGGTTCTCATCTACACTTTTATAAGCTTCGTCACAAATGCGTTTTGTGAGAACAATCTCGGTATGTAAAGATTGCAAAGGAAGCAATTTCATTTTCTTGCAGAGAAGTGCAAATTCTATTAAAAACTCTAAGCATATAGCCATAATTCGGATGTACTCTGCCCCAAATATTCGCTCTACAGATAGTTTGTTTAATTTATTGATTTGCTACAGGCCGGACTGCCGATTTGGAAGCCGACTGCAGTGTGCGCAACCAATCGGTAACGAGCATTCCGTTTTCGTTACAAACTGTTCCATCTTTCCGCAACGACACATTAACAATGGACGAATGTATTGCGTACCATGCTCGGCAAGCCGATGCCCTCATGTGTGCTATCGTCTGGGAGCTGGAGATGTGCGCGTTGATCGGTGATGTCCGCCGGCAGTATACGCCGATGCTGAATACGTACATCCAGCCGGGATGCAAGTTTCAAGAGCGTATGGCGGTGGAAACCACCACCCGGGCAATAAGCTTGATTAGTCCGGATCGTGCGGTGGCGCTGGCATTGTGGGACTGGAACGGCCCCGACGATCCGGTTACATCGGAAGTTGTCGAACCGGTGCGCCAGCAAATCATTGCGTTGGACGTTCATCAGTGTTATACATACAACGGCACCAGCAACGTTACCAGCAAGATTCACAGCCTCGGGCTGCTTCCCAATCTACACAGTTTAGAAATTGTTCTATGCTTTAATATGACCGTTAAAAGAGACCATTTTAGCCGCATGCCGCGCGTGCGGATGATCACGTTTACTATGTCCACGATGGTGGCATTGGAAGCCGGAACATTTACCGATTTGCCATTCCTGTGGAGTTTAGTGTTGGAGAAAGATTTTGTCTCTCAACTCCAACATCCATTTCCGAAGCCTAAAGAGGGGGCGAGTGACAACGATGTCGCGTTTTATCGGTGGAAGAAATCTGAAGAAGACTGCGAACGGGATTATTTGCAACGTCTGCATTGTGACTGCTCATTCGCGTGGCTGCGCAATCTGTTTCGAAAGAAGCCATATCTCATATTCGAGAAGAACGCAGGAGAAGTTTTCGCTATTGGCAATTATCTATCACCGGTTGTTTCGAGACAGAAAGACTCTGCGGACGTTCTAAGTGTTGATTGTTCACAAAATCTGACCGTGGATAATTATTTTATGGGCCACGAGTTTTCCTACAACACTGTCTGCAGTAACCGGGCCTGTTGAGTAACAGTTTTCTCTGTAGGTGTTCAACGGAAACGAAAAACATTTGATGTTACGTTTGCTGGATTCGATCACATTTGCCATTTGCGTATTTTCCGACCATCAAGTGACAAAACACGATCGTTTTAACACGTGACTCACAATTGTTGACTCACAAATTATTTTCTTGTTTAGTTTGTTAGCTGCGTTACTGAATTCCATAGTCTATGTGTTATTATGTCATTTGTATGATGTCATCGGGAATGCCTTCACGCCCGTAGGAGTGTTCTTCCCATGAGTTTTGATTGCATAACCTGTTGTTTATGTTTTGCTATCTTTTTTGAAGCCTTTGATGTTTGGTATTTGCCGCCAATATAAGCGCGACTGCATCGCGAGTTTTAGGAACTGCTTTTTAGTTGAGAGTTTTGAGTCGAGAGAGTAACCAATAAAGTCCATCGCAGTACCCGCTGCAAGAGTCCCCCTTGTAACATATGCGTTTATTTATCATAACGAATGCTACCGCTTAATAAACTGCGACAGAAAGCTGAACAGCTTTTGTCCGGATGCAATATCCGAAAATAACATTTCTTCGTAACCGCAGACGCGGAGCATTGTATTGGTATTAGAGATGTTTTAAATGTACTGTATGTGCATGTTGAAGCATAAGCATAAACTCATGAATGCATGTATTGGTGTATATTTAATAAAAGCCGGAGTTAAATAAATGCAGTAATAAATGGGCGTTACAATTCTCGAAGCGTTACAATTGGCGGTGCTGGGTTTATCGTTTACGCGTACTGTTTGTGGCTGACTGTGACTCGGGTGTCACCGGCGAACTGCACGGGTTCAGCAGCCGACGAAAGAAGTCTTTCAATCCAATTCGATATTCTTCTCCAATTAGAAAAAATATCACCTACAGATAGGGAAACGGGAGAACACATAATTTCACCAACTTGCTAGAAACAATACTGCGTTCTTAACACTCGCACAATTGCGTTATTACGATGTGTGTTTCTGGGCAAATCGGCTGGTTCTGCGTAAACCTACTTGGGAACCGCGCTTTGTGCGGTTCCCAAGTAGGCGGTTTGTGCGGTGCGCTTTGTCATTGACCATGAAAATTCGTGTACTAATTTATCTTTAATTTCCAAACCATCGTTTTGCAAAATACGTCAGGTTTGGATACGATGCAAACCGGAAGTGGGCGATAATCGCTGCGTCACGTGCAGTAAATTAAAAAATTTTCTAAAAATTTTGTACCGGTAATGGAAATTGTGCGAGTGCTAATTAACGGCAAAGGTTAATTTACCGGTGTCCCCAGATAGCCGGAATAATACAGCGCCCGCAACCATATCTGCAGATATGGATTTCTAACAAGAAGATGATAATGAAAGCTCGTAACCACAATTATCGGTAAGTTGCAGGCCAAATACCACAACGACGACGCAAACAGCATTCTTCCTAGTAAAACTCTCCGTTGTAATTTTAAAAGGATTGTCCGGTCTGCGGGGTCGCGGTTGCGATGTTTCGATAGTTTGACTCGGAGTTGCGACAATAAAATCACCAAATAGCAGCAGTTCGTCCCGGTTAGCGGCAAATATACGCCCAGTATTCCGCCGGCATTAAAGATTCGCCGGTTGAAATATGTTGCAGGGCGAACCACGCAGATATTCCACGGGTGAACCAGTGCCGTCTCCCAGCCACTGTTCAGCACCATCGGCAGCGTGCACGCCAGCAGAATAATCCATCCTATCAGAGTTGCCACAATGGTGGCGCTGCGTTTGTTGAATTTTGCGTAGTGATGCGGGAAAACAATCGCAATTAGTCGGTTAATGGATAGCATAAACGCCGCCCACCGTTCGCTGTCGGCGCAGATGAGGTAGACGACTTAAAAATTACGACAGCTGGTCAACGATTGCGTAATCGAAGGGAAATAGACAGGCAGCGTTAGAGCCGGATTAATGATGGTTGTTATCAGCAGACTGACGATGAGTATCAGGAGAATTTGGGCTTGGGATTCCGATGGCGTCCGACGCCGGTACAGGATGGCGATAATGAGAAGAATTATCAATAAGGACGTGAGAAACTCAATGAAGGTTGTCACGATGAACCAAGCAGTGAGTGTAGCGGTGCCGGCTTCCACTGATTTATTGAAATATACGAGCACTGTTTGGTTAAACGAAATGTTCATCGTGTCAGATAAATACCGGCAATATCAGACACCAATAAATTATTCAGGAATGTCCCCAGCCGCAGTCAATTGTGTAAATTCAGCAGATAGACAGCATATGAATTCTTCAAGACGGACCTAGAGTAGGTGAAGCAGAAGTTGTGCGAGGTAATGGAAATAAACAAATCCAGGCACGACTAGCACGAAACCCGTGCGACCGAGGTCGATTTTTATGGGTTACCTTATAGATAAAGCTGTCTTTGCCAAGTAAAATAGCTTTCTCCAAATGCATTTGGCAGTGAATGCTCAAATGTTCTGTGAATGCCACACATGGCTGCCTTTCAGAAAGCAAGTTTGACTCGGCCGTTAAAGTGACAACGGTTTAGACGATTCATTGATCTGCATATTTTACATAATTACCATCCCGAGAGGTAGTGCACTACATAAAGAACAGACACAATCAGTTAATGCTACCAGCGTCGAGGCGCAGCCGCGCATTCTGGAGCACTGTCAATTGGTCGTAAATAACGATTTTACTGCACACCAGGCCACTGATAGCGGCTTATTATTTTGAGCAATGCAAAACGGGACTGGTATGATCGAAGAAACTTGACAGTGCATGTTCTGTTTCTTCTGTTTCTCGGCGCTCCCAATACGGGGGCGGAAGATTATGTAGTCGTGCGGCAGATAAAATGGGTAAGGAAGGATAATTGCGCAACGAGAGATTACATCATGGTAACTTGCTGATAATTTGCTTTTCTTGCTGATAAAGAATAATGTGCTTACGAAAATGTTTTTTTGCTGATTATTTGCTTACAAGTGAAGAATGTAGTAACCCAGAAAATACATCTGGAAAAGGTTTTCATCATTGCAGGCGATCTTATTGAAGTGTTTTTACGGCAAACAATGTATTCATCTAAGTTTTGTTTTTCTAGAAAGGTACAACTAAAGTATTCATATCATAAAAGGCAGTGCTTCTAAACGGTGAATCGTGTTGTCAGAATTCAAGTGGAAGCAGTTTGATTTATTGTTTCCGCAAGGTTTAAAATTCTAGACACGCAGTCAAAAGTTTACATTATGTGTACGTGGACTGTGTCTTGAATTCTTTGTATTAACTCCCTGGTCGAAAATCGATTACGTTCAGTGTGAGTGGCAAGGGGAGCACCTGGAAACCGTCTACGCTGTGCATGACCATCCAGAGTTCCGCGATGACGGCCAACATGCAGGCCATCAACATCATTAGTCCGGACCACCTTGTGGGAATGTAGGTATTCTCTTCACCTCTAGCATCCACTTCCGGAACCGAAAATCCGGCAGGACAAAATGGTATCGCGATCTATCAGTCAAAGAAATCCGATCAAATTATGAGTGGGATTAATTTCGGCACCCGAACTGATCACCCGAACTGCGCAATTGGGATTTACCACAAATGTTATTTCTGATCGCCGAAAAGAGCGAAGGTGCATTGTCTGGGCCTCAGGCATTGGAAATAACACCATTATCACGCAATGCGGGGTTATCAGATAAGCACACTCTAGAGATGTTAATATGGACTATTCACGGGACTTTAGTCCGAATAATTAACGGGCCGCTCGTAAGAATTCCTGCAACATCGTTTGCTACCCAACGATGTAACGAGCGTATTGATAATGGTAGCTTTCACTGCAAAAACGCGAAGGTTTCGCCACAGCTCATTCTGCCTGCACAAAAGTTTTTTAATCAACGGGAACGCAGTTGTAACAGGAGTCAGGAAAAACGCGCAGACAATGCTACTGAAGAAAAATCTATTAAAAAATTCAAGTGTGTGCTTGTTTTTGCAAAATCCTGCTGATGCCCTGCATACGTAATTAGAATAAGGTTTACGATGATAACAAGCCAAAAAAACATTTGTTTCAATGAAACTACAATTGACACAAAAGAATATCCACGAATCACGAAAAAAATAATCGAAAAAATGTCCAAGTGACAGAATGCATGAACGGTTTGAAAATGGCAATAAAAAGGTTTTCTAATTGACAAGGCTACCGGCTACGTATGAACTTCGTAATAAATGCTTGAATGACGAATTTCACAACAGTGTCATTTTGGCTTTTACGCAGTTTGGTGATTCGGGGATGCTTTACGACGGCCACAATACTGCATATGGCAGCAATGACATATCCACACCAATGGATCCAGTACGAGCTGCAGACTGAACAGTATCCGACCAATATTCCATACCGGCAGAGGAACCGTTATGGCGAAGAATGCGGAAAGAAAATAACAGATATCCAACGGCGCCCAGCAGAGAATCATGGAGATCGTAACCCAACTGAGAATCAGGAAGGGCTTAATCACAATGGGATGGCTGCGAACATTGTGCGCACTGGCCGCGACTGTCTGTTTGCTAGTCGATGCCATCGGGATGTCCCTGCTGGCCACCCCAGGGCGTTGTTGGACGGTCGTCCTGGTTCGTCGGCTGCGCAGTCGCTCCACAAACACGCAAATATAAATACCCACTATAAGACATAAAGGTAAGACGCGATTGATGATGTTATCCGCGCGCGTCCAGTGATAGATGGCCTTCAGGTTGTCCTCACATACACCTGCAACTGTAAACCTGCTTTGACATTCGTTTCTTTGGTCTTTGGGTACTTGCACGTAAGCGGTCATGCAGTTTAAAAAAATAGTGATGGAGACGCTAAATGTATTCGGCCCGGCCTAGAGCGAAATGTTGTTACATTTTATGTGCCGAAAAATTGGCGAGAAAACTTTTTTTACGCAGCGGTTTAATTTGCCAGTTATTAGGCTGTGATACGTACGTTACATTGCGACGGCTGTGATAGGTACTCATGGAAAGATAAGATTCTGGGTTTTTTCAGTGTTTGAATCTCAGCTACAGAGTATACCGTAATGTGCCCACGCTTGCGCATTGCTTTTGCACCGGGCATGCTGCGGTATCACTAGAACACGGGAAATACTGGGCTAGTGAAACTTGAAAAATTTTCCGCTACGCTAGCTAAACAGATGCCGTCCTGGTGAAGGCTTGACGGTTGCATTCGCAGGGTTTGATGCTGGCAAAAAAATTAAAAACTGAAATTTAATTAAAACCCGGTTAAATAGAGCAAAACTTTGGCTCAAGTCATTGTTGTGTGGCAACTATGTCAGTTATTTTTATAGTTTAAGGTTTCTCTTGCGGTTTTCCACTAAAACTATTAAAAAGACCCTTATAAAAAGTTTAAAACAGACGTTGTGAAAAATGAATTCTTTTCCTATACACACCGTAATGCGCCGTGATTGGCCGGTAACGGTGCGGGATGGTGGTGATAAATCCCGGTAGGCAGATCACATGCACAAGAACAATCGTGCCACAGCAGATCAGCAGCGCCATTTTACGGGTATGGTGGTCACGGTAATAGAACGGTGTGATGACGGCGAACAGCCGATTGGCCGCCATCTGCAGATGGGCCCATGTCGGGACCACACTAATCACCAGTTGGCAGTAGCGGTGGAGCAGACACACCGACACGCCATACATGCCCATATTAATGGCGTACAGTTCTGTGTACAGCAGCCAAGCCTGGAAACCGATCATGTACACACAGTTGAATACGAAAAGCGCTAAAATATACACGGTGAAATTAGTAATCAGTGATGGTTGGATGGCGTGGAAGATGAGGACGGCTACGTTGAGGACAAGGGCGGTTGTTGTGATGGCGATGCGGGCGGCAAGGTAGGGTGTCCAGTGTTCGCTCCATGACAGTGTTGCATTGGGCAACGGTGTTGTGATATTGCAAAGTGAAGAGGGATAAGAGTGGTTAATCGAGCACATTTGCTAATACTATCGAGCATGTACTGCTCCGCTTGTAACGCACGGCAACAAGAGGATTTTCACATAAATGCAAACCAGGAGCAAAATCGATTGCAGAGTCACGAACATTCGCTTATTAGGTCTGATGCGCCGAGCTAAAGAACAGGAGTAATTAGTAAATGCGAAAATAGCTTCACTTACGAAAGACGCTTGATCAACGCGGGATGAAGGAAATGCCACAATACTAAGAGAGACACCGGTCTTTCGCAAGAAGCACAAGCAATCCAAAAACGCTATCGTAGTGCGAAAAGCGAACATACCGTAGATTCAACATATAGGAAGGAAGTTCACGGAATAACATGAATCCTTTTATTGCGAAAGCCGTTACGAACTTACGCTTTGGAAACTGTTGTACAGAAAAATGATGCTGAAGTTTGCGACTTATGCGGAAATTAAATACGGAAATCTTCCGAAATTTGAAAAGGGGTTTAATTATTCTAATAACTCATTACTCAGTGAATTACTGTGAATGTTCTGGTTGACAATCTTTACTATCTAGCCGTGGAACATTGTTCAGTCTAATTCCCAGAAACAGCATTAGATCACGCTCCTATTTAAATTAAACATTTTTAGGCAAAATCATATGTGTCCTTCCCAGAAACTGCTTGGTAATAGTAGCCGGTATATTAATGGAAATGATGATTAATTTAAATATCCCGTTACATTTAATTACTGATGACAGAGCAGCTGTTGGCTCTGTTTGTCCCGTCGGTAGACTCATCTACGTACTACACGCTCTTGATGGCGAAGCAATCTTGCCTGGCTCCAGTTTTTATTCCAGGGAAAACCCGGATAACCAGGTGTACCGGTAATTTGCGTTGTTCAGACGCGGTAATACGTACCGTGGATACAGTACAGTTTCTTCCTTGACTTCGGGTAGACGCTGCAAATCCGCCTGTTCTTTAACTAATAACGAGACCAGCTTCCGATTTAATTACTTTCAAGCTACGGCTTAACTGATGTTATTCGTTGTCTCTGCACTGCGACAGTTTCTCTTTCCGCTTGTTGACTCGGCATTGCAATCTTTCGCCTTTTTCATATGATTGTAATTTGCACAGGTGTTTCTTTTTATGCAACCGGCAGAATCTTCATACAACGTCAAGTGCGAGTCATTGATCAAAATAATGACTGGATGTTTTCTCTTATAAAAAAAGCGAAGCAAAAGAATATTTTTTAACACAGCATAGGCATTTACCACCACAACAAGAAAGAATTTCGTATCTAGATGTTTCCGTGCGTAATTTGACGATGTTGAGCAAGAATAACAAGAAATAATGGACTAAGACAGCAACTTATTTGTGCGCGAGAATAAATTTCTAAACAAATTTATTCGTTGCAGCCTGCAGCCACATTCATACGGTTGTTATTTCCGGTTTGACTGTAACGATGCATTTTCTACAGGTACACACTTCATGTCGCTTCATGTGAATGATCATGAACTAACCGCTTATACCATGAAAATTCGTCTTTATCTGAATTACCTTAACCTGAAGAAATCTTTTTCTCCAGAATAGACCAGAATCGTTTGTTATTTCTCATACTAGCTGTTATTATTCGTATTTATTTCGCGATGGAAGCTGTCGCTAAACTTTAAAATACAATTTTAATCGATGATTAATTGTTTCAATACTTCATAAAAAATTGGCTTATGTAAAATGTAAATAAGCTAGCAGAATAGAAGATATTTAGTACTCGATTTGGATCCGCATAAACAAGTGTGATACGTTTGTTCGTATCGCATTCGTACCACAGAAACGCAAAAGCAAGCACACGTCTTGACCGATAACTTTTAACAAATCGTCATAAAAAGCGTATGTCGATCGTTGATTATCATTTATGGAAAGTTGTCGATTTATCATTTATGAAAGGTAACACAGGCAAGATAAACCAAAAATATGCCCCAGCAGGGCACAATATAAAGTGCGCAAATCCGGAAACCCATCGGCGGAACGATGACGAGGTAGATCCCGCACTTCTGTGCACTGTGTTAATCGACCAGTCGAGTACTGTACTGTACTAAACATTCGGCTCTGCCAAGACACACAATACCGGTATCTATAATGCAGCGTGGCGTATCAAGCCAAAACTGAGTGACATACCCACCCTCCTGACGAGAGACCTCGCCTCCTTAGTCTCGATTAAAGATTATTTACAACTAGTGTAAGGTTGGCGGTCGCGGCTGCGCAAAATTACCGTTGAATAACTGCGCGTGTCTCCGGCGACCTCTGATTGTCCGATGAATCAATGCCCCGTTAGAACGCTAGTTCTGAACTTTTGGGCGCATTATTCCAAAAATAGTCCATAAATCTTTATCAATCACTGTAGCTATAGCATAGAGAACATACCAAAGTCTTGGAGAGATTAAAGCAATCTTTTACTACAAAACTGGATTATGAACATTGGCCATCTGTGATTTACGACTCTGTTTACTTGTTGGTTGTTCTGTAGTGCCGTTATCTGTGCCATGAGAGCGTCTCGGTAAAGTGCGATTCGTTCGTTCAATCCCTAAATACCAGCTGGGCGAGCATTGTCCGAACTGCTGACTGGGTGTCGTATATTTGTCGTGGCAAATAAACGTAAAACCGGCTTATTGAAGTAAAATGCGCCTACAAATTTTTCTGCTACGGCATTTAGCGATAATACCCCATATAGCGGTGTAAGTTGTATAACGAACCGCACTAGGTGAACGATTTCAGCGCAAATCTCACCATTGACCTTTTTTAACAATCGCGATTTTTCTGTAATGGCTTCGCGATGGATTAGCGTAGCCCTGTGCGGCTGTCTGTACTTTGTTGTTACAGCGTTTGGTAAGTCTGGTTGTTTTGCAGATATCTAGATTTTTCGCTACTACCTGTTATTGAATTAAGTACAGTGCTAGTGAATTCTTTATAATATAAAATACTGGAAAACAGTACAGAAAATATAAAATATTTTAGAACCATCCGTTGGAGTCAAACAAGCAAAAAATATTAAAAAAGACACAAATTTAAACATTTTATTATATAAATACATTATATATTGCTATATTATTATTTAAGAAATAATTAATTGTAAAAACCGTTACAAAAATAAAACAGTGTTTAAAACGCAATTGGCACAAATTATTATTGCCGAACGTCGACGTACGTATGCACGTTGATGCACGTTGTTCACAAAGAAAATGTGTGCACGTTGTACAGATATTTTTCGTGAAAGTGAGATTGCATTGAGATTGCACAAATTACATAAATTAGAGTGATTGCCGTAAAACGATCGCATTAAAACTATTGTTATTCACTTATTCTAGACCTGGAAATGGACTGCAACTCGTACAACACATCCCAACCAGTCAACGTTACCCCGTTGACGGATGCAGTTCCATTCCGTCGCGATCGACTCAGGCTCGAAGAATGTATCGTTTATGCTAATAAAGGGTCGTCAATCTGCATGATAGTACCAGGCATCGAAGCCTGGATGATGATCGGCACCGATCCGCACGAGAATAATCCCACGCGAAGAAACTACCTCGCCGCGGAATGCCGCTTTCAAAAGCGTCCAGTGGTCGCCGAGACCACCAGGACCATCCGTCTCAACAATCCCACGGTAGCCGTAACACTGTCGCTCACGGACGGAACAGGGAACAACAATTCGTTGACCTTTGATGTGATTGATCCGGTTAGGAATCAAACAATTGACTTGGGGGTGGAGTCATGTGTGACCACTGACGTAAACCGGCGAATCTACGACGTGGGCGTGTTACCGAATTTGTTCGTTCTGACGGTTTCGTGGTGTCGGAACTTGACGGTGATGAAGGAGGATTTTAGTCGTATGCCGCGCATTCGGATGATACTGTTCACGATGTCAACAATTACGTCTTTGGAAGCTGGGACATTCATGGATCTGCCGGATCTGCACAGTCTCATCTTGGAGCGGAATCTGTTCATGATGGTGCCGGAAATGCTCACCAACATTACCAACCACCGCCAGGAGCAGAAGCTCTCCAGTATTGGCGATACCAGGGATTTTGTGCGCCGTCTACACTGCGATTGCTCATTGGGTTGGCTGCGAAACCTGCAGAAGAAAAAGCCCTATCTGATTGGTAACCGTGATGAAGGGGAAGTGATTACCGTTGGTGACTATAAATCTCCCGAGGTGTGGAAGAGCAGAGACGCTCTCAGTGTGGACTGCTCCAGAGAGGTGGATGCAGATAATATTTTCAATGGAAAGGGGTTTTCTTACAATACAACGTGTTATACATTGGTGTGCTAACAGCGGTAATGGAAATGACTCAGTTCATGGAGCCAACTTTTTGTATACAAGGAGTCCACTAAAACGCGCTGTAGTTTGGAATTGGGCGTAACCAGTGAATTTGTATTTATCGTTGTGTTGGTGCGTTAGAAATTACGGGACAAGCTTGAACACACAGTTAGAGACAAAGAGATTCCCGACGAAATTAACGATATGGACTGGTGTGGTCGGTCTCTTGATTAGCAGCTCATCTAGCTTCCGGTTAACTGCGGAAGGCTATGACTCAATAAGTGATGATTATTGTTCATACATTATTCATACATTGTTCATACAGATATGACTTTACGCTAAAGTACGTTCATTTTCCGGTCTTTTTTTCGGCATTATTCTTTTCTGCTATATCACCACCATTGCTCACATAATCAGATCATGCGCTTTTTAACGTAAGACCGTCGCAAATCGTTGCCTTTATTTTCGCTGATAACCACAGAACACAGAAGAAACGCTTAAACCACAAAGTGGAAGTGGTTATTATCAAGTACTGTCAAATTGATCTCATTCTTTTCCAGTCACAGCCCGAGAACTGGTTTCTGCCATGGCACCATCCAGAACGCGAATTCTCAGCTAAAGACGACGTTTATCTGAAAATGTTAGCCTTTTCTCGTGCGTTTTCGAAGCTCACGGCGAATTTCAAGTTATATGTAACTCAAAAAAGCGGTAAACGTATAAAACTTAAATACATCGTAAGTGATCCTGGTTGATTATTTTGATGTAAAATGATAATCCGGCCTTGTCTGGTGTCTATGTAGACACATATCAAGCCGCATTCGCTAGCAAGGCAATTTCTTTTAGAATAGACGGAATCGTTTACGATTATTTTGCTTATTGTGGTTCTTAATTCTCTTGCAGTGGATGCTGCCGATAAGTTCTAGCCATGTAATTTATGACGTAGCTTTACCGTAGGTCATAAAAATTGTTTCGCTATATAAACTTGAAAATACCTTTCCATTTCCTATTCCGAAATGGAAATACCGTAATTATCGAATTTGCAGCTCTCCCCATAATTAGGCCCCCCTCCGTAATAAGCCCCCCTCCCTTAACCAGTTCGAAAAATAGCGCCTCCCCCCGAATTTACCGCCCAGGGGGCGTTATTAAATGTCAAGCGCCACAAAATGATAGATATACCGCAGATTACTTCATAATGATAGTTATAATAAACGGTCAACAGTCACAAAAATAATGTGGTGCGATGCTTCAGAATGCTGCTCGTAGGGTAATGAAATTGCAAATACCGGCATCTACTGCTCAATATCAATAGAACAGGATTCGCAGTTATTCGAAGAATAACGGCCCCCTCCACAAAAATTGTGTTTGAAAAATAGTACCACCCCCAAAATAACGGCCCCTCCCCGAAATAAGCCCCCATCCTCCAGGACGTTTGAAATATTTGCACCCCAGGGGTGCAAATTCGATAATTACGGTACCTATTCAGTTCTAGATTCAGTCCCGCTTAAAACATGGCGATACGAGAATTATAAATGTACATTCATGAAAATCGGTAATATTGTTGAAATCTTTATCTTTATCATGATAGACATTAGACAGATACGTAATGTCATTCGGAAGATGACATTACAAGTCCAAGAACACCAAGTCCTCTTCAGCACACCGAAACCACTTCCGAAAGTTTTAAAATATAAAACCAACAAACAGTTTACGGCAGGAGCACGTACATTTAGTGCTCACAAATCGCAATTCGAACAAAAAAGCGGTTGTTTGTGCAGCTAGTCTTGAAATTGTTGAGTGATAAACACTTTTCTTAATCATACACTGTAGAATACACGATAGATCTGTTTACAGCTGCATATTGTATGCTTTGCTTTGAAACTTTTGCAATTACAAAAAAAAAATGAGTGCAGCCGAATGATGTACTGGAGAAAGAAGCATTAACGGCGCCTGTTTTCGGTATGCAGCCTAAAAACCAAAAAATATATATTAAGGAGTGATATGTGTATAATTCAGTACCGACTTGCATTTGATAGACATTTGTTGTTTACAGTAATTGCCCTAACTACATAATAGGCACCCAAGCGAGTTAAACACAAAGTAATAAATCAAATCCTATGTCACTTATCGCGGCATAAGTTTGCAAACTTTCATTAAAACACAGTCTGAACGGATCGTGGCGCTGTTAATAATCTGTAATCATGGCGATCGTAGATGAATCAGTCCCCTGTGGAACTGGTAGGTGGTTCCGGGTTGTTTGTATCGTTCGGAGGACAATGAATGCTTCTACTGAACTTTGCAAGCTAACAAAGTCATGCATACTTTCTAGTAGGGAAAGCAAAATGCGCACCGACGGTAATCTTGAAGATTAGGTAAACAAATCTGCCCAAAATCAGAGCGCTCCGTATCTTTTTCCAAAAACGTCTATTAAAAAAATGTCCTGGCAGAAATGGCGAAAATAAGATCAGTCGAAGCATGTTTAATTTCTTGTCTAATTAGTTAAACTCTGTTTCTGAATGCCAATGCAAAATATCAGACTCTGAAAATGCTTCTAGTTTAGAAGTAATTTTTCGACAGCCACTTTAAATTACCAACACTGACCGCAAAAATGCTCTTCTGTAATAATACTTGTCAGTTAATCTATCACAGCGATGTGAGCCGTGAGCGCTTTTCAGTTACGCGTGGCGTTCACTTAACCTGTGCTAGCTTAAGGAGCAATGTCCGAACTGCTGACTGCCTCTCCTGCCTGCAGTTTACAATCAGCGGCAAACGTTTCCGAAAAAACACGGCATTCAGCTGCATATAAAAGTGTAGATTACTGTATAAAGAAGCGCAGTTGGTGAACGAGTTTGACGAGAATACCAGTGGTGAATTTTTTGCCAATAAAATTTCTTACAAATGGCTTTTAAATGGACTGCCGTTGTCCTTACGGGATTCTTATGCTGTACCGTGAAAGCGTTTGGTAAGGTTATTTCTTCTTTGTGATATCTGCTGTATTCTAGGATCTGTTGTTGCTTATTGTTTATTTAGCGCAGTTGTTTATTGCGGCGCTTTCGTTCCTGTTGCCAGTATAAGTCAATTACTAATCAGTCGCGCGTTGTGCAGAGTCCATAGTCGATTGCTTACCCAAATTATGTTGCCAGATCTGGAAACGGACTGTAACTCGTACAACACATCCCAGCCAGCCAGCACCATCCCGTTAAACGATCCCGTTGAATTCCGTCGCGATCGGCTGCGTCTGGAGGAATGTATCATCTATGCTAAGAAGGAGTCGACGATATGCGCGATGGTCCCGGGCATCGATTCCTGCATGGCGATCGGCTTCAATCCGCGCCGGTACAATCCCATACGGCAGAACTACCTTGCAGCGGAATGCCGGTTTCAGAATAGCTCAGTGGTCGCCGAGACCACCAAGACCATCCGTCTGACCAGCCCCAAGCGGGCCGTAACCTTATCGCTGATGGACGGAATAGACAGCAATAATTCCCTGATGTACGATGTGATTGATCCGATTCGTAATCAGACAATTGATTTATGGATGGAAAGTTGTATAGCGACGGACCTCACCCGGCGAATCTACAACGTCGGCGTGTTACCGAATTTATTCGTCCTTGGTATTTCGTGGTGTCGTAACATGACCGTGTTGAAAGAGGATTTCAGTCGCATGCCCCGCATACGAATGATAATTTTCACGATGTCCACCATGTTATCCCTGGAGCCGGGAACATTCACGGACCTGCCGCATCTGCACAGTTTAATTCTGGAGCGGGATCTATTCATGTTGGTGCCAGAAATGCTGCCCAACAACAGAGGCCATACTCCGAATGAAAAGCTCATCAGGATGCTCGATACGCGTGATTATGTGTGGCGTTTACACTGTGGTTGCGCGTTGGCTTGGCTGCGGAATTCGTTGAGGAACAGGCCCTATCTGATCAAAGACCGTGAAGAAGGCGAAGGGCTAACCATAGGGGACTATAAGTCTCCGCAGGTCTGGAAAAACATGGACGCGCTTAGTGTCGACTGCTCCCAAGAGGTTGACGCTGGAAATATCTTCAACAGAAACGGTTTTTCTTACAATACATCCTGTTATAACTTGGTGTGCTAACTGGGTCACGGGAAGTGGCCCGGTACTGCCGGTACATACAACAAATTTCTTTTATCTGGCACATCCACTGAGATTTTTGCTCCCCTCAGAAGCCTGTTCGATATGTTGTATGTTCACCGCAAAATTACAAGTATATAATGGCCAAAATAGCGTGAGTGCAAAAAAAGTTGGTACTTAGGTATTGTGAATTTTTATTGACAAAAACTGTCGGGCACCGGAACGCATTATGTATTATTCGATCTTCTTGAAACTTTCCTTGGCGCACAAGTAACTACAGTGTAAGAAACGCAGCTCTACCGCTACTGCAGATGTATCTGCAGGCTGTAATTCAACAAGAGTGACTGGCACTTATTTATATCGAACTCGGTCAAAGTAGTTTATGAAGCCTCAACCCCCACCTTGTGATTTCTATGTCTCCTGCCGAAGAAGTTATCGGTAAATTGTTTACTACGTAAATTATTTAATAAATCTACAATGATCATAAACCCGTGGAGCGGCAATTCATTTATTTCGCCTATGGCGTGGTTAGTACACGGCAAATTTGTTCTTGCATGTGTTTTGACTTATACCCTGGTAAATTTGGAGGCACCATGAAGGAGAGGATGCTGTAGGATAATGTGGATACATCTTTAATTACTGTTGTATCCCCACCCACCGTGTCTGTGCAGTATCTTTTTTGTCTGTGCAGTATCTCCACTAGGAAACCAAAGGGATACTCGAAAGGTCAACGGTTACTGCAAGGTTCCGTTAATACACATTCGGATACTGCATTTACTGATATTCCTCAAAGCTGTATTCGGCCGGATACTTAGAGGATACTGCGTGAGGGATACTTCGATAAACCTCTTACTCCGGCACCCCTTTAACTTTTGTACTAGTATATTCCAGCAGCCAGCTAGCTGAAAATGCAGCATTAATTTTAACATCGGCATAGCATAGTTGAAAATTCAGCGTAGCATCTGTACCGACTGTACGTACAGATGGTACGCCGACCAATAGAAAAATTCGAAAAGCAATTGAATCGAGTGCAGATGATAAACGTGCAGTCGCCAAGGAGGGCGGTTGCTCATGCTGCATTTTCAACTAGCCGGCTGCCGGAAGGTAGTACAGAAGTCTAAAGGGTGCCGGAATAAGAGGCTTATCGAAGTATTAATATTGTAGGACATTCGGCGGCGATACAGATGCAAACATCACTTTGTATTTGCACATATTGCGAATATTGTTAATCTGGTCATTCTTTTCAGTTAGCGTATCCCACAGTATGCTTATAGTATCTTTCCTGTATCCCCCATGTATCTCATTAAATTTTTTTACAGTTGTAAGGTTTCTTTGGTTTTCTTTTGTTATTTTAATGGGACAAATGTGCGTTACGTAAAGGAGACTCCAGAGATACAATGGGATACGGCAATAAACCCAAAGAAGCCAGAAAAATTGTGAACATACATTAAGCCAGATACATTAGGGAAACGTAGAAGGTACCGTGAGATACGACGGGATAACTAGGGTACAAGTAAAGAAAATCATGTCTCGAAAAAGTTTCGTTCATGTCTAATTTATTTCTTTTTGTGTTTTATTGTGTTTTATCTAGGTTGTTTATACAGACAGTGGTTTACCGCGTGCACGCTAATGCAACTTTGCGGCAGCGATGATCTCCCGAAATTGTACGAATACTATTCCTTAAAGCTGTTGTGGTATTCCTGCTTAACAAATTTGCTTTTTGATATACCAAGTTCAATTTTTAGACCACTAACCAGGGCACATTTCGTGGCTTTCAAATCAGAAACGTAATATTTTTGTCGACGAGTATGCCATGGGTTTGCCATTAGATCGAAAATTAAAATTTACGCCGCTTTTCTGTGTGCGGAACTTCATTAAATTAAACGTTGCATCTAAAGCAACGAGTTTGGCGCTAACTAAAACCAATTTTATCATCTACAGAATTTGCATTTACGTAATTTGCTTTAATAATAAAATCAATAATCAACACTTCTGTTGCTTTTCAAGGCACGAATTTGCAGAGGTTTTACTAGTGAAATACTACTTCGTTGTAACATAAATCACTGCCTCACAGAGCAGGATTTCCGGCTTATTCGCTTTTTATCACTGCAAATAAAACCAGTACGATACCAATGGTAAAAGGAAGGCAAAATGTTTACCGGTTGTTACAGTCTATGTAGTCGGGGCCGGAAGTCTAGACATAGCAGCTTAAATGCCACGCTTAAACGAGCTTTCGCCTCAGCCACCATTGAGACTGAACTCGAGCCTTTGGGATTATCGCGAACCAACGGCCTACGCCCTGACGGCGTCACCTTAGTACCGTGGGAGCGAGGCAAAATGTTAACATGGGATGTGACATGCGTGTGTACGATGGCTCTCTCCCATATCGCTGGAACATCCACGCAAGCCGGCGCAGCAGCGGCTCAAGCCGAACGGAAAAAAGCCGAGAAGTACCAGGAAATCACTCACGATTACTTGTTCCGAGCGGTCGGCGTAGAGACAGTGGGGCCACTCGGACCGGAAGCCTCCCGGCTGATTAGCGAAGTGGGCAAGATGATTTGGCAGGAAACAGGCGAGAAACGTGCAACGGAGTTTTTGCGCCAGAGGTTCAGCATCGAAATTCAACGTGGAAACGCGGCATCCATCCTGGGAACGGCACCGGCCTCGGCTAATTTAGATCAAATGTTCTCTGTAATCCGGCCGCATGTTTCTGCTGTTTGTTAATATTAGGATGTGATGTTTCTGTTGTGAATTGTAAGCTTATCTTTGTATTCGATCAATAAAATAACTAGTTGTTACAGTGTACATTCGAAATTAAATTAACCATACAATACTCAAAAATTAAAGCGTTTGGCACCAATTTAATCTCACTTCTTCCTACAAAGGTCCTGTTAGAACTCTGAAAACATCAACAACCCCTATCCGTAATTTAAGGCTAATAAGACTGGAATCTGTGTTCGAATATCAATGCGAAATTCGTAGTTCAAATATAGAAATACGTGGCATTGGTAAGACCATTAAACTTTTGCTGGTAAACTTGGCTACGAGTATCATATTTTTTCGCTGCTGCAAATACCGGTTTTTTCATCATTGTGATGTAGGTCGTAAGCGCTCCTTGGTTTGTGGGTTGTGGGTTAAGCGCATAAGCTTTGAGAGCATTGTCGGACAAGACAGTATGTGTGTGCTGCAGTTTGTCATAGCACATGAACAAAAACCGGTATTTCAAGAGTAAATAAAACTGACTACCATTGTCCGAAAAAAGGCTTGAAATTCAACGGTGGACATAATAATTATTAACATAAAAGTAATGAACGGTTCATCGTTTTCGCGAAATATACAGGGCAAGACAAAAATACAGATAATTCGTTTTAAAGGCGTGTTGCGCAAATAACTGCTGTGTGTTGCGCAAATAACTGCTGTAATGTTCAACCGTATGATGGTGATATTAATTTATGTGCACTCGATGTGTTTCTGCTGCGCACTGTTTGTTGATTTGACTGAACTTTTGAACCGCGTACCAATTGGTCGACTTCCACTATTATTTTGCCCCGGCTTGTATGTGGCTGACCACGGCTCGGGTGTCACCGACCCGTTGCCGCGGCACAGGAGACGGCGAAAGAAGCCTTTCAATCTCAACCGATAGTCTTTTCCAATAAGGAAAAAAATAACCTAGAAACAGGTAGATATGGCTTAAAAAATAGCCCGCTTTTAAGAAAAGAACGGTGTGTTCTTAAAGCATACCGGTGTTCCAAGATAGCCGGAATAATACATCGTCCGCATCCACAACTGCAGATGTGGGTTCTTCACGTACAGGTAATAATAAAAGTGGGTAACAACAATCAGTGGTACGTGACAGACCAAATGCCACAACGATGACGCAAACAACATCTTGCCAATGAAAATTCGGCGCTGTATTTTCAGATCCATTGTGCGGTCAATGGTTGGTTTGGAGAACCTGAAGCGGAGCTGCGACAATAAGATCACCAAATAGCAAAAGTTCGTCCCCGCTATCGGTAAGTATATGCCTAGAATGCCGGTAACCCGAAAGATCTCAATGCTGACGGGCGTCACAGGACGGACCACGCAGATATTCAACGGTGGAGCCAGCGCCGTATCAAAGCCGCTAGCCACCGCGATCGGCAGCCCAATCGCCAGATGTGTGAGCCAACCAAGAAAGATCGTCGCAAAGGTCACGCCGCGTTTGTTGAACTTCGTATAATGAGACGGGAAAACAACGGCAACAAGCCGGTTAATGGATAGCATAAATGCCGCCCACTGCTCGCTGCTGGGGCAAATGATGTAGGCGACGTAAAAAAAGCGACAGTTGGTTAACGATAGTGTCAAAGAGGGAAAATAGAGGGGCAGCGTTAAAGCCGGATTGATTACGGCTGTGATCAGCAGGCTGACGCTGAGCATAAGGATGATTTGCACATGAGATTCCGATGGTTTCCCGTGCCGGTACAGAATGGCAATGATGAGGAGAATAATGAGTAAGGAGGTGAGAATCTCGACAAATGTTGTCACAATGAACCAACCAGTTAACGACGTGGTGCCGGTTTGCACCGTTTTATTTGCTAACGTATAGTTCAGCGATACATTCATCGTGCCAGGGAAAATATCGGCAAATTAATCAGGGCAATGAAATTGATAAAATGCCAGCAGCATCACTGATTAGACCAGAAACCAAATATTAGGCCATTGTGAGGTGGTTAAGAGTGCAATCGATGAATACACACTATGCACGACAAGCAGCAATTTTCTTGTTTTAGACTTTTATTTTGCGAGGTGGCCCTTTCTGGATAAAGTAATCGTCCTCAAGAATAATATCTTCCCTTATGTCGCCATTCGTGGTGCCTGCACGTTGTCGCATATTCAATAATGGATTGCCGCACCTGTCTGTTTTTCGGTGCCAAGAAGGATAATAAAGTATTCAGGTCTCGAATTATCATGGGAATTATTACTTTCCGCTTACTGGCGTAGCTGTTTCGCACGTTATTTCATTATTTACAGTCCCTAGTGGGTCCAGCGACTCCAGCGGTAGTTTTATTTACGAAAATGCGTTCCCGAGGCAGTGCCTGCGATCCACGCCGACATGGTTTCCTTATCATTCCTAAAATTGTATCCGTGAATAACGTACTGGACACGAAGGAACCATTGATGCCGACTTATTATGCAATACAGAATGTACATAAAACAGTACAATAATGAATAATTAAACTAATGAATGATAATGGATAAGTTGTCTTCTCGGTTTCTCAGCGATCTGTCGCACACGTGGGCGCACATATGAGTAGCCGCATGACTGGCAAATGGGAGCAGCTTTAGTCTCACCTTTATTCTGAACGCCCAAAGGGCACGTGGCATTGGCCAGGAACTGGGTGTCTCTTGCATTACATCGCACAATCACTGTGCAAAGATCATCCACGAATTTTCCCGCTCATCATCAGGGCAAAGCCAAATACGAATACCACAATACGGAGCATAATGTTGGACAAAATTCGAGAAACTATTATTTTCTAGAAAACACAGCATATTTAACCTACTTTCATTGGAAAAGTTTGGTACATCGCCTGGAATAACAAAAAGAAATGGTTCTGTTATTTTAATTAAGTGGAGGACTGCAGGAAATTTTCCTGGTTGACGCCTACTGCATATTTCAGATGTTACCGGTATTGCAGTAGCCGTAATTCCTTCCAGCTGTCGAGGATTGACATAAAATTATTGGAACGCGCGGGCGGTGTTAATATATACCCAATCTGTACGTAAATTGTTGAGAGTTAGCCGCTTAAGAGCTTGCAAAATGTTCCCTAATAAGTAATAACGAAAGTCTCACTAAGTAGGCTAATGTTTTTCCGGATAACTGATTTTGCAGAAGTTAACGAAGCCGGAGCTGGTATGATTGGATACCAGTACCGGTACCGATTGTCATTTAAAAACTAAAATTCGAAAATGATGCACTATGTTTGCGACCACTTTCGCCATCTCAATGATTCTGCCTTTTCTGTTGTGGTATTTTTGTACGGCGCTCCACCAAGTGTGGATGATTAATTTGCAGAACTAATTTTATCCATCGGCGCCGATGTTAGCAAATGGCAAAAGAAAATAAAGGATATAGGTACACGAATCATTTACTGGCAATTTTGGCACGTTTTTCCCAGCCGGCGAAACCGAACACACCATAATTATGGATTCGTGTCCAATTTTCACGTATCATTTTTGCTTCAGTAACAATCAGCGCCATTGGGTGGAAGTTCCAAGTGCAGAATTCGTCAAGGCGGTGAAGCAAACTCATTCTGACGCGGTGTCTTGGGCGACCTACCAGGTAGTATGCTACATGATGAACCATTTCAAACAAATAGGTAAGTACAAAACGAAAATGATGCCGCGCCAACTACCAATTATTCCTTTGAAATTAGCAAGCTGCGCTATAACAGGATGTATTATACGAGAATTCTCTCCCGATGCTATAGTTCTCCAGCGACAGTTTTCGTGAGCAGTCCACGCTTAAAACATCCGTATAGTTCGCCTTTCTCTGAACAACCGGTGACATAAAGTTTCCAATGACAAACACTTCGCCCTCATCCCTCTCCGCAATAAGGTACGGCTTGGTCCTGAAAAGATCGCGGAGCCATGCATATTCGCAGTCACAGTGCAAACGCTGAAAATACGCACAGTTATCTTCGGTGGCAAAATCACCGTTAGCGCTGTCCGGGTTTCCCTTCTCCTGCAACGCCAGCATAAAATCTTTCTCCAATATCAGAATTCGCAGATGCGGCAAATCCGTAAAGGTGCCCGGCTCCAGCGACGCAATGGTGGTAAAATACAACGTTATCGCTCGTAATTGCGGCAGGCGGCTGAAATCGTTCTTCCTCACCGTCAAGTTAAAACAGTCAACCGTTTCAAAACTGAACAGATTCGGAAATTCTCCAAGTTCGTATAACTTGGCGGTGACATTCTTGGAATAGCAAGTGAAGAGCGCGAGATGGACGAGTTGGTTGCGCAGAGGGTCCAAGACATCCACGGTGATTGGATCTTCCGTATCATCTCGCTCAAATAAACTCAGCATGACAGCGCGGTGCGGACTGATTTGGCGGATACGTTTCGTCGTTTTCGCCGCCAGTGTGTGGTTTTCCCATACGCACGCTATCTCGAGATAGGTACCTAGCATCTGGTGCTGACGGGGATTTTTATCACTGATATAACAGTCTTCTTCTTTCATAATAATGGGACAAATCCCTTTGTCAATCGTTGGCGCGGCGTAGGCTAAGCATTCTTCGGTCGTTAACAAGTCGCTTCGAAACAGATATGTTGGAGGGGCAAGCGTTTTGTCCGGTGCGGTCTGGTTCAGCTGGATACACGACGTTTCCAGTTTAATTCCTGAAATATGCTGTTTTGAATTATAAACGGGAAACAGTTATGCTGAAAAGTTTTACCGGAATTCTTCTCGATAATGCCCGCAATAAACACTGCAATATTAAGACAGGCAAGTCTCATGGCTTGATGGTGTTTTTTAAATGGTACAAAAATTAGCAAAATTAAGACCGTCAAGTCTCATGGCTTGATGATGTTTTTAAATGTTACAAAAATTATTTCTTGCACTCGCAGTTGTGAAAAAGATAAATGTGATCGTGCACTATTAGGTACGGTACAGTGAACGTACAGTGTACATAGATTCCGAATGTGTGCTTTTTGTGCACATAGGATGACATGAAGTGGTTATGCCAGATAGATATTGACACTGCCTCGAAGCGATCGTTTTCTGCTGCATACTTCCGCCTTCCTTGCACTGCTTTCTCATGCGACTAGATGACTGTTGCTGGCTTGTCTGCAATCTGGCTGCTAATTGCATTTATCATTTATTTCTTGTCAGCTCACACTATTAACGGATGTCACATTTACTAAATATGCATAAAACGTGGCTGCATGAAGTCTATTCCAAAAGTGCCTCCGATCAGAATTATAACGGCTGACATGTCCCGGGCAGAGATCTCGGGGCGAATTTCGGAATCCGGGCTCTTTTTAGTAATTAAACGTGCGCAATAAAAATACGGTAACTTGGTTTTCCCGACGGCAACATCGCGAACTTATTATTTTTCGTGACGACAAGAAATGAAACCGATGCGCCTTGAGTTGTGTTGTCTCGTTTCCTATCGCTCGCGCGCGGGAGCGATAATAATTGTATTTGCTCATATTACTTTGGCTTCACCAAATAATTAACGCAGTCAGATTTTATTTTATGTACATTATAATCATAGTACAGCCTCGGCAAAGCGAATATATTATTCGTAGCGACACCTTTTCGTCGATAGTCCTGTGTGTTACAAACGTGGCTTACCGGTATTCCTGACCGCCACGAACCAAATTAAAAAATAACATTGGCTAGCTTACGCTGTTACATTGAGCACCGTATGAGAACTCGCTTCCGGTAAGTTAGTTGCCAAGCGAATGTCCTCGTGAACAATCCACACTGAACACATCCGTATGCTTTACGTTTCTCTGAACAATCTTTGATTTGAGAGCCCCAAATACGAATACTTCGCCTGCGTCCCTTTCTGCGATAAGGTCTGGGTATTACTATTTCGCGGGACATGGACGGACGTGAACGGACGGATGGCTGGACAGGACGGACCCGGGATGGATACGGAAACGGATTGTAAGCATTTAGTGGATAGAAAGTACCAGTTCCAGTTTCCTGCCTTTCGATTTTGTTATTGTTGCCTGTTCAAATAAACATTTGAAAAATGTACCGTGCTGCTATAGGTGCATAAAAACTTGTGTGTAGCGAAATGCGGTGTACAAGCAACATTCAAATTTTTTTGGCTGTTTAGCTGGAGATACGCTAGCCTCGCGGATCACAGACGAACGTCGATCTCTTAAATCTCAATTCACTGTACATAATTAAAGGTTATTATTGGGTGCTTATATAACCGCCCCTCGGGAAAAATTGCCAACCGAGTGCTTGTCAAATTTTTATGAAGGAAAAAATAACTAAGCTATTGCTACTCGTAATAATCAACAACGCTGATCGTGTAAAGTTACTGCAAACCCAGTGGCATAGTCTGCGACAGCGTTGGAATCGCCGCTCGGTTAGAATGTATAATAATTAAGATGGCAAACGGACAACAGTCTACAAACACTTCCCGCTCTGAAAGGATCGTTTTGTATTTTAAAGCAGCAAAACTGGATGAGCAGAAGCAGAGATCATGGGTTTAGGCCGAAATCGTGGCACCTATAATTAGACCGCCTGCTTCCATCAGCTGTCGTTGCTCAAATAACCCCTGGCCCGAACGGCTGGGTTCGCAGGTAAGTGTGTCTTGTACAGAATAACTTATTACTGCAAAAAACATTGAAGTGTCACAGATACAAGCAGCCAGCAGGCACAATAAACTGGCGCGGCTTAACAAAAGATTCTAACAATTGTACAGCCTTTTAATAACTTTTTATTATTGTGACATTCCAGGCGTTGTAAATTGAACATGCTTTGGAAAAACCACTGCTCAGTTCATTTATTCACTGTGTGTGAAGGGGTTCAACGTCAGTATTTGTTTGAATCGCTTTACCGACCTACGTTGTGGCATATATGCAGAGTATCTATAACTTGTCAACTTTCCCTTTCTTTTCCCGTTTCCCGCTGCGCCATTGGCATCCCTGCTGTGTGTGTGAGGACGTCGTAACAGTGCCTTACAGTTATGCTAACTAACCAGCTCCCATTAATTCATTGAGCCATTGCTTCCGCACAGGGCGCACTAATCAATAATCACGGCGGTCGGCATCTTGACCGGCTATTGAGATTAACCGGCACTGCCACACATTTCTTGCAATTGTTTTTCCCTGTCGCAACCCGACCGCCCATCGCGCCCACTGGATACACAACATGAAACCGCACTCTCCCGTATTTTTTCACCATATTGCTTTTATAATGAGGACTGCACCAGAAACGTCAATCAAATAACAGGAGGTCATTTAAACAGGAACTCAGAACACGTTTAAATACTATTTTGATGCAAAGTAAAATAGCGCGTAGTGTAAATATTACACATTCTGCGATATAATTATTATAGTGTACATAATCTGTATGCCAAGTATCGCCAACAAACGGCCTCCAACGCCATCTGTACAATAATAACGTCTGTGCAATAAAGTGCCTGTTTTGCGCTGCCTGCCGAGAAGGATAATTCTCTTGCGTATTTTATCTTCCATCGCTGAAACGCAGCATGTCACGGTTGAGGGCGTCGTTGCGGTTGGAGAAACTGTCAGGATACATGGCGGCCCCGCGTACAGCGCGCTGATGGATGAAGGGAAGCGGGGCGATGATGGCGTCACGCGCGGAGAGCGGCTGCTGCTGTGCCGCATCGACAGCGCGCTGTAAACATCCGTTATGTAATATCGGGATATTTCGGGAAAGTTTATTTGCTAAAACACATGACTGACCTTTAATCGGTTATTAGTCATCGCGTCCACGGAGCGTCCCACACGCAGAAGCCGCGCGATATCTACAAAGTCGGTCAAGAAAGTGTGTCGGTTAACATGTACTAATACCGGACGTTGCATCTTATAACAGCTGTTATTGGTAAATCCAGATCATTTGCATGTGAATAACGCCGATGACGATAAAAGTTTGTGTGTCTGCGTGATAATGGAATATTGAGTGGTTAATTTTGTGCGTTGACGCGTGTGCAGTGTTATTATTGTGTTAAACAATAAAAACGGTTAAATGCAGCACGCTGTTTACTGTGCCTTTACGCAATTATAAAACGCCGGTTGATAGATACAGATACAGCTGTGACCGATTCCCGTGAGGCGATCGGCATATGTTCTCGAACGGATAGTGCCAACAAATGGGGGTAGCTGCAGTCCTTTGACTCTACCGTTGCTCTAATTGGGCACACTCAGCAAAGTTCATTCAAAGGTGGATTGGTTTCATCATTGAGCATATTCGGGGCGTGAGGTAATTACTGACCACACGAAGCCCATGCAGATGTACTTTTGCGATTTGGCGAAGCTCAAGCGAGACACAGTTATTCTCTTACTCTTAGCCGAAAAATAAAAATTCGAAAAAATCAATATTTTATTATAAATATTACGAGCTCTTGTAACTACATGAGCATAAGCAGTTTTTTCATCATTATGACTTTAATGTGGAACAGGGAAAAACATCGTACTTCGTAAATCAGTGCATCGCCATGCAGTTTGATTAAAACCGACTGCTTAACCAATCCGAATGTGAAAAGTCATTACCAACAAACAATTAAAAACAGCAACAATAATAGATGAAAAATATGGATGGTTGGATTTGTCAGTACACAAAAACGGGTCACCGGAGCGGGAAACCGTTATAAGGTCATCGAACATTAGGAATAAAATAAATATACGCGTCTTTGTTTCATTATGTAAAAGCAGTCACACCTACCTTTATAACGCGGTCGCTCCTCATCGGATGCATTATTCAGCAGAATCTCACTCAGCCGGTCCACGTCCTCGCGTGTCCGATACGGTACCTGTTCACGCCGGGCCCGCATCCCGTACGCCCCGTACAGTGACTCGGGATAGCCGTAGTACTGTTGCGCATTCAGCATCTTTACCACGCACACTTCCAGCAGCAACACCCCGGTCATGAAACACACACATTTTGTCGCCATTTTTTCACCATCCACACTAAATCCTTGACTGACCGAGAACACAAGGCACACCAGGAGAAAAAACTATACTTGTCGCCTGCGGCGTATACGCGTTGCCAGTGACAGCTGGATGGTTGCAATGGAGTGTCGGCCCAGGGGAAAGCACAGTGCTAACTGAGCGGGAGGATTAGCGCTGATTGTCCGTCACATTAGCCGGGAGAATGTTGGCATATTATACCGCCTTATAGGCCTATATATACCCGCGTTTTATTGAACTGGGTGGAGACAGCCCTATCCATTGGATGGCGGGCGCTAATGAGAGTGGATCAGGGTGACGTCATGCCCAGTGTGTGCAGTGGAGGGGAAAATGCCCGGCTGGGGATTTGCGTCGTTATTATAGTGCGTTATAGCGATCGCGGCGCTGATTATATTGTGCTGCCTGCTTTTGACGCACAACTGCCGGCTTATCGAAGGGAATTGGCAATGGGCACCCAGGCGTACAATAGGCGGATATACATATGGTATTGTGGGAAATTGAAAGTGTCGCTGGTATGGAAATAAGGGAATTGAGTTTTCTCTTAAGCGGAAAATGAGTTAAGACATTGTCGGTCAGGGTCAGCGTTCCAATCAGAAAAGGGTAAGTTATGGAATTATCCATGATTGGGTGATTAAACGTGGCATGAAATTGCCAACGCCTTTTTCCTGCCGGTGAAACTCATGCGACAAATTGCACCAAAATTCAATAAAAAATAGTTATTCTGCCATTATTCATAAAAGAACCTTTTTTAACAATTGCGTTTTATCCAGAAATATGTTATCGTATAGTTTATGCAACTGGAAACTTACAGCTGGTTTGTGGACGCAACTTCCAGCGCCTGTTTATTCTGCTAATGTAATTAATGCGCTAAATTGCCCGAAAAACAATAATTAATTAAAATATTTTATTTCACGCTTGTCGAAGAAGAAGCATAATAATTTCTAAGTTTCATGCAAATATTTATCGTATGTATGTTTATGCAAATCGACATGTCGGGGCGGTGGACAGACGTCAGCAGCTCACACGATGGCAATCTCGTCCAACACGCGGCTGATTAAGTTTGCCGAATAATCGATACTTTCCGCATACAGATACAGTTGACAAATAAACATAACTTCCGCATGACAGCAGCTGCAACTTGCTTCTATTTTCCTAACCGACTTGTGGAATTTAGCACATCAGCCACTCTGGTAATCGGACCCGATAATTGCATCATCGTTATCATGTCTAATGCGCATGTTCGGCGATTTGCGTCGGTAACCAAAATAACCACAACATCGCTTAGTTTTGGGAGAGAAAATTCCGGTTGCCAGTCATGATGAGTAGTTTGACCTTTCTGATCTTCCGATTTATAGCGCGTCACGGGTCTGAATTAATTAATCCAGGAGCAACGTGATAATGAATGTCATGTGAGGTGTGTATTGTTCGTTATTCCGTTCCTATAAAAATCTGCAGCACCTTCAGGATGTGCACGTGTCAACCGGAATTTCCTTGTTAACCCCGCTGCGCGCAAGTGCATGTCCTGCCCAGTGTGCAGCAGCGGTGACTAATTTGATAACTAAAGTAACTGTTAAGAAAAAAATGCAAGGGTGTGGTTACTTGCTAATAACAGAATATATTCACTAACGTTTAAGTTTCTATCGTCACGTATTTCTGTAGTGCAAACTGTGAATAACAGCTGAGCCTTTCAAATTAAGCAAAATATTTTCCAATTGGGCACAATAAAATTATTTTTATTATGTCTACATATGTTGTTAAACTTGTTTGCAAATAATCAGTACGAAACTATTTTCCTGAAAAAATATTATGCAAGGTCTGATCACGTTCCAGTGGTTAGCTGCTTTTTTGCAATATCAGAGAATGAATTGTGGCTTATTAAGACCCGTATATATTGCTCAAAGCGGGAAAATTAGTAAGTAACTGGAAACTGAAACGATATTAAGCCTTGCAAATAAATTTACAGTTAATCGTGTATAAAAATTTAACGTGTTCTTGTCTCGCTTGTCCGTATCGTTGACGCCACGCATAGATCAGCTGATCAATTCCTGTCTAATCGATCACCGTCACAACTTTAAGCGAGTTTATTGCTACCACAAAATACATCCTCTGTAAACCAAGACTAACGAAAAAACCCGTCAACTGACACATACACCTGGCTTATTTGCATAAGTATCCATCAGCTAAAAACTACAACGGATCCGGTTACGTTTAGACAAGCAGTTCTGTCCCGTTTGTAATGTCTCTAGAGCCGGTAGAAATATATACTCCACACAACAGTTTTTTAATAGAAACTTTTTGTAGAATACCGGAAAACCATCATGCAGTATTTTCCTGTAATTTTTTTCCTGTCTACTAATATTATTTCTAGCGACGCAGTGCGCATTAATTTCGTCTCGCTGGTTATGGAAGCCGATGGCCGTAATGGCTACCTGGAACGTGTACCGACGATGGATTTATTAGTGGAGCATTTGCGCCAACAGTATGATGTGTTTATCAATACAACACACATCCCGCTGAATTATAACAAAGCCCTTGAAGGGAACAAATCGCTAGTGCCGGCGTATTATAAAGAAACCGGCAATGATGGACGCTGTGATGGGCCGAAATCCAATATCCAGAGCGTATTTTGGCCGTTCTATTACACCCATCAGGATATGTTCGAGGCGCCGTGGGACGAGCAAGTGACGATCGTCATGACGTCAGGTGGTTACAGGGAGCTCAGAGGTTTGCGATGGCAATTAGACAGCGATCACAGTACACTAGCGAGAAACACCAGCAAAGCCATTATTAACCGTAATCACCGCCTTGTGTTGAACCGAATCTGTGTTTCGAGCGTAGATTGGATATAGAACGATGGGAGAATACATTTATCTGAAGGGCTTTATTTTTAAAGCGATCATAGTGACGTAAATTTATCAAAAGAAAGTTTCATAAAAATATACGTGTTAATCTTATTTGAATGTACGAGTACTTCATTGATCAAAATTTTTCGTATAAATTTATCATGATTATATTCAATTTATTGAATAAAAATTTCTGAACTGAACCATAATGTTTAACAAACCACGAATCGCTGTCTAAATGCCAACAGAACATAAAGTAAATTTTTAAATAATTGTTCACATGGACGAAGGTGTGTTTCGCCGAACTGAACAGTACGGGTAAACGCTAAAGATATTATTTTAAAAACAATAGTACTTCATTGAAAATGATTACATCCCAGCTGATCGTTAATTACAGCGATCCCCCTCGAAAACTGGCGGATTTTAGAAACTGAATCGCACTGCTCTGAGTGGTACAAACCGATTTTCGAAAACGTTAAACATAACAGCGCCTCACAATTTTTATCCTAATACGTAGTAGAAACAGAGTAGAGACGACTCACATTACAACTTTCTAGCAATCGTAGGATTGGTGCAAAGTTGTTATGTGTTTTGTTAACACCATGTTGCAGCATGCGAAGAAGCGGTAATGGAACTAGCGTATGCCACTACCGGCGTCAATGTACCGATGATGGTCACCGCACCGGATACGCGCCTGGCTGACGTCAAGCGTTTTCCCACGGTGCTGAACATGTTCTCCATGCCGGATTTTCTCTTTGTCGCCACCCTGACCACCATGGCTGATAAGTACAGCTGGATGGAGATGACGGTGCTGTGTACGCCGGAGCGTTCCTTCCAGAACAAAATGTGTCACGAGATATCCGGGCATCTGGCACGGATGAAAAGCGGACTGGAATTGTTTACCACGTATCTGGCGGTTGACAGCAGCAATGCCACCAGTGCCGGGATTTATGAAGCGGGACTGAAACTGGTTAAAGAACGTCGTGGTAATATCACCTTAATAGCCTTTTATTAAATGACTAAAAATTATTAGTAATATTTAAAATAATAATACGCTGTTACGTAATAATAGTTTGCAATAATAACAGAATAAAATAATAAATTTCATGGGAGCATTATTTTTGAAGTGGTATAACTTTTACATTGTTCACTTTCCCTTGAACCGCATGACCAATAACCAGTTGAACAAAACTCCAGTGGTAGCGTCCACTTAGCGGCCACAGGAAAAGACCGGTTTTTTTCGACATTCGTTCAAGGAATATTGTACCAAATTTTATACATATGCATAAATTTTCCCTTGCATTACCGTTTATGACATTAATCTTCTTCGTTTCGGTCCTTTGTAGTTACGTTGCTGTTACTGCCTCCTAACATTATCCGGCATTTCCTGGTAAGCGGCTTTATAACCGCCGTTCGGCCTTGGTAAAAACGAAAAGAAATTTTGGGATTTATAGATCGCAGCATTGGAAAATGGTCTCATCAACGGTGACTATGTATGCATTTATTATATTTGATTGCGTAAACAACGATTTAAATACTTTTTTTAAGGTGTTCATTGCCTTTCAAATTGTTGGAATTCCTGCCAACGACGATTTGTACCGACAAGATGACCACACCGTGAATGACGTCAGTTGCTTTAAGCCGTTTAGTCATCCTGCCATATTTCATTGAAGTTTAACTTCGCTACTGATTAAGGCTGGCAATTTAGTAATGGAATTGCAACTTGCTTTTTTGTGCAATTATTTTTGAAGTGAATGTGGATTTCCTTCCGTAGTTCTACGTAATATGTAGTTATGATTAGTTATGATTGGTGTAACGGTGCTTTTGCAATTGTCAGACGTTGCTGAGAGCAACCTTTAAATCCTTATTGATGGTGGCGGATGGATCGGCTGGCGCGGACAGCGGTATCAGTTCGTTTTTCCACAAATTAATTGAGGAATTCCGCAAGCGATACAACTGGACGCTGGATGTCGGCCACATGGTACTTTGTCAACTGTCTGCAGTACTCGTATATCAGTTATCGGGTTAAGTGAACACGTTGCAGCATGTTACAGAATGTCGCCGACCCTCTCTGGCTGTATGAGCAACTCCAAGTGTTTGCGCAGGTGCCACACTTCAAATAACTTGCATTATAAAAAATTTCAAGGTATTCCCGGGTGATGCAGGTTTTCCTAGAAATACAAGACGAGTTGCCGTACCTCCGCGGGAAAGACTTCATCAGAAAATTCCTGGATCGAACTTACACAGTGGCTAGCAAAATTATGACCTTGAGTCAGGAGGGACAGATGCTCAGTTTGGTTTCTATTCGACGATTCAACAACGAATTAAACCGATTCGAAGTAAAACAGTGATCAAGTAAAGTAGTCAATTCTGTTGTTGAAATTGAGTTTTTTTAGACGCAACTGACCTATGATCCGCAAAGTGGCTACCTTAACGACACGCAGTTGTCGTGGTACACTCTAGGCAACAAGCTGCCTGCGGATTTTCCCCTGTGTGGTCTGCACGGCGAAAACTGTTGGTACACTCGATCACCGGGTTCGTTGTGAGGATGTATATTCTAATTAAAAAAATATTCAAACGGAGTTTTGTAATTTTGTTTTCCGAATAGAAATTCCGATTATTCTGCCTGCATTAACTGTTGCCATCGTCATAACGGCGGTGTTGATTGCTCTGGTGATGCGGTAAGTTAGACAACGCCTGGATTGAATTGCCAACAATAAATATTTTTTAAAGACAACGTTGAAACATATTTGCAGCCAGAAGGCGCACCAAAAACAATTAGCCAAACTGTTCATCCCCCGCGATGACGTGACCTTTGATGGCACAACAGAGCCTGGCTACACGATGCAGATCAGCGAAGACTCACCGCTGGGAATTCTCACACAAATTCGCACGCATAAAGCGTTCTGCAAACTGCTAATCAATACACAGAAGCGTTATCTAATTCGAAACACAAAATTCTGCCAAACGCTGGCGACAGTAAGAAACGACATATTCGCTATGCTCGTACACGTAAATGTGACGGTCTCTGATTTTACAGGTTTCAGAGCTGCATAATCGATACATTGCACAATTTTACGGAATTCTTGTCGAGAGCACAACGTGTTATTTAGCATACGAAGCGACAGAAAAGGCGACCCTGCGCCACGTCATTCAACGAAGCAGTCATTTTCTCGACGCTGATTTGAAGACCTACTGGATTACCAATTTAATTGAAGTATCCGCAAAAACTGAAGCTTTAACTAAAAGTGCATGTACAGTATCATAAATAATTTTCCGAACCAGCTAACTTTGATACCATTTAAAAGTAACACAAGTTGACACGCATTGATTTTGATTTGAATTTTAGGGAGTCGTTTTTGTACATAAATCCCCACTGAAAAGCCACGGGATGTTGTCCATCGACGTCTGCCTCATCGATTCGCGCTATACTATCAAGATCTCCCTAACCGGATACAAGCAGTTATATGAAACTCTGTGCAAAGATTCTCCAACCGATGCCTGTGATACGCGTCAACTGGGATTGATATTCGCTCAGCTCTTTGGAAGTGCTAACGTATGTGTTGCTGCGTTATTTGCTCACGGTTGCATAGTACTGATGCAAAATATTTTTCAGCAGATTTCGGGCGAGGTAATACCACGTCCCAATGCAACCATTCCGCCACATGTGCAGAACCTAATCAATGAGTGCCTTGCCGAAGAAACCGACGAGAAATTGCGCAAGGGTGTTTTATTCAAACGCCTGAAATCACTGACGCAATCGAAAAATAACATAGTAGAATTGTTACTCCGCCGTCTGGATGAGTACGCGCAGTCGCTGGAAGGCTCGGTGATGGACCGCACCGAGATGCTCATCAAAGAAACACAGAAAGTCGACATCTTACTGCGGGAAATGTTTCCCAGGTAACGGAAATACAGAAACTCCTGAATTTTAGAAAGTTACCTGCATTACCGTCTTTAGCGCGATTGTATCGCGGCTGCGTAACCGGGACCTGGTCTTACCGGAACTGTTCGACTCTGCTACAGTTCTCTTCAGTGATATCCCGGCGTTTGCTGGTCTGGTGACGGTGCTGCATCCTATGCGCATCGTGGAACTGCTCAACACGATGCATAGTCGGTACGATGAGATTGTCGGACGGTTCGATGTGTATAAAGTGGAAACTATCAGCGATTCCTACGTGGTAAGTTGTTGCTAGTCTTTCCTTTATTGTCTTAACGCGCTGTTCACTAATCAGGTTGTCAGCGGCGTTCCGCAGCGAAACGGCATCGCTCACGCCACGGAGCAGTGCGCGTTCGCGTTGAATCTCGTATTAGTTGGTCAGAGTGTCAAGGAGCTGTTGCACGATATGGACTTCTTGGCTGTGCGCATCGGCATCAACTCCGGTAAGTGGGCCCATTCATTTCGGTTTAAACCTATTAAATTTTTTGTATTTGATATTTTATAGGTCCAGTTGTGGCAGCGATAGTTGGTTTGCGGATGCCACGCTACTGCTTGTAAGTTGTAAGAAACTACGAACCGTTTACTGTCATAAGGACAAATATACAGCTTCAATAAACACAATTTGTTAGGTTCGGAGATGCGATGAATACTGCAAGTCGCATGGAATCACATGGAGCTGGTAAAACTTCGTTGAATTTTCTCGAACTTTAAAGTGGATCTATTCGGAAAAATCAATATTAAATGTCCATTCACCATGGCAGCAAATATGGTGCACGTCACTACAACGACCAAACGCCTGGTGGAATCAGTGGATTCGCAGCGCTTTCTGTTCGAACCTCGTGGCTCAGTACTGATAAAGGTCAGTTCACCACGCTGTTGTTAAAACAGATGCATGTACTGAAGTGCAGGATTGAAACACCGCAGTGTGCATTTTCAGGGAAAAGGGCTATTGGAAACGTTTTGGCTGATTCATGATTCCGGCGCCCTGACAAGAACAAATTGACGGTTGTCATCTCTAATCTAATCTGTAGCGATATCTAATTTATTAGATTCTCTATCACCCCAAGAGATTTGAATAGTAATATCCGCAAAATAATGCATGGGATTCATATGGTAACGTCCTTGGCTTTTATAATCTGTGCTATGGAGCGAAACAAGTTTTGCAAAGGTTGAATTTAAGGTTCATCGTTCTTTCCACACAAATCAGTCAGTTTTCCAGTTTTTGGCAGACTCGTCGTGTTTTCAAAATCTTTCCCTGTGACCGTAGCACTTGCGTTAAGGTATATTCATACTTCGCGTATGCGCATACAAAATACAGAAACTTGCGGGAGACAAACTTCTGAAATATACTCGTATATTCATAAACCTGTATGCGGGACACATGTTGAAAGTCTGCTTTGTCGAATGTCTGCGCATACTTCGCGAAGTCTGTTGTTATCATTCACACTTCCACATAATTATATCAAGATACTAGAGGCGGTGCCGCGATGACGTAACATCGGTCATCGAAATTAGAAATTGAAACATTTAACAACAAAAATTGGGAACATTTCCTTTTCGACAACAACGTTAATTGGTGCGCTTAAAACCAAGAGCCATTTTATCTTGCCACTCTACTTTGCCGGCCGCACTGTTGAAGTATGATCGATATCCATCCCGGACTGCGCTAAGCTGTGGAGCTTTCTTTTTGTCCATTGCGCGCAAACAGAGTTCATACTCCAGAGACAAATTTTTGTATTTCGCATGTACTGTATTTCGCCAAATACACAAAGTATGAATATACCTTTACGTAAGGCGTATATTAGACAACATGGTTCATTGCTCATTGCGGTCATGTTGGAAACAATGTTGTATGCGAACAGTTTTACACCATTACATGACAGCCGAGACGGCAGAAAAGAAAAACAAACGAAAAACTGCAACAGTTGTATACACGTCCTGTTTAGTGAAGTGATAGGTTCACTAGATGACAGGAAAAACGCTATTTGAGACCTCTGTTAACTCCACAACTGATCGGATCATGCTAGCATATGGATGAAAGCGCAATGAAATACAAAACTAACTTTTGTTCTCGTTTCGAACATTCTACATTCTGTTGGCAGCACAAAATCGAGAAGAACATTAAACAAAAAAGTCTCTCCTTATTGAGCGACGTTGGCTATGTTAGATGTTAAAAATAGTATGGAGAGCCTTTTTATTGCGCTCACTTTGGTCGTCGTTTCAACGTTCACGTATGCAGTGAGAATCAATTTCGTATCAGTTATAATGGAACCAGAAGGCCGCAACGGCTATTTAGAGCGCGTTCCGACAATGGATTTACTGATGGACATTCTGCGAGATCACGACGCAGTGTTTATCAATGCTACTCACATTCCCTTGGGTTATGATAAAAGCCTTGAAGGCAATACCTCCGTGATTCCGTCTTTCTACAAAGTTAGAAGCGGAGATGGACGCTGTGATGAAGCGAAAGCTAATGTCCAAAGCGTGTTTTGGCCGTTTTATTATAGCCACCAGGAGATGTTCGATGCCCCGTGGAACGAGCAAGTGACCATCGTTATGGCAGCAGGTGAAGCAATGAATTGCGTTTTATGCAACGCCGCCATACTTCTACAACGTTTAGAAACGTAAATTAGGAAGATGGTATGTTCTTAAATTTTTCACATAGTTTTCTTGCCTTTAAGGTGTTACTGTAGCCGTTCTATTCTGAAAAGCGTATTCTTCAAATTGCCGTATAAACTGTAAGTAATACTTCGAAAATCACTTTTACAGCAGTTTGATCACACTGACACTTAACACAAAAATTTCACTGCTAAACAAATTTCGATATGGTCCAGCTTTAAGCCCATTTCCTATGCCCCGCATAAACCGCCTGATGCGAGCGTAATTTGACCCTAACTGATTTTGAAGTTTTTAAAATTCCCGCATTTTCGATTTCCGGCTCCTCATCTCATAAGAGGGTTTTTTTGCCAAAAATCGCTTGGAAAATAAAAGTTAATGACGAGGAATTACGAAGTTAAGAGTTAATTAGGAGAATTAGTCTACAAAGGCACGCGTGCCGGTTTGAACAAGTTACAAGACAACTCCTTTCCCCTGTGCGACGCACAAACAATGCGTTAGGAACCTCAGAACCTGCCCGGATTCAGGGCAGCATCCTATCGGCAAACTCCTTTGCATAACATGCAGGAATTAATTTTGTCCGAGTCGAAGGTCTGCTGATACCATAGAAAACTGTTACCGAGAGACCACGCACGAAGCTATTGTATCTGTACATGTACGACATCTGTTGTATCTGTACATCTGTTGTATCTCGTATATATCAAAAGCATGCACGGACCCTAAATAGCAACAATTCCAAGCATTTTAACCAGAGGTCTGCGTAATTTACCACCGTTTTTTTCTCTCGTGATTTTAACAATATTAAGTGCTAAACATTCCTCATATGACTGATGACCAAACTGCTCCACGTGTTTCAGCATGTGAGCAAGCAGTAATGGAATTGGCGTACGCCACAACCGGCATCAATGTACCGCTGCTGGTTATATCACCGGATACCCGTTTATCCGATGTCGGACGTTTTCCTGCCGTACTAAACACCTTTTCGATGCCGGATTACCTCTTCGCAGCGACCCTAGCTGCCATGGCCGTCAAATATGGTTGGTCAGAAGTAACGGCGCTATGCACATACGAACGAACCTTTCAGAATAAAATGTGCAACAATATCGTCGAATATCTGGCGTTGGTGAAAAGCGGATTGCAAGTGTTTTGCCATTACCTACCTATCGACCGCAGCAATTTCACGACGAGAGGAGTTTATGATGAAGGAATAAAACTGGCGAAAGAGCGGCGAGGTTTCTACATAAACTTTTAATACAGATACAGCTGTATCACAATTCGCAACTATCTTCTATTCTCTTTTGCAGTAACTCTGGTTTCACTTCCACCGTATATCATGAGACATTTCATGGTAAAATAATTTTAGTGCTAGACGGAGCTAGAGAATCTTTGCAGCTACGTTACGAATTGCAGATAAGTGCGCTGGAAAACAACCTCGTCACTGGCGAATATGTATGCATTCTTGCAATCGGGAGACAGTCATAAATGCTATCGAACTATTGTATACCTTTTATCGGCTCATATAGGTGTTCGTTGCGTTTCAAATCATGGGAGTCCCTGCGAGCGATGATTTATACCGACAAGACGACCAGAGTGTTAACATGGTTCGTAACAACGTATTTTTTATTGAAAATAATCATGCTACAGTTAGCGCTCTTGAATGATTTAATTTTTAATGTTATCTCCTTTACCAAATACCAAGTTCCGATAACAGAGGCAATCATAATTGTTAGACGTTGTTGAAGAAAGCTTTCAAATCCTTGGTGGTGGTTATGGACGGCGTACCGGAAGCAAACGGTACTTTGGCTACACTTCGGCAAGAACTCATAGAGGAATTTCACCTGCGCTACAATTGGACAATTGATATCGACCATTTGGTATGCTTTTTTGTCTTTAGTCATAATATAGGCTATCATCAGTGCTCGGTTGCTTCCAAAAATATCTGTATGTTGCAGAGTGTCGACCCGTTATGGCTCTATGAACTGCTCCAGTTGTTTGCTCAGGTGCGGCGTTTTGCTCACGATAATGTTATTAATGTATCACAGTCCTTTTTACGGGTACATACCGTACAGGTTTTCCTTGAAATTTATAACGAGCTGCCGCGCATCCGCGGACGAGACTTCATCGACAGATTTCTCGGACGGACATACATGGTGGCCACTAAAACTATGACATTGCGCCCGACCGGACGCATGCTGAGTCTGGTTTCTATTGCGCAGTTTGACAGCAACCGAAGCCAATTTGTAGTGAGTAATAATTGTGAAAATACTGATATTTCGCAACTTGCGCTTATAGTTTACTTTTCTGTTAGACGAAACTGACTTTTCACCCGCAAACTGAACAGATTGACGGCACCGGCTTATCGTGGCATAATATGGGTAATTTCTTGCCCCCCGATTTTCCCTACTGTGGTTTACATGGTGAATACTGTTGGTATACCAAGTTACCAGGTTAGCTGTCTCCCTGAACTAGCCACCATTTGGATCATAATAAGCCTGATAATCCTCTGATTTCCTGTATTAGTGTTAATCCAGGTAATAGTACCGACATTGACTGGAGTTCTGCTGCTAAGCGCGGTGGTGGCTGTTTTCGTTTTGCGGTAAGCCAGTATTATCAGAAACAGGAAGCGTAATTTTAACACGTTTACACGGATAAAACGTTGCGATTTGCAGACACAAGGAACAGCAGCGTCGGATAGCAGCACTGTTTCTTCCTCGGCACGATGTGGAATTTCGAGCTCCAATTCCCTGTACCGACGCAGCAGTGGTTCATAACGACTCCCCGTTAGGCATTCTTGTCCATGGCAGAAACTTCAGTGCCTATTACAAGCAGCTAGCAAGTGCTACCAAAGGTCACCTTGTCCGAAACACGGCATTCTGCGAAACATTATCAACTGTATGTATGTATGCAACTATGCATGCTTGGTGTCGGTACTTCGTGGCGTGATTTTTTTACAGGGCTCATGCAAGCCGATCTTCTTGCAGATCAGCAAATTGCGCAGTCCCTTTGTTGCAAATTTCTACGGAATTTTCGTGGATAATACTCTGTGTTACCTGGCTTATGAAGCCACCGAGAAGGCAACACTTCGGCATGTAACAAAAAGCAACAGTCATATGCTGGATGTGGATCTGAAAATGTTTTGGATTACGAATTTAATAGAGGTAATAGTTAGAAGTCTTTATGATTTCGCTGACAAATGGTTTAGTGCATTTATGCAACTTTAAGATGTGTCTTATCTGCTAAGATATGCGAACGACAGACAGTACGTTGTGCAGGGTATCTTATTCATTCACAAATCCCCGCTTAAAAGCCACGGAATGCTATCCATCGATGTGTGCCTAATCGACTCCCGCTACACCGTCAAAATCTCATTAGTCGGATACAAGCAATTATGGAAATCACTTTGCGGAGGCTCTCTAAATGACTCACGCGATACATACCAGCTAGGAGTGATCTTTGCTGAGCTTTTCGAAGGTGGTGACGAAAGATTTAATTGCGGAGTGAGTATCCCTCGTTAAACATTTGGCGCAACGTACCCGGCACGCAATAAACACGCTTAATATCTTTCCAAGGGGTCCGTTGAAATATCCCAACAAAATCCCACTCCAGTGGGGCCTGTATACGTGAAAAATTTGATCAACGAATGCCTGAGCGAAAAAACAGATGACAAAATAACGAACGGAATTCTTCGGCAACATTTAAAGCCGCTGGCTCGGTCAAGGAATAACATCGTGGAGTTGCTACTTCAGAGAATAGAGCAGCATGCACAATCGTTGGAAACCGCGGTAATCGACCGCACCCAGGAGCTAGTTAAGGAAACCCACAAAGTTGACGGTTTACTTCGGGAAATATTTCCTCGGTGTGTGTAAGAATTTGTCTGCAAGTGACTGCAACCTAGCTGCCCTTACTTTCACATGATAGAAAATTCGCTCTTTTAGCAATATCGTACTCCGGCTGCGTAACCGCGAACATGTCAGGCCGGAGCTATTTGATTGCGCCACGGTCCTCTTCAGCGACATACCGGCGTTTACCGGTCTGGTGACGGTATTGCATCCCATGCGCATTGTAGAGCTACTCAATGTGATGCACAGCCGGTTCGATGAGACTGTCGGACAATTCGATGTGTACAAAGTGGAGACCATCAGCGATTCCTATGTCGTAAGTTCTTCCAGATCTTGACCTTTGTTATATTTAAACTCTCCTTCGATCCAGGTTGTCAGCGGAGTTCCGCAACCAAACGGTATCGCTCACGCAACAGAACAGTGTGCGTTTGCGTTAAACCTCGTATTAGTTGGGCAAAGTGTCAAGGAGCTGCTGCCTGAAATAGATGTCTTGGCTGTGCGCATCGGCATTAATTCCGGTATGTACAAAACATAGATTTTAGTCTGAGAGGTGGAATCTCATAACCCTTGGTTACATTTATTAGGGCCCGTGGCCGCGGCAATAATTGGTCTGCGGATGCCGCGGTATTGCTTGTGGGTGATATTATTAAACTCTGATCAAATTAACTTCCCATCAGAATGATTTCTTAGGTTCGGAGATGCGATGAATACTGCAAGCCGGATGGAATCGCATGGAATAGGTGCATCTTCGTTAGCTCAATCCAGAAAACAATTGTCTACTGTGCGTATTTCCTTCGCGTTTAAGAAAATGATTTTCCATTGCAGTGAATATGGTGCATGTTAGTAAAACAACAAAGAACTTAGTGGAATCAGCGAATCCACAGCGTTTCCGTTTCGAAGCTCGTGGGTCTGTGTTGATTAAGGTCAGTTTTGCCGGCTCCGATACAAAACTGCGCGCCCTCTTATTTTGATCAGTAGCCGTTGGATTGTAGGGAAAAGGTATGTTGGAAACCTTTTGGCTGACGCATGACTTGGGCGCACTGACTAAAGCAGTCTGATGTTAGCAGCTTCAAAACAGCTTTTTATGGTGTTAACAGCAATTTTTTTGAGTGAAATGCATTGATTTTGGCCATTTTTGGGTATGTGCTTAACGCAGCGGAAGACGAAATTATTTTCATGTAATTACTTTCCCTCGTACAAAAGAACGCACTAACAATAGTTTTTGAATTGGGTCGTGGTTAAAGGGACACAATAATATTTATTTTTTCATACACGATGATTACACACAAAGATACTGTGATCTTTTTACTGTCTGCGAACTGGAATTGTTTGTACTATTCGGAAACTCCATGAAACCGTTAAGGGATATTACGTGTAATATAACCATCGGCTAGCTGTTGAGCAGAATCATAGATCTGGTCCATGATATTAACTGAAATTCCAAACTAGCAATCAGTGCGCTTATAAAAATCGCCAGCCACTGCACGGTCATTACGATTTTACTTCAGCTTATTCAGTGAGCAGGCAAGGTACTTTCCAGGAAAGCACTTCCCAGTCTGGTACACATAGTGCAAATAACCGAGTAAGAAAGGAGACGAGCAGGAGAGGAGAAAGTGGAACAATCATTTGCACCATAAATGCTTCACCATCATTAAATCATAACGACTGCTTAAAATGTAGGAGAAGCATGTTAAATAGTGTTTAACAAAGTTGCAGCTAAAGATGTTTTCTCCACCACCCGTGGTCTTCTCACGCACAGTTTTCAGCCACGGCGCTTGCGGACAAAACCAGCAAAAGCTTGGCACAAAGGTATACCGTAGACGGCGAAGATCATAACGGCAAGCATGATGTTGGTCTTGGCCTTGGCGTGCGGATCCCGGGCTGTACTGATCGACTGCCAGCGCACAAAGTCCATCCAACGCTTTCCGGCGTTCCTCGAAATGACGAAGAGAGCTGCGTAAAAGAATGCATCAACATATCACTTATAATGCATAGATAAATCAGATAGTTTGAAATATTGTCAAATGCCTAACCGAGAAGAGCTATAACAGCTAGCACAAACGAAATGTCTTACCAGACCGTCTTGGTGGTGGTAGTGACAGCGGCCCACCGGGCACGAAGATCTCCTTAATGTTGGACCGTTTAAATACAACAATTTGGTAAACCTCGTTGCACGGAGGGATAACCTGATTAGCCAGGCGATCCTCCGTTCCAAATGAGCGAGCTGTATAAAAAATGTAAAAGAATAGTAAAAAACATTTCAGTAGTGGGAAATTTTTCAATGCAAGGTTGGAAGGATGTGAATAAACAATTATAAGGGCCAAAACATTGTACTCAACCGTTTCCTGGTACTGCTGCCGTCCTCCTGCTGCAGACTCTAGACGTTGTGGCTGAACCTGACGTAAAGTTCCGTGCCAGATTTAACGGTATGTACTGCCGTAACGTCACTTTCCAAGTGGGTTACGGCAGGTACAAGAAAACAGCCCGAGCAAAAAGCTTTCTCCTTTGATAACAAAATGTCTGTCTGATTTACCATGGCGCGCTGGATCCGTCCAGTGCGTGAGTAACTGTCATCACTTTAGTTTCATTCGAAAGAGCAATTCGTTTTTAACATAGAAGGTTTAAGTAAAACCAAGATTATCTCAAGATTCAACTTTTTTATGAATTATTTTGAAAAATTGGATAGATTTTGAGCTGTCCTGCGGAAATTTGAAATTACCCATTCCGAAATTAAAAACTGCCGCTTTTCAGCTAAGTACAATAATTTATCTCACGTTAGTGTTTCGGGTAAAGGGGTTGTTTATAAACTGTAAAGAACAGCAATATTCTATCAACCGTTTTCTAACAGCTGTCAACGAAAAAACGGCAGTTTCGGAAATACAGTTGACGTGAAGAAATTTAAGGAATAAAAGATCGTGCACGCAGGTAAAGCTAAGAAATGTAGTACCGAAGGCCAGGGTCAAAAATGGTAGTGTACAGAGTAAAATATAGGAAAGGGTAATGTACGGAGTGGTCACCATAACTTAAATACGTGTACCCTGCGTTACACATAGATATACAGTATTTTCTTATAATATTATTATATACAGTACGTACTTTACGTGTATATACTACATATGTGGGCTTTTCCCACATGAAAACATGGGGCAAATCGGCGATATACCAGTTTTTCCCTTAAATCTTCTGCAAACCATTAAGCAGATAAAAGCTACCGCTTAAAACATAAGATAACTGGACCGTCTGCGCCAGCTGTTTTAATTAAACATACATACCTCGTTCGTAAAATTTAATATTATAAATGAAATTAATAAAGTGTCTGATATGCAGTCTTTCACCATTAATTAATACGGATATTACAGTCAGCGAAAGAAAAAGCAGCTCAGTGCTTCGTTACCCGTACGCGTAATTTGCTCTCCCAGTTCTAGATAATTTTCCAAATATTTCTAGCTTCGCTTCGGTCTTTCAGTGCTAGCGAACAGCGGTGCACTTCCCTAGTTTATTAACTGTAAAGAACAGCAATATGCTATCAACGGTGTTTGGCCAGTGCAGGGAATAACGGAAACTCCGCACGAATAATTCTCGTGAAATCCGCAAGAGGGGTTTTTGAAATTAAATTCCTGATCAACGCTTTATAAACCTATCTGGCTCAATCTTGTTTCTGAAAGGCCAATGTGAGAGCTACATTTCGAAGCAGAACTGGCATTTTTTATTGGAACCAATCATGCAGGCAAAAATTTTAACAAAAAACACTTATGAAAATCAAATAAAAAACCGGCATTTTTTGGAAAAGTCACACTGTCAGAGTGCGCAAACTGTATAACTCGCCCAGCGGAAGCCGTATGTCCACAACTGCTTTACTATTAAAAGAAGATGTATTCCTCTAAACAAAACAATAGAAAATGTTCAAAACGTCCATACCGATACGTGAAAGAAACGGCACGAGATAATATATTTTGCAACCTGGGATACAAAAATTTTTACACGGTTTTAACTGGCAGCGTTGCAAACGAGCACGGCTTGATGTTTTCAAAAATAGTCTGCTGAATTCTGTAGCTAATAAAATTCTCTATCGAACCAGCCTAAATAGTTAACGGTACGGCAACGAGCCCGCGAGAAACAAATCAAAACGATAGACCGACATTTTGTTCAGCCACCCGGGATATTAGGACCTAATTATTAGGTTCGCTAAACCTAAACCTAATACCTAATACCTAATACCTGAAATTACCTAATACATGTATTTGTAGTAAAGGCAGCGGCCTTTACTACAAATACATGTATTAGGTAATTTCATAAGAAATGTGGTTAAACTTATTATTTATTATTCACCACAGTTTAAAATTACATATATACGGAATATTTTTTAGATGCTTAATGTGTTCCTTTAGAAAAGCAACCAATTTGAAATTTCTGAACGATCTCTCAGTGGAATTTAACCGAGCATAAGGAAACATAAAAAAACTACCCGTAAAATCTGAACTCAATCACCCCTTGGCCGCCCCTCCCTCCCTCAAATTGTCGCCCTGGGCGGCCAATAAACTCGTCGCATTCGCTTTGTAAATCTGTTGTGTACAATACGAACGGAACTTCTTGCTAAGTCGAAAGAAATGTTAAATCCCCCCCCCCTTCCAGAATTGGCGTCCTCTCTCGAAGCTCTCGAAAACGTGGAAGCCCGGGCGTTGAATTCGCATTTTACGGTATAATTATTTAGAAATAGCGATCCTTACGACGTTACCTTCGCCAAGAGAAACGGATTCCTCATTCAGATCAATCACTGTTCCTTCGTAGCGAACATCCGATTGCGAAAGCAAATTAACTTTGCAACCGATGTATCTCTGGGCCCAAAAAGGTTTTTGTCCAGCCATGATTAACCAACAGTAAGCAAATACAGAGGCGAGTTAAAGGTTGTTAAAATACTGAAAATTTACATGCATTGATTCTGTGGATCTCGTGGCGCAGTAACTGCACAAACTGAACGGATCGAGAAACCAAGCCTTTACGAAGTTCTGATTAATTTAAATTGCTCCTACACGCCACGCGAGAACACCAAAGGTGGGCTCGGAATTTACTTCCTTTGGGCAGTTATGCCGAACATGGCCGGAAACGGCCCCAAGCCATCACAAGACAACAAAAACAGAAAAATTTTTATGCAGCAAGTGACACATGTTAGCGTTTAACATTCCCCATTTATAACAATTCGCACACACATACATACTGTAACAGAGAGACCACTAGAAAGGGGGCGTGTCGTGTGTCGCAATACCCGGATTCCTGCGTCCCTCTGAATCCAATCCATTGCTCCTACACGCCACGCGAGAACACCAAAGGTGGGCTCGGAATTTACTTCCTTTGGGCAGTTATGCCGAACATGGCCGGAAACGGCCCCAAGCCCAAAAAGCCAAAACAAAACACAAGGAGACGGCGGAAGAGATCCGATAGAGCGTTATGAGGATGGCAGTCGATAGAATCGGTTGCAACGATTATGCAGTTAAGTGAGAACGATAAGAGAGGTGCGGAGTTCCGCAAGTCTCTGCACATTGACGAAAATAATTTGTAAATTAAGTGATCCACAGAAAACGCAAATCAGTACGGCTTAGGGCGGAATTCCACCGAGCGAAGTACATCTGCACGAAAAATGTATAAAGCCGGTTACAAGAAAGTCTTGTCGCGTCCGGCGGTAATAAGCAAGACAGACGAACGATTTTGTTGGTCTGGGATTTCCACAGACTGAGCTAAATCCACGCCTGAACCCTGGATTGGGATGCTGCTAATAACGTAAAGTGCTGCACCGACGGAAATCACGTCCAGCACAGCACGGCTTAGAAAATAAATGTTCGCAATCAAAGAATTGCGTACACAAAGCAGGTAGCGACGGAATTCCTGTCGCATCCTACGGCTACGACAATAAGACAAAATTAATGGCAACCACGAAAACGATACCATATAAGATTAATACAACGACGCACTACTGGAAGGTAAAGCGCTGCTTTAGTAGGATTCACACGTACACGGTACATAAGAACGTACACAATCGGAGATGCTTGCACATAAAACAGGAAGCAATGGAATTCCTATCGCGTCCTACAATTAGTGGAAAATGATAAGCACAATTCTTCGGTAGATCTGGGAATTCCACAGGTCAACCGCAAATAGGACGGTTCCGGGAGTAAAGAAGTAATCTATGCCACGTAAAAGTTGTACAATACAACAAACGGGTTGAAGATCCGGAATGTGAAAGGCAGACAGGTCACGGCAGCAGAAGCGGTAACAGTTCAACGGCAACAGAAGACAATTGAGCGAAGACGAAGAATCCGGGTCAGAAGAAGATTTTATTAAGGTAGGAAGCAGACTGAAGTAACTCTCCAGGAACAACATACAGGTCGTGATCGAAGGATTCAAAGGTTACCAGTGTTTTGGTGTAAGAGGCAGCGCGGCGATCTCTTCAGCAGGGTTTGCGTAGGAAATCCCGGGAAAGTCCGTACGGTGGTAATTTGATGGCATCTCCCAGTGTTAAGGAAAATTTATGGACAGTGGACGAAAACTCCATGACCGGCTCGGCAACTGCGATGTCTTGGTTCGGAGCACTGGCGGAATTCCGCCCGGTAGGCGTAGCCCATGGAACCGAGTCAGCAAGGCTGAGCGACTGATGCAGAACAGGTGGCAACAAATAGTGGTCCAAGGCCGGTTTCCTTTCCATGTTCGGGTTACGGGCATGCTGTCTTTCCACATGACAAATGGGACGGTTGACGTGTTGGCGGTTCATGCGATCCAACTTCTTCTTACTAACTGGTCGAGCGCAATCAGCAGATACACATCCGGCACATGCTTTACCAAATGCAGACATGATGAAATTGATGCAATTTATACGTCAAAGGCATCTGCAAGCTGCTGTCAAACATACGGTATCACGATGGCGTCATAAAGCTAAAGGTCACGGGTCACCACACAACTTTGCAAAAATATACAGTAGAAAAAAAGTTTTTATAATTTTTATGCAGCAAGTGACACATGTTAGCGTTTAACATTCCCCATTTATAACAATTCGCACACACATACATACTGTAACAGAGAGACCACTAGAAAGGGGGCGTGTCGTGTGTCGCAATACCCGGATTCCTGCGTCCCTCTGAATCCAATCCGTTTCAATTATGTGCAATCAACAAATGCCCATTCTTTCTCTCCATTCACCTTTAGTGCGGACATTTCGTACAGCACGGCGTGTCTGCCTACTCCCACCCAGTCACAGTCACAGACTTTAGCAATACCCCTTGGCTGCTTGGTCACAGAGTACTAACTTCTAAGTGACACGCTGACAGTACATTCTAAATTTCTAATACGCATCCGTTAACCTGATGTAGATGCCTGACGTAGTTGTTTTGAAAAGGAAAAGAGTGCTTATACTGTAGTACAATCAGTGCAGTTTACTTTACTGAAAACATAATCGTGTTTAGTGACATGCACTTATTTTATTTTTGAAATATTTCTATACGAGTATGGTATTCTACGTAACTTTCTATAAAAAACAAACCACATTTTTCGGATTTTGTATCGCTATGTACCAATCATTGTCGCTATTGTTGGCTCCTAGTATACGAGGGAGAAGCATCGCTGAGCTTGAGCACTGGACCCAGCTTGTTTGGAACAGGACAATGGACAGTTTACGTCCAACCGAATTAAATCATGGCACGCTTAAGAAATTTTGTTGGGGTGCCTGCGTAAAAACGAGTTCCATAAAATGGCCTCGAAGATTCCATAGTAATAATAATAAGTTTCTAATTTCTTTAGTACTCTGTAATAATGTGTTCTGCATGGATGAAAGGTTAAATACAGGTTTTCATATGCAAGGAGGCCCAGCAACGAATTAAGCAATTAGAATGCACTTTCTTGGCTAGCTTTTAAGTGTAATTTCTATAAAGCCGCCGAAAAATGTCCAGTGCGACAATAAAATGGTAGAAAAGATAAAGTAATAAATCTCAATAAACTTCTTACAGGAGAAGCGTGAGATGTCTCAGTTAGCCAGCAAATTACCGGTACAGATACGGCTGAGGGAATCGAATTTGCTCATGGCCCTGTGCATCTGTTATGACCACAGTATCTGTACAACATCACAAAGTATTGTATATGTAGCGGTATTTTAAGCGCTCGATGTTTGAACGGGAAACGGAAGTGCACTTATGGACACACAGGCGGAACGACTGAAAGGTGTGGTTATTCCTTTCCGGATCATACAGCGACGCTGCACAGTGTACATCATTTCCCCTCAAAATATACCGGTACAGATACATGTTTGCACATGCTAATGAGCTGAGATACCTGAGCCCTTTTGCATTTCGTGAAAGCAATCGATAAGTGACTGTAAATAAAATTCTCCACATGTCCACAGAAAACATCAATCTTGATATTCATTTGAGACCGCATTGTATCAATAAGCGCAGTGACAATAATTATGGACTTACTGCAGCCGCGCCCGAATGTGAAATTTCTTGAAATTTGCCTGGTTTTGTTTGTATTTCCTGAATGTTTTTCTTTATCAATTAACGCTAATCAGGCTCCACGGATCAATTTTGTCTCGTTTATGATGGAAGCGGAAGGGCGGGGCGGTTACCTGGAAAGAGTGCCTACACTGGACATTCTGGTCGATCATCTACGGCAGCATGACCCACTGTTCGCCCGTGCCCGGCATATACCGATGCAATTTGATAAACGCGTGGAAGGGAATACGTCAATCGTACCCAGCTTTCTTCGCGATGCCAACGGGCAACGTTGCGATGGACCCAAAAGCAACATTCAGAGCTTCTTCTGGCCGTTCTATTACCAGAATGAACACATGTTCAATGCGTCATGGGATGAGGAGTTCACCGTTATTATGGCATCAGGTATAAAATTAAAATTATTTATCTTACCAGAATTTTCCAAATTAGAAAAAAAAGGAACAAACAACTATCACCAGTAAATAAACAATTTTCACCAGTAAACTGGTCTTTCAACCAGTTTTAAATTTTAATTAAAAACAAAATTCATAGGAATCGTATAACGCGTGTTGCTGGTCTTAAAAACTAAAATTTTGTAGATTTTTAGTATTATCGTTAAATGAAATCCTCAAATATGTATTAGGCTTATTTGAAAACTGCTTGTTTGGGTAACGGTTTCCTGTCTGTGCTGCATTTTAACTAGTACATTTTTATTTGTTATGAAATCAGTATCGCCGTTTCCAAAACACGACAGCCCGGAGTCAATCAATAACAATTTATGGACAAATGCGGCGACTCTGACATATATATACGTCAGATGTTTGATGGTTCACAAGATATTATTTTTTAGTGTGCGCTGACGCGGTGATCGAACTGGCGTATGCAGTATCGGGTAAAGTTAACTTACATTAAAAAATTTTGGGTACTTCTATTAATAATTAAAAAATTATTTTATCTGTCAGAAATTCTACTGTTCAAATTTCAGGAATCGATGCACCCATGCTGATTGTTAATCCCGATATCCGCCTGGCCAATGTCCAGCGTTTTCCTAACGTCCTCAACATCTTTTCCATGCCGGATATAACGTTTGTCGACACACTGACCACCATGGCGCACAAGTACTCCTGGTCCAGTATCACTGTGTTGTGCACTTCGGCACCGGAAATGAGGATGTTATTCTACACTTTAATGTGTTCGGCGCTGCCGAGTCATCTTGCCCGGCTGAAAAGTAGTGTGAAGGCGTTCATCCATTCGTTTCCGGTGAATCTTAAAAGCAATCGTAGTGAACAGTTTGCTGAGGCTTTGGTCGTTGCAAAGAAGCGCAGAGGTACAAGTCTTCGCCCAACTAAACGATGTCCAACATATATTATTAAAAAATATTTTATAGTGACGGTCCTCTTGTTTCCACCGGCGCTGACCCGCCGCTTCATGGTAACCTGTTTCCAAAATCATAAATATACTCGTAATTCCAGAAAGTCAATGTTAACAAAAACTTTTCGTAACTGCTTTACACTTAGGTTGCTGCTCTTGATGCGGGATTGATAAACGGCGATTACGTAAGCAATCCACAGCATTTCACTAATTTTTCTGTAAAATAAATTAATTTCATAAAATATCTTAAAGAATTCGCTCCACATATTTTAACATAATCCGAAGGCATACTCTGTTGTACGGTTGCCTGTACCTGATGCAGATATTTGTCGTATTCGAAATTGTCGCCGTTCCGGTTAACGATGACCTTTACGGGGATGATGCCGTGGATAATACCGTCAACCAGGTTAATAATTATTACTGTACAACTAAAGGTCGTTGTAGATAAGGCACCAGCGTTAGCGTTGTTGCTTTTGTTTCAGACGGCGTTGCGGGAATCGTTCCGGTCACTGCTGGTTATCGGTGACGGATCGGGCGGGCAGCCAGCTGCTGTCGACTCATTCTTCGACGATCTCATTGAAGCGTTTCTAATACGCAACAACTGGACAACAGATCGATCACACTTGGTATCTCTTAGTCAAAAATGTCGAAAACGTGTACAGACTAAAGGCTATCCAATACACAGATTATCCGGTTTTATTTTTTTTAAATTTAATGTTATGAAATAAATCAGTTTGTTTCGTGCTTTTTTTAGTGCTTTTAGGTGTTGTTATTAAATTTTTTCAGAGAAATTAGCTGAACCGATGCAAATTACATGATGCATGACGTAGCGGGCAACAAATGCAAATGATTGATGGCAGTATTGCTTGCAGAACATCGCCGATCCACTGTGGCAGTACGAACTGTTCGAAGTGTTTTCCCAGGTGCGCAGTTATTTCTCGTTTGCATAACAAGTGCCAGATTATTCATTGTTTTCGTCTTTCTACAGGTGTTTTTAGAAGTGCGCCAAGAACTGAGCTTTTTAACGGGCGCAACATTTATCAAGAAATTTCTCAACCGAACGTACGTTTTACCAACCAAAACCATGACGGTGGATGCTTCGGGAACTGTTCTCAGTGTGGTTTCCATTGGGCAGTTTAGCCCATCCTTGGGACGATTTGATGTGCGTACCTGACCGCTGCCGTAGTTGATTATCTGGCAGCCTGCAAATTTTGTATGACTACTGAACATTTAATCGACCTGCATAAAAATAAATTTTTATTTGTTGCAGACTGCTATTTCATTTGATACTCGAACCCGTTTCCTCAACGCTTCCCGGGTAACGTGGTTTAATAATGCTACCACCTTACCGGCTGATTTCCCACTATGTGGACTACATGGCGAAGATTGCTGGTATACGCAGTATCATGGTACAGTTCTTATATGGAAATGTAGATAAACGTCTATCTTTTCTAATTTTCCGCACATTTGCACCACGACCTGGTTTGTACTACACACAGAACTTCCGGCTGCACTTGGAGCCGTTGTCGGTTTAATCATCGTTGGAACCGCAGTAACCGTTGCTATTATTCGGTATGTTTCGACTTCCATTATCTTCCAGTGAAATGTTTGTTGAAAAGCAATAATGAGTTGTAAAAAACAATTATTTATCAGTTACCTTAGAGAAAGGCAAGTGAAAGTAGCCCGTTTTTCTTGTTTGTCTTACTGCTTTAATATTATTTTTCTGCTTACTGCTTTAATTTTATTACTGCCGTCTTTTACACAGGAAGAAATCAAATCGTGACCGTATATCGAGCCTATTTCATGTCCGGGATGCAATGCAGTCACCAGGAGGAACACCGAGTGATGAGACAAATGTATGGCTTGGTGAAAAAGAAGTCTTTGCCAAAGCTATCAAATCCGGCACTATCAAGCGCAATTTTATGCAAAACACCAAATTCTGTCGGACGTTGCTGACGGTAATATAAAGATACGAGCAATGCAAGATATTCTACAGAACCGAAAAATATTTTTGATCGGCGATCGCAGCATGCTTTTGCAGATCGAAGGCATTCACCATAAATATATAGCAGCGTTTCATGGGATACTCGTGCAGAACCATCAGCTCTATGCTGTATATGAAACCTCAGAGAAGGGAACAATACGTGCCTTTCTCCAGCGAAACCGGCACTTCTTAGATGTCGACTTGAAAACGTACTGGGTGACGAATATATTAGAGGTACACTGTACAATTGTACAAACATGCATTGTATAATTTACGACAAACGCTGTTACTACTTCTATACCTTTTCCTCAGGCGTTGGTGTACATCCACAAGTCGCCTTTGAAAGGGCACAAGATGCTCTCGTCAGAAGCGTGTTTGGTGGACGCACGTTATACAATTAAAGTCCTCCTAACCGGATACGCACACCTCGTACAATGCGCTGCCAGTCACGGAGCACCATCAGCAACGTGTGACACGTATCAAACGGGTCGAATTGTCGCTGAGCTGTTTGTAACCACCACCGTAAATTTTATCCCCAAATTTCCAAACGCTTATATATATATCAGATCTATACATTCAAGTCAATATATCATGCTCATACAAATGTATATCAAAATAATCAAATTCTACTTTAATTGTATTTATTATTAAAAATATTTTTATTTCAATGATTTTATTAGCTTCTTTTATTTTTTATTTTGAATTATTTCATTGAATACGTTTTGTAATTTTTATATTATTATCTTCATTATTTTTTTAAATATTATTTTACTTATTTTATTGTAATTTTAAAAAATTATTTTATTAATATTTTGTAACTTGAAGCACGGTGAAAAATGAGTCATGCCACAAAGGCCACATTAAGTACTGTACACTACTCACGTACAAATCAATATCAAGGTTTTCGTTCACATCATTGAAGGAATGTTTTCTCTTCAAATTTGCGATAAAGTTGATTATTATTATTGATTACGCATAATAACGCATTTCCAGGATTCTGATGGGTGTATCGTGGTGGACAACTCCACAACACCACCGCCAATCCATAACCTTATCATGGAGTGTCTCGCCGAGAAAACCGACGAGAAATTGCGCAACGGCGTACTGTCCAGGCGACTGCATTACTTTGCTCGTGTCAAGCATAACATCGTGGAGATGATGCTGATGCGGCTTGATCAGCACGCCCAACATCTGGAAGCCGTCGTGACCGACCGCACCGAGATGCTGATTAAAGAGACGCAGAAGGTCGACCATCTATTACATCAGATGTTTCCAAGGTGAATTTAAATACACAAAAATATATGTAAAAATTACGTAATTAAAATTTTCAAGTGAAGGTCTAATCAAAACATCAATGCAGTGGTCTGGTTCTCCGGTTGCGAAACCGTGAAACGGTGGAAGCTGAGATGTTCGAATGTGCGACGGTAATATTCAGCGATATCCCGGCCTTTACCGACCTGGCCACGGTACTATCGCCCATGGCCATTGTTCAGTTACTGAACCTGATGCATTCGAAGTTCGACGAGATTGTCGGACGGTTTGATGTGTACAAAGTGGAGACTATTAGCGATTCTTATGTGGTAAAACAGTAAAGACAATTTACGCTTAAAGCTTGTCAAAAATAAAAATCGCGGATAAAAAACATACCACGCATAGAATTTTATTTTTTGTCAACGCAGGTAGTTAGTGGCGTACCGAATCGTAACGGAACCAGCCATGCAAGTGAGCAGTGCGCCCTGGCATTGCATCTTTTACCCGTCGCGCAAATTGCTAATACGGTCTTTCTTGATACCGGTCTTCTGGCGGTCCGCGTCGGCATTAATTCGGGTTAGTGGTAACGAGCTGAGCCATGCTTCCTTTTTTAGCTCTTTGAACTCTAATTTGTCCTGCAGGTCCGGTTGCGGCGGCTGTGGTCGGATTGCGAATGCCTCGCTACTGTTTGTAAGAAAAAAACAAATATTCGTTCTCGCCTACATGGTTTTGCGCAGCGCAACCCGGTACTAGGCCGTTTAAAGAGGGGGCCTACTTGAAAAACGACAACTGATAAAAGTCAACCGATGTTTTCTTACATTTCGATTCATACAGCGCTTTTTGTGCGATTTTTAACTGGAAGTTTGTGGAGTTTTTTCAGGAATAAATCTTTGTAGCGGTAATAATTCTTGCTTATGCATTGGCAGAAGATTATTTGTTGTGGCTCAACACAAGCTGTTATAGTGGGTGTGTTCGTGCGATGCCATGAAGAAAAGGCGTTTCCGAAACGAAAAACATTGTATTATACATGGCTTTAATACATTTCTTACGGTATAACAGATTCGGTGATGCGATGAACACCGCCAGCCGCATGGAATCCCACGGGGCCGGTTAGTATCCGCGGCATAACACGCTATCCGCAATCTGCACACGGAGAAATGTTTTTGTAACAGCGCACCGAATCCACCTGACCCTCAGCACGAAGCGGCTAGCCGAGGAAAAATATCCCCATCGTTTCGTTTTCGAATCCCGTGGGATGATACAAGTCAAGGTGTGTCTTGACTAACTAGTGCGGCTTAAGCAAGCCACTTTGCGCGGTGACACGCAAAGGGTTGGGTTGGCCAAACGCAATCTCATACAAAACCAAAAGTAATTTTCCCAAAAAGACTGCCCACAAAAACTGGCACGACTGTTGCTATAGAGGCGCAGGGGCTTATTGAAAGATTTCATTGCCACCGTTCGATATTTATGTTGCATAAGCCGCCGGGCATCGGATTATCGTGTAATCAACAGGAAGCTGCAGTTAAATAGACTCAACACGCAATCGAGTTAATGCGCTAAGCTCCGGTAAATTTAGGCACTGTAATGTGTAATCCGCTTTCATGTAAAAACCCGTGCTGCATGAGCGATATAATTGCGTTTTGGCATCGGTTATACAGGGCAAAGGTTTAGTGGAGACGTTCTGGCTGCTGCACGATACGGGAACAACGGGGAAGGATTTAATCAGCGCGAACTGAAAGTGATTGCCCGACATTTACTCAGCATCAGGGGATCTTCAGTCGCACACATAAGCCAATTACCTCGAAGCATGTCTTTGTTTGGACCCGATAATTTTGGTCTACACAGAATAAGGTCATGTGCCCGGAATTTTACATGAATAGTCGCATTACACTGGAGACAATAGAACGACGCACTTGTCGGCGGTGTTTGCTGGAAGAATATTATTTCATGATGTCAGTGATGATGATGCTGAATATCCGTGGTATAATGGCAGCTGTATGAGCACTATAAGCCGAAGCATATTAAATTTGCATAGCGTATCATTTTCCCTGTGAATTTCCTCATTCAGTCGTATCGCTTTCTAAATAATAATAATTTTTTAATCTGATTTGTAACGGCTCCGGCGTTATAAGACTGGCCTCATACAATGTGGCTCGTGTTGTTTTCGTTGATAACCTTGGTATGCTGTGTGTGCCGTTGCCGTGCTGGATGGACAGACTTGCCGGAGACGGGCGAGGAACTGCTCCATCCGGATGATGAGCAAATTGTGATGCACAACGATTATGATACCGATACCGATGATTTTTTCCGGGATCGCAAAGGTATGCAGGCTTCTTCCTTAGTACTCGTACCGAGAGTAGCAACCTAGTGGCAGAACAAAATCCTGTAGCAAATTAAACTGCACTACACAAAATTTTAATCGCCAGTAGCCAGAGTTACCAGGCACTTAATCAAGCGCCCTAATCCTCCATAAATTATTTCAGTATAAATAATAACTTAACGTTATTTTATGGTTTTGCAGAATTTCGTCGCGGCTTCTACGGTTGCTGGAGCATGTTCTGTTTTGGATCACCATTTCGCGCTCGAAACAGGGTGCGCATAAAAAATTATAGCAGATTTTTCTAATGATAAATAATTATCATCGCAGCAAAGATTAGGTTCGCACAAAGTTTTTTACTGTGCGGATGCTAATTACAAAGTATCGTATTTTCGTAAATCAAAACGCATGTATAGTGTATACTCCCCAAAATAGTTAATCTGGTTTTTATCGCCAGCAAAATAATGAGAAATGTCTATATACGTATATAGCGCTTCGCCGACGTCATCCTCCCACCACGCCGCGCCAAGGTGATCCTCGGGACGCGCACCAGCCGCCTCGCTCCCGCCCCCGCTCCCACCGCCCCCGAGGCACCGGTCTCACCCATCGTACCGTCGGAATTCTACCCAAACCGTGCGGCTGCAGGCGGCAATCTCTTTAGTTTCTACAGCCTCCCGGTCTACAACTACCACGAATACAACCGCCGCTCCTCTGCAGTCGCCTTGGTGACGCCCAATAAAAATAAAAAACCCCCCGTGCCGCCGTTGTTAGCGCACTTACTGCGTAACGCGCAGCAGCAGTAATAACCTTCACACTCTGTTCTCCAAAGTCGTGAACACGCTGGCAAAATAATAAAGCGCTTTTCTAGTCTTGTATTCTGATCGATAGAGTGGTGTGTATAATCAATACTGGGCAAATAAATCTGGCTCGCTACCGGCATCGATTACGACGAGCAAACAATTAACGGCACAATGGATAATTGTATAATTGTGTTGTATACATATTTCTCCCGCGTCGGGCAGCGTTCGAGGAGGTCGGTGATCGTGAAGCGTCACAGATGGTGCTGAGAAACAGCCTTGAAAATATTTATTTCCCTTAAATATGTTGTTGACGGGTTTCTGCTTAATTATCTCGCTCCGGTTGGCCGCGGCGACCACCACCTTGAAAGCCGGGATTATCTTAACCCAGGGGAGTAAAAATCTGTACGATTATGATGTGGTGAAAGCCGCATTGCGTGCCGGTTACGATGATTCGTTAAGCCGGTTTGATGTGAGATTTGAAGAACGGTTATGCCTGTATAAAGGCGACTGTAGTGTCACGAATGCCGTGGGACAGACTTATATCTGCGGGGTTACGTATGCGGTGGACGTAATTATCGGTAAGCTAAGAAATTACATCCAAGAAATCCGATTAAAATCCAAAACATCAAAGAAACCTGTTTACGTTACGGAGTGTAAGAAAGCCTAAACAAAATACGAAAATATTTACTGAACATTAGGACCTTGTCAAGAAACGTGGATGTGGAAATTATGACCTTTACAGGGCCTGGCTGCACGGATGATATGATGGCGTCGCTGGAGCCGCAGACCTGGCTGCATATTCCCAGCGTCACGGGCGGCGGGACCCTGGTGGATTCCACAGCCAAATTCCCCTACATCACCCGGGTGTCGTATAATACGTACACGCAATGGGTGTTCTTCATCAATATGTGCAAGAAATTCCTCTGGACCAACGTGGCCATCATCTTCAATCGCGACAACAACGTCAACAAGATCAACGAACAAAGTACTCCTACAATAATATTTTAGTCAATACTTCGTTTCTTACGGCCTGTTTAAACACAGAACCACTTGTCTCTGAATTTTTGGTGGATAATTTATGTGACGGAAGACTAAAACTGCCCGAAGCGGTAGAATGTAGATACAGTGTAAGACTTGAAAACAGGAATCGGCCTGTCTATTCACCGTTTAAAAATTTATTAAAACAATCAGCAAAAAGTTTGTAAAGAGGATCACATCCAGCGCGCAAAAATAGCCAGAACTGGATTCGAACAGAGAAGTGCTTTTTTGCGCGATAAACGTTAAAACGATAGTGTAATGATTAATCCTTCAGAATCCCCGGTGCGGTCGATATTACTATGCATCAGGATCACGTGCTTATGTTGTTTTTAGGTTTAGTGAAGAATCTCAACGCCAACAACATTACACCCATTGAACTACCGCTCGAGGACGGTACCATAAAGATTCCCGCGCAAGCCGAGCAGTACCTGCAGAATGCCAGCTTATCGGCGCGCGGTATGTTCTCTCAAAGCCGGCTCTTGGTTTCTTCCTGTGCCGTCATTGATGTAGTCGGCTAACCGTCTAATTTCCTGTGCCTGTTGTGCAGTGGTGGTTATCTTAACCGATGGAACAGTATTGCGGAAGTTTATGCTAGCCGCTAGTAATCTGGGCTTTACCAATGGAGATTATGCCTTCTTTTCGTTGGATCCCTTCCGCGACGATATCCTTGGAAAAAACGGTTGGCAACTTGGTACGACTTTCCATTAAAAAAATTTTAAAATATTATAATATTTTGGATTATTTCTTAAATTGCAGAAGATAATTTTGATAATCAGGCCAAACAAGCGTATGAAGCGCTAATGGTCCTCACACTCCGCGACACATCGCGGACGGAGCGATACAAGTTATTCGCGCAGACTCTCAACGAGACCGCCGCTCGCGATTTCCCCGGGATGGCCGTGACATTGAACTATATCCTTTTTCTTAAATCGCGGCGTTTTAATGATAGGATTTCTGCGTAAAGTAAATAAGCGGTTTCGTTAACCGGTAAGGGTACATTATGTAGCGTCCTTCTACGATTCGATTCTGGTTTATGCGGCCTCCGTTAATCGCACACTGATGAACGGCCAATCCATCGATCTTCGCGTCAATATTGACGGATTGTCGCAGGCACAATGGAATCGCAGTCTGCCCGGTAAAAAGGCCCAATCCATCCTGTTTTATTTCATTGTTACATTTCACCAGCGCAAAGCACTGATTGGGCATGTGGCATGCTTTATAGGTGCCACCGGGGATGTTTACATTAATCCGCTGGGAGACCGCAATGATGACCACTCCATGTATGGATTCGATGACAAGGGGAACCCTTATGTAAGCACATTGACATGACTGTATGATATGCTGCCGGCATATAGAAAAGCTTTCGCATTAGCCACGTTTCGGCTGTAATTATGACTGCGCAAACAAAACATCCACGAACTCTTACACAGGAAAAGTAATTTCCTACGAAATACAAAAAAACTCGATAAACGTCGATCAAAAAAGCATGCGGCGAACTACAGAAATTAATTGTTTTGAGAAATGTATAATAAAAGTGTTTAAATGTGTCTGAAAAATTTCGATAATTTTTAATAGAATAGCAAACAAATACGAGTTTTTTGTCGACCATTTGCCAGTTCCACTAAAGAATCATTATTGTGGTTGAGGCAGTTTATTTTAGAAATTAGTGCGCAACGGTGCACTAGTATTACACTATTTACTTGCACAAACAAAATGTAGAAATATTTATGCGGTTTGAATTTAACAGTATTTGTAGCGCAACCGCATACCACCATAATTTCCGTCAGTACTCGTCGTTCAAATAGACGCCTAGCTGGATGGTTATCCAGCTGACTGCTTTACACAAAATTAGAATAATTATTCTAGCGGCAGCGTTGCCAATGCGAAAAAGATTAGACCGTTGATTTTGAAATAATCTGCAGATTATTGCCGACTTTTTTGGCTACAAGATTATCCAGAATCCCGCTTACACATTCGACCAAGTGGCGCAATTTCACTGGCTGTCAGCGGCGAAAACACCGCCGATCAATGAACCGTTCTGTGGATATCTGGGAGATAAGCCCATCTGTGATAACTCAAGTAAAGGACACTACTTAAAGTTAACAGTTAGCACCATACAGGAGAATTCTCTAATGCATATTCTATAATTAGTCAGACGAATTATTCTCTAATGGTTTAGTATTTACTGGGCGTTGTTAAGGTTAACGTAGTTAGAACAAAGTACGATATATAATACGACAAATTTTCTGTGTGATAAATAAGCTTTTTAACGGAATAACTTATTAATTATCTGGAATTTCTCGCTTAAGTTCTTGCTTGAGTACCGTAATCATTAAATCACGAATATGATAATCCACATCAGCCCAAACGTACTCAGGAAAATATTTAATTAATTTGTTTACATATAAGTAAGCAAATGTCTTAAACGGTATGCGGTGCCTGCAGAGCAGACACTGGGTATTGCGCTGGGCGCTGTGGCCGGTGTTCTAGTTATCGGCACCGCTCTGGGCATCTTCCTGTACCGCTACTACACCCGCAAAGCCGAACTGGCCCAGATGGATCTACTGGGTACCTGGGCGGATATCCAGAAGCCGCAGATCTTCCTGCCGCGCAATCACGGCAAAGACAAAGAGCATCAGCACGGCTCGGGCGGCAGTCATATCAGTCTGCAGATGAAATCCATGTTCAACGATATGAGCAAGGTTAGCATCTATACTAATCATGTATACCGTAAGGATGGATCATCTTTAACACAAGTTCTCAATAATATTACCGTGTCATGTGACCGTTTCCACTAACAGTTCCAAACCCGCACCGTTATGGCACTGTTCAAGGAGCATCGCGTTATTGTGCGGGTATGCGAAGTGTCGCACGTGGACATGAGCAGTTCCGTGCTGAAGGAAGTGAAGACCGTGCGTGCCATCAACAACGAGAACGTCCTGGCGCTACATGGCCTGTGCCCGGGACCGGGGCGGGCAGTGGTTATGTACAATTACTGTTCAAAGGGCAGCGTCAGTGTAAGTCCATTTATCCATTAAAAAAGATTTTCATCGCCCGGGATTACTGGTCCAGAATTCTTTAAATGTCGCAATGAATGTTGTCGCAGTGAATGAATAGTTAAACATCTAATGTATTTCTATTACATAGTTATTTAGTGTAGAAACTCGAATAAGTTCCATCCGCCTTAAAAAAACAGCTGCTTTTAATGGAAGCACAAAATCGTTTTTTTTACGGGCATGTACAAAACAACCCCGGGAACCGATTGATTCAGTACGATGGTTTCCGCAGCATTCTGCTACAAGCCTCTCGTTATTACTGCCTTCTATTTCGATCTATCGTCTGTAATTTATTTGTCACATCCCGTAGACTGTAAAAAGGCGTTGGTTGGTTAAAAAAAATTATCTACGTAACAGACTGACAGAAAGTGATAGATGAAATTGCTACTAAGTACTATCTTTTAAATGTTAATACACTTATTAATAGGAACAGTAATAGATGCTAATTAGAATGTGTAAAATGTACAAGCTTAATAATATTAAGCCTATTCACGACCAAACTGTATAAAAACGTGCCCCTGCAGGATCTGCTGGAGTCCAGCGATGTGAAATTGGACTGGATCTTCAAATTCTCCTTTATCAAGAACATTCTCAGTGGCCTATCGGTCATTAGCAACGTTCTGGGATGCCACGGTCGGCTGACCTCGAAATGTTGCTTCGTGGACGCGCACTTTATTGCGCGAGTGGCGGACTACGGCCTACCGTCATTCTTCGCTCGCACCGTACCGCTGACGCAAGACAGCGCCTTCTGCGCGACCCTACTGTGGACCGCGCCCGAACTGCTGTCGCGGCCGTTTGCCGGAGGGACCCAAGAAGGCGATGTTTACTCGTACGCCATTATTCTCTCAGAGATCATCATGCGCGAGACAGCGTACAGCTCCACCGGCATGGAACCTGACCGTATGACCGACACTTCTTTAGTTTTTTGTTTACTAAAATGTTATATAAAATTATAATTGTAAACCATTAACATAAGCGTTTCTAAAATGGGCCACGCGATAACGTACGGGTCATATAATTAAAGTACGACATTCTGAAGGGTCACAATAGATATTGCATAATACTCGATGGTTGTAGCAATTGGCAATTATCATAAGCGTCTCGGAAGCAAAGTCACTGGAAACAAGTCACTGTCACTATAAAAAATCTCTAACGTTAATTTAGGTTTACTTTTCTTCAGAGATCGTCGCCAAAGTGGCACAGAAAGCCTACAAACCGTTCCGACCGAAATTCGATGCCAACGAGTGCCCACCGGAAATCTCGGTGCTTCTTAAGCAGTGTTGGGCCAGCAATCCATTGGAACGTCCCCGTATAGCGCAGATCAAAAGCGCAGTAAAAGAAAGCGAGAAGTGAGTTATGCGAAAATGCTGCGTGCCCTTCCAATCGGTACACGAGTTTTTGAACCTATTTGTTCTATCTTCGCAGATCCAACGCCGAACAAGGCAGTATTCTCGACACGCTGATTCGTCGAATGGAAAACTACACATTAGATTTGCAAGCCACCGTGGAAGAAAAAGCGGCACAATTTCAACTGGAGAAAGAAAAGAGCGAGCAGCTGCTGTACCAAATTCTCCCCAGGTATTAATGCGAGATTCTCATGAAAATGTTAGCAAATTGTAAATATTTAGTTTGCAGAGTGGTTGTCGACCAGTTAAAACGCGGCGAACAAGTGAAGCCGGAAGATTACGACAATGTGACCATCTTCCAGAGCGATATAGTCGGTTTTACGACCATCTCGTCCATGAGCAGCCCAACGGAAGTGGTCGACCTGCTCAATGATCTTTACACGGCTTTCGACGGAGCCATCATGAAATTCGATGCGTACAAGGTACTCGTATGTACCCATTTTCAATGGGCAATTCCTCTCTCACTAGGGTATGAATCAATAATTACTTTGTATTATCGAAAGTAAGAATGAAATAATTTCCAAAAGCTTACACAGTAAAACCAGTTGCAGTCAAAAACCTATTGCACTAACTTGATAGTATATTATCCCATTTTTTTGCTATTACGTAATACCAAATAATTACCGAACTGTTCTTCTAATTACAAATGTAACAAATTCAATTGATACAACTTTATTCACAATTTAGGTGGAAACCATTGGTGACTGCTACGTCGTGGCGTCCGGTATCCCGGCACGCAACGGCAACAAACATGCCGTGGAGATCTGTCGATTGGCCATTATGTTGCTTGAACAGATTAAAGTGTTTAAAATGAAACACCGTCCGCAGGATCAGTTGCGATTGCGTTTGGGTGCACACACAGGTACTGCGGTTATAACAGCTTAAGCCGCGGTAATTTGCTTTAGCTGCTGTATTTAAATGAATCTTTACTTATTGTTAATGTGAAGTTGACAGCAGCGCTACGAGATACAGGATTCATTCATACTATAACTACTCGCAAACCATGTTTTTCTGTTATAAGGAAAATGGCCCGGTACACAGCGTCAAAACTGGGGTACATACATTTAAACTTTAGTTTTCCCGCACTCCGAATCATTTTTTGTAATACTTTATATCATCCTAAAGTTAAATGATTTGTATACTACATTGTTCTGAAAACCGCTTGCGCGCGCAACATCCGGTTCCCGAGATATGGCGTATTGAAACTGGTGAAAAATTTAAATGCATTGTTATGTACCAAAAGTCTGGTTATTACCCGATCTGCTTGAAAATTTGCTGCAAAACACACGTGGACATAAAGTCAAAAAAGAACCGATATCAGATTCATAGACTTTTTTCCCGGTTTCAAAATGAGATCCAAAAATTTTGGATTCATTTTAAATTTACGGGAAAGTGCTATGAACCTGAAATTGGTTTACTTTCGATTTTATGGCCATGTGTCCTTTATCAGAAAGTTTCAAGAAGATCGGGTAATAACCAGACTTTTGGTACACAATAATGCATTTAAACTTTTAGCCCACTTTAATACGCCATATCTCCGCAACCGGATGTTGCGCGCGCAAACGGTTTTTAGAACAATGTATCCAAATATATGAGCTTTAGAATGATAAAGTATTACAAAAAATTGATTCTAATTGCGCAAAAGCGAAAGTTTTACTCTATGTATCCCATTTCTGACACCATGTGCCGGGCCATTTGCCTTAACACTCGCTCACTTAACGAAACGATACGCCTGCGCACTTTCAGAATACTGGAAGCAAGTTAATACTTTTCGATCGGTTAAATTCTTTGCCTGCTTTATTTGTCAGTCAGCCAAAATATGCGAAATGTAATTTCATGATAACTGCGTGTTTTACACAAATTATTACGCTTTTCAGGTGCAGTTGTGTCGGGCGTAGTTGGACTGGTTATGCCGCGCTACTGCCTGTAAGAAGACAAATCAATAGAAAACTACGGTGTAATGTTTTTTAAGGGTCGGTTTATGCCATAGGTTCGGGGAAACGATGACCATCGCATCGAAAATGGAATCCACTTCACAACGTAAGCGGTGTTGTGGAGTGTTATTGCTATACTACAGAATGTTATTGCATCCAAGTATTTTCCCTAGCGATGCGCATCCAGATCAGCCAGGCCTGTGAGCGTCTGCTGCAGACGATCGGCCAGTTCGATACGGAAGCGCGCGATGATCCGGTGAAGATCAAGGAAGGCCTGGAAATCCAAACATACTGGCTGCAACGAGAAATTATGTAGTGCCACATCCGGGGCGGCAGTTACAGGGTTCACCGTTGAGACATCCCAAAAGCACAAGATTTTGCAATAGTTCGTGACGTTGCTAATTTCTCTCAATGAACGAGTTGAATAATAGCAATATTTGCTGAATGTCCCGAGAATGAATGGCTACACGTACAACTACAAAAGTGTGTGAATTTTTCCAGGAAGAAGAGTGGAAATATTTTGCAGTGTCATAGCGTGTGTGTGTGGGATGAAAATTAGGACAATAAACTTTCTAAACCAAAGCCTGCGTAAAACCGTGATATCATAAAAACACTCCCAGGTCACCGTGCGGTTAATCGGAAATCGGGTGCGCACGTTGCACAGTGCGCATCCTTTGTTCCACATTCTTTACAGCGGAAATCCAGAACAATCCATCAGCTGGACAAAAGCCTGTCTGATTTTCCCAATCAATAATGTTGTGCCAATGGAATTAGTCGATATATACTGAATGATGGTGTTCAACAACGCTTTAAAAATACCCACCATCTGCTCGGTGTGTAGTCATCGCGCTGTCGATAAACTGCACATTTTCGATCGCCGACAATATCAACAATGCATCGGTCAAAAAATAAGCAGCTAAGCATAAATGTGCGCAGCAATCCAATACAGCAAAGCTTCGTTACACTTTCTCTTATGCGCCCCGCGAAAACTTCAAAACTTTTTTTCGCCGGCATCTGTCTGATTTCCACCATGTTGTTTTTTATTTTGCGTTCTTGGATGTTGTTACTTTTGCATGTGCAAAGTTCCGCGTGTGTGACCATACAGAAAGCTGGGATAATATTAGCGCAAGGCAGCAAAGATCCCTATGACTACGATATCGTAAAGGCGGCATTACGCGCTGGCTACGACGATGCACTGCAGAGATTTAATATCAAGTACGAAGAACGGCTCTGTTTGTACCAAGGCGGTTGCAGTGTCACCAATGCCGTGGGGATGACCTATATCTGCGGAGTGACCCATGACGTCGACGTGATTATCGGTAAGAATGACCACATCGGTTTCTGAACGAATAATCAAAGGTTTTGCACTTTTTCCCAGAATAAAAATCGATTTGTAACAAATTTTGTAATTTTCATTTATTTCAAGTATCCTGCTAAAGTATTATTTGTGTTTTAAACTAAATTATTATTTATTTGCTTCGACGATCAAATCATTTATTTGTGCCATTTATGGAACAATTTAAAATGCATGTCCCGTCAAAGGAAACAAAATTTGAATCAGGATCTAACTATTACATATCGTTGTTCCACAACTTGCCTTTAGTTGTTAAAAATGTTAAAACAGATTCTCCAGACAGTCTTAATCGTAGCAAACGTTGAAACAGCTTCTCCGTTTATTTTTATGGTTGCATGCATAGTAGTAGCTTTTGTCGATTGTTTTATTTATTTTTACTTATATGCTTCCGTCACGATTTTTATTTATATTCGGTTGTCCTGTGTCCAGTCAGTATACAATTCCATGCTTTTTAAAATGTCCTTACGAGTTAGCTTAAGCCGCTGCTTAGCTTAAACTACGATTGCAAAAATCTGCCAAATTTCAAAATGATATTCTCGGTATCTCAAGTTTTATGCCACAGCTAAGAAGAAATTACCATTAAATTACGATTGCTCTCTGTCTGTCAGATCGGTGATTTTAAAGCGCATTTTTGGATATTTTTTTTAAATTTGCAAAACATTTTCTTGTTGAAGTGCATTTCCTTCTCATCAGGGCCAGCATGTACGGCTGATTTGATGGCCTCCCTAGAGCCGCAGACCTATCTCCTGATGCCAAGCGTGACCGGGGGTGGGACGTTCATCGATTCCACGGCCAAATTTCCGTATATTACCCGCGTTTCATATAACACATACACACAGTGGGCATTTTTCGTTAATATATGCCGGAAATTCAGCTGGACCAACGTGGCCATAATATACAGCCAGGATAACGATATTAATACGGTCAACAAAAACAGTACGCCCATTCATGTATTACTGGTCCAATGCTGGATACTCTTTATTTACATCCATTTCTTTTGAAATATAATTTTCAAGGTTTAATGAAAAATCTTAACGATCATTCGTTAAACCCGATCGACCTGCCGTTTCCACCTGGCACAATTCGGATGGCGGACCATGCAGAGCAGTACTTGGTGAACGCCAGTCAAGTGGCACGAGGTAGCTGCCGCAAATCCATGAATCTACAAAATTAAAATAAATTAGAAATTAGGATGAGATTCCTTTATATTGCTACTGCAGACCATAATAACCAAAGTGATAAAATTAATTTGTTAATCAATTCTAATTGCAAAAATAAATTTTATTCTACAGCCGGCGTACACGGTGGCCACAAATAAAACCGGGCAACTCCTTCTGTGACACTGTTCTACGTTTGGCACAGGCGTGCCAGACTGTTTTGTACGATGCCAGACTGTTCTGCGAGTTCACAACTTCACATTAGTTGCTATTTTCCATTTTGTCTGTTCTAGTGTTCAAATTTTCAGTTATTTTTATTAACGCAGGCATGCTGCGCCAAAAGTATTAATTACCTCTGGTGCCACATACTTTGCCACCTTTGGTGCCACATACTGTGCCACCTTTGTATCATCGGTATAATTATAAAACCCGACTAATTGCAGTGGTGGTCATTCTAACGGATGGCCAGGTCCTGCGCTACTTCATGCTGTCGGCGAAGACCCTAGGCTTCACCAGCGGCGACTACGCATTTTTCACGCTTGACCCGTTCCGCGACGATGCTCTGGGGAAGAACGGTTGGCGCCAAGGTCAGTTCTACCGGTGTTTGCTGAACCGTCTACCGTGCATCGATCGCCTAACCATACATTGTTGACAGACGATACCTTCGACCAGCTCGCCAAACAAGCGTATCAAGTGCTGTACATTCTGACACTGCGCGACACCACCGACACCGATCGCTATAAAGCCTTCGCCCAGACGGTTAACCGTACCGGGGAGCGGGATTTCCCGGGGATGCGTGTGCAGTTGAATTATATCCTTTTTTCTCGACAATCGAGTTGCCTGTGTACATAATCGGTTTCCTTAACGAGTGCTGATCACATTATGTAGCGTCGTTCTATGACTCAGTACTGTTGTTTGCCTCCTCGGTCAATCGGACGCTGGAACGCAATCAGTCGATTGATAATCAGGTTAATGTGGCTGGACTGTCGCAAGCGCAATGGAATCGCAGTTTTGCCGGTAAATCAGAGCACAGCTGTAATAACATTGCTACGCTAATCTACTTCAGTTTGTTCCCAGTGCGATATTAAAAAACATTACGAAGAATTTAATCGAAAAATCTTTTTGAAGGCGCAACCGGCGATGTGTACATTAATCCCCGCGGTGACCGCAATGACGATCATGCCATTTATGGATTCGACGAAGCCACTAAAGCCTACGTAAGATTTACGAACGAATCGACTTAAATCATTCGCGGTTGTAAATACAAACTTAAAAAAAAACATTGTCCTTTATTGTGGTTCAGTTGTAGGTTGTTGCGGAATTTATCGGCTATAAATTCGAGCTGGTCCCCGGCTATACGTATGACCCGATCGCACCGTTCCGCTGGCTCAATCCGACAAAGACTCCACCCGCCAATGAACCGTATTGCGGATATCTTGGTGACAAACCGGTGTGCGACACGTCCGGTAATTAAAAAGGACGTTTTTGAATATTTTTTATATAAAAAGTTGGTGACCGGTGCATATAGGCCAAACCATGGGCATCGCGTTGGGCGTGGTGGCCGCATTCTTATTGGCCGCGGCCGTGGTTATCTCCTTTCTGTACCGGTACTACACCCGTCGTGCCGAACTGGCCCAAATGGATCTTCTCGGCACCTGGGACGACATCAAAAAACCTCAAATCTTTCTTCCGCGCACTCGCGGTACCGCCCGCAGCCAGCCGGGGGTGAATGACAGTCATATCAGTCTGCAAGTGCGCTCCATGTTCAACGATATGAGCAAGGTGGGTTATGCTTTTGAGCGGAACGTTTCTGCAAAGGTTTGCTAATGAAGCGGCCTGATAGTTTTCCGACCGCACCGTGACGGCGCTTTTCAAGGAAGTCAAGGTGATGCTACGTGTGTGTGAAGTGCAGCATGTGCCCATGAATAGTGTGGTACTTAAGGAGGTCCGGACGGTGCGCTCCGTTAACCACGAGAATGTCCTGGCAGTGTATGGGCTGTGTCCGGGACCGGGCCGGGCGGTGGTTATGTATAATTACTGCTCCAAAGGAAGCCTCAGTGTAAGGGAAAACTGTATGGTAGCATTACTACGGTAAATCCTAACAATGTGAGATTAAATAATATTCAATCTGAGATTCCATATTCAGTTCAGTATTCAGTTATAAATAAAATTAATCGCAGATTGCAGCAACCTGCGATTAATTTTTTTTAACGCCTACATAAATTTAAAGATTTAGAATAGAGGATGATTTTCTTGGACTCAGAAGTAAACTAAATATTAAGATAGACAATTTTTTGTTTTAAATTTTCAAATGTGCCCTTGGTAGTTTTGTGCCTTGTAGTCAACTCTTCGTAAAAGACGAATCAAATAATAATCTAACGCAAATGTGTATAAAAAATGGTATGTGTCTGATTAATAATGATTATTGCGATTTTAAAAGGATCTGCTAGCCTCGACGGATGTAAAGCTTGATTGGATCTTCAAGTTCTCCTTCATAAAAAATATCCTGCATGGCCTGGTGGCCATTTCCAGCAGTCCGCTGAACGTCCACGGACGTTTAACGTCGAAATGCTGTTTTGTCGACGCGCATTTTATAGCGCGCGTTGCCGATTACGGGCTGCCGTCCTTTTTCGCCCGCACGCCGCCGTTGAACCAGGACAGTGCTTTTTGTTCCACCCTTTTCTGGACAGCACCAGAACTGCTCAGCCGGCCATTTGCCGGTGGCACTCCGGAGGGTGATGTGTACTCGTATGCGATTATTCTATCGGAAGTGGTTATGAGGGAAACGCCTTTTCATTCAATGGGCATGGAACCAGAGCGTGAGTATGGCCGAACATCTTATCACTTGTCTGCATATTTTATCATCACCTAATTTGTCGGTTTTCTCTGCATTTTCTCTTTAAGGAAAAGTTACACTTTATTGTCAGTGTGTAATGAAAAGAGCTCTTATTTTTAACAGTTTTCATGTCATACTTTGTAACAGAAATTATCGCGAAAGTTGGTCAGAAATCCTATAAACCCTTCCGGCCAAAATTCGACGCCAATGAATGTGCGCCGGAAATTGCTGTTTTGATGAAGCAGTGCTGGGCGGCCAATCCTATGGAGAGACCGCGGCTGGCGCAAATACGCAGCGCCATTAAAGACAGCGAAAGGTGTGTACAGGCCACCGCGTTGATTGTATTAACAATAGTTACTGCAACAAATACCGAAATGAGGTGGCTTTTCTACAGAAACAATAACGAGCAAGGAAGCATTTTGGACACATTGATTCGCAGGATGGAGAACTACACCCTGGACTTGCAAGCCATCGTCGAAGAAAAAGCCGCTCAGTTCCAAGTGGAGAAGGAGAAGAGCGAACAGCTGCTCAACCAAATCTTGCCCAGGTCAGAAAGTAACATTAATTTAAGGGCAAAAATTCTTTTATTTTCCACAAATACTGTTATCATTTTCGTACTTGATTACTATCATTATTATTCATTTTAAAATTTTTCAAGTTTTTTAATCTATTCAGTGAATGTGTATTGAAAGAATCGTACGTAAAGTACAATAAACCGTTCGTTTTGCAAATTATTTTCCGTTTATGTTTGTATTACAAGGAAAGCAGAATATTGTGCGCCGATTGATCTATTTTTAATTTTTGACAAATTATCTGGTTCTGAATTGCTAGAGTTGTTGTGGAACAACTAAAACGCGGCGAACAAGTGCAGCCAGAGGATTTCGACAGCGTCAGCATCTTCCAGAGCGACATTGTCGGCTTCACTACCATCTCATCGCAGAGCAGTCCCACGGAAGTAGTGGCGCTGCTCAATGACCTTTATACGGCGTTTGACGGTGCCATCATGAAGTTCGAAGCATACAAAGTATACGACGCTACGGAAGCATTTTTACACTGCAAAATCCTGACGTGTGTGATCTCTGAAGGTAGAAACCGTCGGGGATTGTTATGTGGTAGCATCTGGTGTACCGGAGCGTAACGGGAACAAGCACGCACGGGAGATCTGCCGGCTAGCTCTGATGCTGCTGGAGCAGATTAAAGCCTTCCGCATGCAACACCGGCCGAACGAGAAACTACGGCTACGCTTGGGAGCACATACAGGTAATCACGTTTTTAAGTGGCCACATAAAAGAAGCCGACAACGGCGAAGCGAAAAGAATTCCAGTACAGATTGCCGCCGCCCGGGGATGGTATAGCGTTGCGGCGAAGTTTGACGCTTAATTCAAGCACCGTGTCTTTTCGCAATACCTTGCTCCAACCGGGCGGTGGTGGCGCATGCAAGATGTCTTTAGTGCCGTTATCTGTTCTTCTGTTCCACAAAAAAACTGGACGGCCCGGTTGATTTATTTATTAGGTCCTGTTGTGTCGGGAGTGGTTGGGCTGGTGATGCCTCGCTACTGTTTGTAAGAGCGCAGACTTTTTTTATGTCCTCTCATGCTCACTTTTATCTATAACAGTTTTCATTAATGCCAGATTTGGCGAAACGATGACTATAGCCGCAAAAATGGAATCTTCGTCGCAGCGTATGTTTAAATTCAGTTTCAGTATTATATATATACACAGAAAATTTATTTATTAATTTGTGGTTGAATTTTGTAGCTATGCGAATACAGATTAGTTCGGCTTGTGAACGCCTACTCCAGACCGTGGGAATGTTTGAAACGGAAAGCCGAGATCTTCCTGTTCAAATCAAGGACGGACTGCAGATCCCCACGTACTGGCTGAACAGGGAAATTTTGTAACGAAACGGTCGCTTATTTTGTCGTGGAAAGTTTAGCCAAATTGGTTTTTATTAAAAAAACTGGAAGCGACTATTGTGCGATAATCATGCAAGCTATTCGTTGCAAACCTCTAATAAATTATTTGAAAAATGTTTGATGATTGTACGACCATCCTGTCTAAACTGAACCATGCGACAGTGCAAGGTATCAACATTTTCATAAGAAATTATGCAAAATTATGCTTGAATTGACTACAACAGAAAACATTTTGCCGATAAAAAACGTACAGCGGAAGCGTGGAAACTCACGATTTTGAAAACCCTCGCTACGCAGTTCCTTGCTCAAGATTTGGAGGTGTTTAAAGTCGGGGGTTCCACTTTGATCACCTTAAAACTTGAATACAGCAAAACATGCGCAGACTTGCAAAAATTTTTGTTTCGATATTGCCTACCCCAAGATTCCGTCCACAGAAACTTCCGCCGGCGTTTCGACATTGTCCCTTAAGATGTATTACAATAGGCATACCCACAGCGAAGCGTTCTTCCTCTCGCGATGTGTACATCTTTGACCACTTTCTTAGTACAGTTTGTACGAGTATCAAACAATTTAAGAGCAATTTGCCGGTAGTCCAGGATTTGGCCAGACTATGCCGGTTTCGCCAAAATCCATGCAGAACGAAACCAAGATGTACTGCATCCTATCGCAGAACAGCTGTCGCCGGAAATTTGAACTAGAGACTGTCGCAGTGGTAAGCTTATGGTGTTATTTTGCATATATATTTGCATCATATTAAGATTGTATGTCCTGGGTTAGATTCCTAGGTGGATAACTTTTATCTCATAAAATCAAACCAAAAAAAGTATAAAATTTTCAAAATTAAACAAAAAAATTTTCCAATAGCCTAAACACCCAAAGGTTTTCACCTTAGGGTTAAAGTTTCCTTTAATGGAGTTTGGCTACTGTAGTTGCTATAATAATAATAATAATAATAACAATATGCGGGAAAAGGTTGAGGGAATAACCAAAACGTAGTGAAAGGTCATGGCAATAGCCAAAGCTGATGTCACGGACATGAGAGTAGTCATATCCTACCATTCAGTTAAGAACACCAAAAAATCAAATAAGCCAGTTAATATAATTAGCAGGTTAATTTGATTAGCTAATGTGCTGTCGTAATACTGATTTCCGGCCTATGTGGTTACCACAAATCATTTACCGAAGTGCGGGGATGCTTTTACTGTAGGACGCCACAGTTAATAACGAAATCACAAATTATGCATTATCGTTAATACTCGTATAAGGCAAACGCAGCGCATTTGAAACTAAATATTGCCATAAATATGACTACTCAGCTAATCCGTCCGGACTGCATGATATCTTATTCCATCTAAATCCACTCTAGCAGCTTTCTTCGCTAAAGAAAAGCAGGTTCACGGATAATTGGCAGGGTCTATTCCGTCGAAGATCGAATAAGTAAAGGAGAAAACAATTACTTTTACAGTGAGACATCAAACAGTTTTTTTAAAACCAGAAAAAACGCTAACACCATTTAGCAGAACAAGTCCAATAAGCGTCTAAGCAGACGGAAGGCATGATGCGATTATTCGCTTCCCTGTAAGAACCTGCTCTATGTCGCACAATGTTGTGGCAATCTGCGACATCGCATTGTCGCATATCATGCCTTCCTCTGACTGCTTATCCAATAATGCAGCAAAAATAGTTCGTGCTTCGCTACCAAACACCAAAATATCGCCGCACACGCTACCACTGAGCGCTTCAAGCTCCTGCTTAGCCGGTCCCGAAAGGTTACCAATCTCATTCCGAACATGTTTTTCCAGCGCTACTGCGGTAGACAGCGCGACGGTCAAAAGCAGTGTAGCGCGAGATTTGGCAAACTTTCGACAGATTCCTGACAACAATTGCAAATTACAATCATTATTGCGAATACGTACAGTACAGTTAACTGCAAATACATACAGTACAGTTAAATTAATCATTGGATAATTTCTACTAATTTATTCAGTGGGTTATAAGTACATCTGTTTCAGTTTTCAGCAGTTACTAACTGCTTTCAATTTGATAGAGTCGTTGTTGTACTAAAACGCGGCGAACAAGTACCATCAGAAGATTTCGACAGCGCCACTATCTTCCAAAGCGATATTGTCGGCTTCACCACCATCTCTTCGCAAAACAGTCCCACGGAAGTGGCGGCGCTGTTCAATGACCTTTATACGGCGTTTGACGGCGCCAGCATGAAGTTCGAAGCATTTAAAGTGAGCAGCGATGTGGAACCATTCGTACAAAGTAGTTTTCTCACTTGTCAGTTTATTTCTCACTTGAGTGCAACTCTGTATGTGGAAACCGTTGGCGACTGTTTTGTCGTAGCATCCGGTGCTCCCGAGCGTAACTGGAATAAGCACGCACGGGAGATCTGCCGGCTAGCGTTGATACTACTTGAGCAGATTGAAGCCATCTCTTGCGAGACCGGCCGAACGAAAAGCTACGGCTTCGACTTGGCGCCCATACAGACACATGATCGTTCTTTTTCAAATGGCATCAACGGTGTAAGCACTGGCAACCGCCACCCGGAAGGAGTAGGCCGTTGCGGCTGAACGTGGCGCAGAATTCAAGCATTATAAAAGCAGTGTGGTTTTTTAATATTCATTTATACTCGCTTGCGCAACGCTTTTCACTAATAGGTAATAGATTTCGCGCAACGTTGACCACAGCCGCACAAATGGAATCGTTGTCGCAGCATATGTATAAAATTCAGTATTACATACAGATTACTTCGCAGAATTAAGGTACTCGTATGCATATTAATTTCCGAGTTGTGGTCGATTTTTGCAGTTATATGTATAGAGATTTTTTCGACTTGCGAGCGTCTACTCCAAACCATGAGACGTTCGAGACGGAAAGCCGCTTTCTACGCAAATTTTTCTTCCTGTCTCGAGACCTTACTTTCTGGACGGCCTGCAGATCCCGACATCCTGGGTAAATGGGGAGATTTTATTGCAAAAACGGCGCCTGAATTTAGTCATGAGTATGAGAGCGAGGATATCTGTATGTAAGGCAGGTTTTATTAAAAAAACAGGCATACAAAACAATAAATCGACGGTAATAAAGTGGCTGTATGAAGAACTGTTAAGATCAACATTTGTAGAAATCTCCAGTGATGTTCTGATTGCGACTATCATGCTCGACAATCATCAAATCTATGGATATACGTGTTAGATATACAGATCGTCCTGTGCGTTTGAACGGAAGAACCAGACAGAAAGTCGGATTCGGAACAGCATGGTTGCCTTCTAATAATATTGCGGTCACACGCTGCACCCATGGTAAGATGGCCACGAAAAAACATAGTAAACCGATTACACAACGTCACAATAGTACAGCTACTCTGTACTTCCGCCGTCACGATCTGTAACATGGATTGTATGATAACGCCGTTGCTAGAGAATTCGAAAACCGCGGATCAGGTTTACCTATATCTATTTAAAACCTGCGCCCTTCATGAATCAGACGCCGAGCCCAGAAATGTGCTATTTTCAGGAACTGTCAATATCCGTACGTTGTTTACTTCGGAACGGAACCGCGTATGTAGTTGCGGAAAACTTGAAACCAGTGATAAGATATTCCCAAATGACATCAATTTAGCTGCATGCGATGGCAACTCGTAGTAGTACACACGTACATACGCAATCAAACCGTTCGTTTGTCTGTCCAGGAGGAAAATTTTGTTGATAACACACGACGAGAATCGTACCGAGTCAGTGAGTCTACTGACCATGTAAAAGCAGAGCGTTGATAACACCGCTCCATCGCTGCTATGTATAAAATACATTACTAACCATAAATTAAATACTTAATACGGTGCACTGCACCCTACCGATATCGTAGGTACACACTGCTATCAGAACGTAAATATTGGAGCGGAGACTGGAAAGGAAACTCGTACAACTTTTCCTACACCAATTATCGGAGCAAACGCGATGCTAACACAAACAATAAAACTTATGTATTACGCGTGTACGACATACAGTATCTGTTATAAAATCGGGCGATTAAAACCGACACGTTGAATGTGTTTGTGAGTAAAGAAGCTGAGTAAAGAAGACAGTATTATTTGTAGCAACTGGAATGCTTTTGGGTGTCTTGTAGGATTAGTTAGGGAATTTCGCGAAAAATCCCAATTGCGGACGGCTCATCCGTATGATCTTTTCGGTTTGGAACTCGGCTGCCAAGTTACAGCTGCGGCTATATTATGCCATGAACGCAACCTCACTGTACCTTCGCAAGTTATTCTCGGGTTCACGCGAGTTGAACTACGGGAATACGGTCCTGGTGCAACGGGATAACGGCCAATGGTGGTTGGGATACGTGCAGGACATTGATGGCCCTAACTTCTACGTAGACTTCGATGCGAGTGGAATCAGTGCCCAATGGATCCATTCCAGCGGTCTCTGGCCGCATCATTTTCTGCAAAATAATCTATGTTGGTACACAGCTCCTGTTCACGTAGCAGTGAGACACACCCATGCAGATCCGATGGTTTTCTGCCAAGGTACCATTCTGCGCAATAAAGAAAGCTATCCATTCTGCTTTGTTTGTGTGGATGATCCGGGCGGGGTACATCGCCACCATGTCGTTCATCGAAATAATATGATCGCAGCACTGCCGACGCCGGATGATGGGGAGAACTTCTTCGAACGAATTACGGGGTTTTTATATAAGAAATACGTTATCAGTTTTCCCAGAGCACGGCTGTTATTAGACGTGGATTTCTTCCCGATGTTCTTGGCCCGTTCATGCCGATTCCAATCGGACTGCGGTGATCCTGGACGTGATGCCAAATGTCGCTTTGGCACAGTCACTGCGAGGGACCAGATGGTTTTTGTTTGTGAGTCCGGACGATGCCATCATCGATTCCATCTGAACAGAAGCACTTTAGTCGACGTCGGTTGTCGAATGTTCATGCGAGTGTCATTTGATACGATTACATTTGTCTGCGTCGAAATGCATGGTGACAGCGCATTTCAAAACCAAAGAAGGCGTCACAGTATGTTCTGGGATGAAACCTCCCTGAGGAAGGCTTGTGATGATTACATTACGAAGTTACGGTACCGTCGACTTAAGCTGGCACTCCGACCACGGCTTCTATACGGCTCCATCTGTAGGTGGATTTCTCATAACAGACAAGCAGGCAAGTTATTGCGGTTCTGCCACTTTAACCTGCGCCATGTATTTTCTACAGTGCGCTGGCTCATTAGTGTGGCCGAAGTGAGGATGGCCGAAACCAGTTGAACGGTAGAAAAGTTCGCTCTATATAGAAGTCACGCATTTGACGGTTACATTGTTCTTAGTTTCACAACGGTCTTAGTCTTATTCTGTTCTTAGTCTTAGTCTGAACATTGTTGAATGTTCGGCCTTGAAGTTTCCGTAAACGTCAGAGTTTTTTAATTTGTACCAGAATCACGCTTGTCAGATCAGGAAAATACATTTTTGTGCACTGAGATAAACCGGTAAAGCCATCAAGGTTTTTGTCGACGTAATTCCGATGGTTGTCGTATCCAACCGCTATACTGCGGCCATAGTGAGTTTTACATTAATGCTGGATAACGCTCTGAAATATGGCATTTTCAGACGCACGGCTGGCTGAATTTGTTAATGTATAAAGTTGAGAAAGTAGCAAATGAAGTGCTTCTACAGCAAATGGATAAGAACAAGTTTCCACGGCACGTCGCTCTGGCATGGTTAGTTCCACACCGAGTGTCAGCGTGACGCTAAGTGTGAGTGGGCTGGGGAATCATGGTGACATATGACAGTGTTGTAGCTAATTCTGTGTACGACGACAATTCCCTGTATGTTTGTATTCCCTTATTGTTTCTTGATTGTATCTACTCTATCCTCTGTAGAAGTGGAGGAAATGTCCATTACTGAGCTTCCACTTCCAGTCATGGTTTCTGTACTGCTTTATTTGGATGTGGATTCCCAGTGGCGAACAAGCAGGCAAGTCATGCTTCCGACTTTTTAAAAAGCGTTACTTGACGGCCACAAACTTGGTTTTTGGCCGTTTGGTTCGGTTTTTGACATCTCTTACTCTTTGAGTCACGTATTCGCTCTTGTGCGTTTGGTTTGCTCAGACGCAAGTTTCAGCAGAATAATTTCGTCACGTGTCAACACTATTCGTACAATTTTAGGCAATAAGGCGCAGTCAACAATTGTAAGTTGACAGTGTCCGATGTCGTTTTTAGTATTGTATGCAGGACTAGTGGAAAAACAAAGCAATTCAGTTACGCGCTAGTTTTGACTGTCATTGATAAAGAACCGCGCTCTTAGTCTCAGATAAACCTCTTAGACAATTGAATTATGCAGTTAATCTTTGTCGCCATAAGCACATACGGCTCATTGCTTTCGGCTCGGTGCATTCGCTTCTCGTAAGTCGTAGATACTGTAAATTAGCTAAAAAATTAAATAATTCACGAAAACATCGTTCTTGAAAGGGAACGTCATCCTTCACCCAGTTTTCCGTGTGGATCGAAGTGACATTGACATAACCGTCGCTAATTATTTTGAACAAACCATGTAAATCTACCATACTTCGATTACCATACTTCGATTTTTCTCATACTTACCTCCCATTAAGTTTACGTATTCGTATTTTGCTAACCAGGTGTTAAAATTTCTAACAAAATCGAACTGTTAGAAAAGACTACCTTTCATATTGAAAACTTCCCCCATCACTTCTGAATCATATACAGCGTTCATTTAAACAGACAAGGGAAAACAGGAAGTGAACTGAGTGCAATGGAGAAGAACGGATACACAATTTTAGTTTGTATCAAATTCGATATGTTCTGATAACACAGAGCAGGGGCAAAAACAAGTCAAAAGGCACGTCGTGCGCTCAGCAGTTATTTATATAGCCCGCCGCATGAGGGGGTGGTGCTCTTGACCGGTGAGCAAAATATGAAATCTTAAACTTAAGGAAATGGCTGTTCCCACCACCGTGGCACGCTGCTCTCACCTCCCTTCGCCACTTTTTGTCTATTCGCACCCCCTTTCGTAAAATATGTTTTTCACCACCATTTGCTATTGCCGCTACCTTTTTACACCTCTTTTCAGCTCCTCGTGTTTCCACCTCCTGATACTGTATATGTAATTTTAAATACAAAACTGCTGGATTTCCAAGGAGGCCAGTCGATTGACAATTTGTGTGTTTGGGTACAGAAGCAAAAAAATGACTACGACTGTGGCGTTTCCGCAATTTTTTTTTTGCAATCGAAATCATTGACATCCATATGTTAATGCGAAATACCGGAAGGACGAAACAACGGGCAATTCAGCAATAAAAAGATGCGAGAACCTTTGGCGAACAGTTGCAGCACGGACTGCGTGTACCCTAACCCTGCACTTGAAGGAAATTTGTACGCTATGAGCGGCACGGTGCTGTATAGCCGGATAAACGTTCAGCCAATTCACGTTTTAACATGCACTAGCTGCAAGCCGTGTATGTGAATGGTGAATGGGCTCGTACAAGTGCGTGTGGCTGCACTGTACAAATTTCCTTCAAGTGCAGGGTTAGGGTACAGTACTAGTAGATTTCCGACCGGCGTCATATTTATGACTGGTCCAGTCAATTCATTTCAAAAACGTAGTGCGAATAGCCAGAAGGTGGTGGAAGGTCGTGAGTATAGTCAGAAAGTAGTGCGTGGTGGTGGGAATATCCACACCCTAAACTTGAAGTGAGCGAAATATGAGAAAAATCGAAGGAGTTATTGTAAGTCAGGAGTTATTTCTAGGGTTTGTGCGCTGTGGAGAATTCTTTTCCGCCAGGACGTGAACCAGAGGCACATTGTGTTCGATCTCTGCACAGTGTGCGAAATAAAACCGTATAGTGTGCCTGACAAAGACATTCATGCACTTCACGGTATCGATTATGATACCGTAAGAGACTATGCTGCATACCTTACGTACAAAGTGGCTGTCATGTTGGACCGCGTAAGTCCTACGCGTACGCAAACGCTGGCGCTGACAGAAGAGGGGAACCACTTTCACTTTTACTTCGATCTTGCCCAGAGAATGACACTGACTGCAACCGTGCTATTCCGCAACGGCGTACGTCTGCCTCTAATTATTGTAAGGAACGGCCGGGACGCTACACTGGAATGGGAGAGCTGGGATGCTTATTTGAGGGAGACAGACTGCTTCTTGTTTGTCTACATGTGCCATAGTGGAAGCCTGGTATGCGCCGGGTTGCCGGAGTTGATGACGGTGTGTGAACAGTTGGTGTTAATCAACTTCACTGTGATGCACTTACCCACCCAAGCAGCGGCCTGGATACTGCGCCACGATCCTGCATCCGAGTTGCCTGTGTCCGAGAGAGCGTTGATGCGAAGTGAATATTCGGGCGTTCTGCGATGCCCAGTTATCATTCCGTGTGTACGCTTTCGTTCCGTGGAATCGGCAGATGAGCAAGCCCGCAATCTGCTAGCTACGGTTAATGCCCATTGGCCGGCCGTCAGCCAGCGAGTATACAAAAAGGTCACAGCGATGCATGCGCGCTGGGTACGGACGTTGGACTATCCGGATCAGTGGACCGGCATTCGCATTTTTCTGCAAATGTACGTAATTGTGCGGGAGAAGCCTTAATGATAAGTTATTTGAATCCAATAGTACTTTTTTGGCATTGCCAATTACGGTATTGTCGACAACATCGTAGTCCGTTCTTTAGCATTGTCGGCAGGCGGACAACTTTTATTTGGCAGGTTCAATCCACATTGCCCTGATACCACCTCACAGCGATGGGATTCGATGGACCTTCGCCAACTAGACATTGCTGGACTGAACAATATCACCTTTGCAGCTCTTGATGGATTATTCCGAGAATGAAACATGACGCTTTCACGATGGTCTTCATTTCAGCGCTTCTGGATTCGAGGGTTCATTTATTATTGCTCTCCACCGGACGAGGCTGAATATGGCCAGTATCAATTTGTAATTAATCAAAATTTGTGTTATGCATAGCGAAAAGAAACCATTTCTTAATGACCTTTCAATAAAGTGATACACTGTAAGTGCATGTATTTATGGCGTGGTATATTTTTATTCTACTGAGGTCTTTTACACCTTCTGTCCAGAATTCATGATACTGTATCACGGCCCTATGGTTCATGATTCCTCTTTCTAAAAGTAGGTTAACAAAGTTGGTGATAGACAGGAATGTCGTTCTATAGAGAATTCGATTGACCTCCTCCAAATGAACGAAAAAGCAATTTAAAGAAAACTACAGTATTTTACTTGTGACGAAGAGACATCTCAGACATGCTATCCATGCAGCGGTGCAGCATCCCACCGATTTATTCGGTATTGTATAGTCCAGCGGTGTGTTCATCGTGCCAGATACAAATACCGGCAACGCGATATTAGTCAACCATTATTGAAAACGAAAGTTTTGTTAACAAAAGAACATAGAGTGTATATGACAAAAGTCACTTTAATATTTTGCTTAAAACGGCTAATTGTTTCCATGCATACAAAGGAATTTGGTTAGCGAAAACTGGCTGCTTTTGCGCCAAAGCTCAAATAAGTAAAGTAATGAACACCAATTAGAAGGCAGAAAATGCTAGCGATGGACTGGTTTCAGCAAAACAGAAAGCAGAAAAAATCCGCAGGCTACTTGTTATCGGGAAAATACTGTTTAATGCGGCACACCGTCGAAGCCACGTGCCCCAACACAACATCGGTTGTGCGGGCAACCCCTTTATCCTTACCGAACAACAAATCAAAAATATCCTTCGCTTCTTTACCAAAATCCAGGATGCAGCAGCACACGTGACGCGCCAGCGTCTCCAGCTCTTGCTTCGCCGGTCTCGACAGCTTGCTAATACAATGCCGAACTCGTTTTTCCAGCGCATCGGCGGTAGATAGCGCAGCGGACACCAGCAGAGAGCCGCGGATATCAGCATACTTTGGACAAACGTTCCTAAGGACAATAATGCAATCATGAGAATTACGACTGCAACGAACTTTACATCATTATTAAGATTACAACTATACTTCGAAATTCCATTTTACTCACTTCCGCTGTGCAGACCAACATATGAGTCACTGAGTCGAATTGACGGCTACATAACCACAGCCGACGAAAGGGTCTACGCGCATTTTTTCTAAACATTTCTTTGCACTGCAGTCCGCATCGTGAATAATTTTTATTCATCAGGAACCATCATCGAAATTTCATTCATAATCGAAATTTCATTCATCTTTTTTACTGTTTCTGTTATATTTACTGTTTTTCGATTACAATCCCCAGGAGTTGTAATATTTACTCATGTAGGTACAAAAATTATTTTTATGTACAGACCAACACGGAGAAATTTGTGTTGTTGGTGATTAATGTGCTGATTTATACATCGGAATTGGTTAACCTGATGAACGTGTCGAAGTAGCAATTCAGTTTTACGAATAAATATACGGTTTTTCCAAACGTCTTACTTACCGGATACAGGCGACAAACTCCTGCATCATCTTCCAGCCCTCTTCGAAGCGGTATTCCTTGTAGTACTGCTGCGCTAATTCCCAGCCGCAGATATACCGGAAATGCGCATCGGGCTGCAGAATGCCGGCAGCGTCCAACTCCTTGCCGAGCTGCATGACCATGGCCTCGTGTTGCTCCCGCGGGTGGTTTGTCTTAATGCTCTTGTGCTGCTGTAAGAACCCGCGAAACTGCACCAACCGGTCACCGTTGAGGGCACCGCATTCCACGCAAGGTGCCAGTGCGCGGTTGTCGCTCGGAATTCGACTGCTGCATCCCACCGTCACGCACTGCAACGGATTGATGTCCGCATCCTAAGAATAGGCAAAGACCTTGTTAAGTTATCAGTGCCAGTATTTGTCTTTGCAGGATGTGGATAACGCACATATTCTTCCGTGCATTTGCGACAAGTACATGGAAAGCGGTGACGTCTCTCAAATTCGGCGCGTCGCTCGACTCGTGTCAGGCAGAATGCATCTTCCATGTCGCTGTAACGCAACTAGAAGAAAACAAATTTACATTAATACAAAGGCACTGAACGGCACACCGGAAGTAAATCGGTTCATGGCACGAAAATCGTGTGGCACGAAAAATTTTGGTTTCGTATTCTCCCGAATACCTACTTGCAATGTTTTAGTACATTTTGTTGCCAAATTATTTGTTCCAATGGACGCAAAAAAACCGTTCGTGCACGCAACATCCGGGTTGAACAGTTATGACGGCGTGAAATTCCCTTATTTGAAAGTCTCCGTTTGGGCGAACCTCGAGAAATTTTGCATGGAAACGTACGTATGCTTTACGCTCGTTTTTACGCCAATCCACTGTTACAGCGTTTTTTTCAAATTCTAAAATGAAATCAAAAAAACAAAAATTTATTTTAAGATTTGGAAAACAAGGTGGATTCGGTGTATTGTAAGAACGAACTACGCAGTTAATGCGTGTCGAGCAAATTTGAAGATCGGTTCGTAATGTGACTTTTGGTACCCCTGAATGCATTTCAACTTTCTTGAATTTTTGTACTGCCATAACTGCCCAACCGGATGTTGCGCAGCCTTACAGAAAGTCATTAATTAATCCAGAAAAAGTGTTTGAAAGAGCGCGAATGCAAGTGCACGATTTTAGTGCCTTTTAAAAAAACTACATCTCTGAAACTGTAAGAAAATTTTACGTTTTCCAAATTTCGTGTCTCGACTCAAACCGAAAAAACTGTGACCTGAAAGTAACGCTCGAAGTTTTTCATTTCAGAAAATCAGAGTTTGTTATGGAGTTATCTAACCTGGGTGACCCGTCCAAAGACATTAGTTTTACTAAAAAAAGTGACCGAAACATGGGTGCGTGCAGACATTTACGGCTTACATCTCGAAGGCCAGTATACTGCGGAATGTCTTCCACGGCATATATAACCATCCGACGCTCGCGGCGGTGTAGCTCCACATTGATATCCATGCACACCGGCGTCATCCGTCCCACCGGTGCTTGCGCATACACAGCTCTGCCGATCGGTTCGGTAGTAGTCGACAAATCGTACAGGTCCACCCCGTTATACATGAGCATTCCACAATAAGTCATTACGTCGCTGCTAGGAGTGCCGAATGTTGTGGAATTTTTCGTATCCATACTGTAAAGGATGAACTGTAAACCCTCCAGCGGGCGGTACAATGCCAGACACCAATGCCCGTCAACGGGTTAAAGCCCTGCCACATCAGTGCTGAGATTTGAACTAACGTCGGTTGAATGACTGCTAAAACTTGCGCATAAGCGTTTTGATAAGTATATAGCTTACGTCGGTTGCGTGACTTGCACTATCCGTTCGGCTCGCGGTTGGAAGGGATTTGTGGGGAGTAGGGGCAGAATATCTTTGATTGATTTGAGTCCCATTCCCGGCATGTCGATCTTCGCATTCTTCTGGAAAACCATAGAATCATGAATATTTTATTACAAAATTATTTGAGCTTCCACATCGAGCGAAGTATTTCAACAGGATTTTTCATAAATATGAAAAATCCTGTTTAAAGTAGCAGTAAATTTGTGCAGGAATTCGTGGTGTAAGTTATTTACACCACTCGTACGTATTTTTGCCCAATTTCATTACAGTACGATACACCGCAATCGCATAATTAAAATTAATTGTTTTTTTGTGTACGGCCACAAAAGTTCTCCATTCGTTTAATTTTTTTACAATTACGACCATACTAATCGGCAGCCGAGCAAAGAAAGCGACCGTTTCCCCAGCTGGATCGAAGTCATTTCGTAAAGACCTGCTTTTGAATTTCAGAGGCTTGGCCCCTCTGGGCACGCCTCAACCCAGAACTTCCCGGGGTATTCGTTACTTTCTTACCTCAATTTTATTACTCAACTTCCCGGTCAGATCAGAAGAGACGACACTGAAAGAAATAAGGTCTACGGGAGGGGTAGATGGTGGCCCTGGCGGGGCCGCTGCCCCGGAGCCCCTTCGCAAGCCCGGTGTTAAGGCCTCCACTGTATCCATCGGATCTGTGCTAACGAGCGCCTTCAGCATAGCGCATTCCAGCTTGTGTTCCACCTTCCAGTCGGCGACCTGTATCCAGCCAAAACGCACAATCAACAGTCCATCGGTAACAGTATGGGGCATTCTCGAACGCCTTGCGTGCGAATCGTGCGATCCGAAATTGCTATGCGCTTACACCAACCATGCTGTTTTACACCATACTTGTTAGACCACTCTCATTCTGTAAACAGTTACCGTACCTGGCAAACAGAGTTACAGTAGCGGTGCAAGTGGCATCCAGAACATGTGCGTAATTCTGGGCTTTCCCGAAAGCAGTAGGCACAGCGTGTTTTGTAGGCGCTCCTTCTCAGCATCCACACCATCGGATCGCAAGAAATCACCACGTCGCCCGCAACGAAAGATTGATTTCCAGCTGATTTGGTCTCCATTTTCCCTTTTGACCGTCAACGACAAGGAAGATTGACAGACGATAGTGGAAAACTACTGAGGACAATACAGTGATTCACAAAATCGAGATCGGACCAGGGTAGAGGTGGCATGCACACTGGCTTGAGTGGCAGCTGTGCTTCCACAGCACAATTTTACCGTTCGGAGCCCCCAAATTATTAGGCTCGCTACGCCACTGAATTCATATACAGAGTAGATCGATACTGAAGTATTTGTAAATGGATGTTCTGAATCAAATGTTTGTAAATAGATGTTGGCAATTACTCCTAAGGTAGAAGTTCGTGAAATTGATCTCAGTTTTCGTGTTGATGTTCCTTTGCATTAGCCATTTAACGTGATTGCCACCTCGTGCACCGGAAGCGTGAATTTCGTACAGAAACTTTTTTGCTTCTTTTACTGTTGCCGCAAGTGCTCGAAATTGCATGTGAAAGAATTTCGATACCAATTCCGATTACTCGAAATCCAAACGGTAGTGTATTTGAATTTCGAATACTCGAAATTCATTTTAGATTGGAGCACTTCCGGCAACATTACTTCCTTAGTTCCAGTTCCATTATCTCAAATCCTAATTGTTGCAAGAAATTTACTGAGAATCTTAACTCTCCGCATTTTACCAAACTCTGGAAATAAAATTACCAAACCAATAATTTATAAAATCAAAACTCGTTAATTTTTTTCTACAAATTTCCTGCCGTTTTTTATAGAAGTTGCTTGCCTGCCTTGTAGCAACATAACTATACAGTAGATGAAGAACAATAACATACCCACGCTCTGTAAATATAAATTATATGATTGCAGGTTAACTGCCGTTGCTGTATTAGTACGAGAGGGATGAACGATGATGAATAAACATTCCTTTCATAATAGTTTCGTTTTTTCCTCTCCTTCTGCAGAAACTAGAACAACTGCAATGGTAGGCACCAGAATTTCCACTTCCGCTATTCAATCAAATGCCGGTTACACCGTTACAATTATTTTTTCCCGTTTGCTGACCGCAGTACACGCATTTTCTATTACCGAAACGGAAAGCATACTCTGTACAGTGTTCAGCGTTGCAATATTTTGTTATGCCTTGCCGCAGAGGCAAGACCAGCGGATAAAGGGTAGAAAAATTAGATTTTTTGTAATAGTCAAGGCCAAGGTCGACATCATAATATGTTCAATAATTTTACGGTGATACACAAGGTTAACTTTGGAATATGGCTTATTTTTGTTGAATATCATAAATTTTCTGAACGAAAATGCATCGTCAGCATCGTGGACCGCGCGAAGGATGACTGACAGAGCCTAAAATAGTGTCATATATTAGACACAAGTGTCAATCTTTAAAACTTTCTGTCAAACTTTACGGGAAAAACTGTCAATCTTTTGACTGTCAAAAAATGCAATAAAAAAGACTAGGGGGTCTGCGATTTAAAAAATAAATTAAAAATGTGGATTAAACTATTATTTGTTACATTAAATCACGCGAAACGCACTGTCAGTTTAATCATTGATCTAGTATACAGTCCGTATATTAGCATAATGCGCTCAGTTCCCAAGAGCACATCACAATACAGAGCCGTATTTTGTCAACGAACGGCAGTACGAGTATTGAATGCTGGTCAGGCATTAATGGCTTGTCGACGTCGTTGACTACTGTACTGTCGAAGAGAAATAAACCGGCCCAAAAAGACTGAACTACCGACTAAAGACGCTGCTTATTTTAATGGGGTGCATCGTTAGTTTTCATGTTGAATCTGATTTACTGATTTGGAGTACAGAATTATGTTTTCTCAGGCTATCCAGTTGGCTATATTTTACACAGGGAAATATGCTAAGATTTCGAGTTACGAAAATTAACGGAAATGCGTTACAAAGCGTATCGTTGCGGTTACCCCTATGTACAGTCTGCACAGCGTTTGTCATTCACAATACCCACAAAAATCTTTGCGCATGCTAGAGATGGGCATCGGGTCGGAATATCCGATCCCATCCGATCCGATCCGAAATTCGGATCGGATTTTCGGATAACAATCCGAACGAATTCGGATTCGGATGGGGTCGGATTCTGAAGTTTCAACCTCGGATCGGATCCGGATTTCAAAACGATACCGGAAAAAAAATCCGACTGCCTTTTTTTAACGGGAAAAGTCGCTTAAAACAGTCGATCTCCAGACATTTGCGTTACCTTCTCGCCGTTGCGAGTATTCTGCTGCATACAGCAATTCAAGGAAGGGCACAGCTATTTGCAACTATAAACGGTTGCAGGCTGCAGTAATTAAACTTTCCACATTTTACAGACTTTAAGCGTTTATAAATTTTAAAGATTTTCGAACTGCTTTAAATTTGGCGCTCAGAAAGTATCATTGGCAAAAATTTCAATGCAATAGGCCATAGAGCACATAATCGAATGAACTCCATAAATGCTCGAACATGCACAGAAAGCAAATTTAAAGCAAATATGAAGTAAAAGTGTTATTCACACTTTAAAATATTGAAATGCCGTTTATTATTCAGTCATTCAGCTCTTAATAAGATTTTACCATATGCAGTATTACGATTGTGCTTGCTGCTCTTTAAATACAATTTTTAATGGTAAAAAATAATATTAAAATATTCAAGTCGGATTATCCGATCGGATTCGGATATCCGACAGTCGAATACGGATCGGATTCGGAAAGCAGAAAAGACAAAAGGTCGGATGCGGGTTGGATTCGGATTCCTCAAAAATTTCTCGGATCGGATTCGGATTGTAAAATTGAATCCGATGCCCATCTCTAGCGCATGCTTTTGGAAGTTTAAGAAACCTGCGCCCCCCTGGGGGTGTCCCCCTCACTCCACCCCCAGGGGGCGTCAATCTTTAAAATTCCACTATTTTAGGCTCTGGACTCCGATGACAAAGCTCATTACACTACATACTTGTTCAAGCAGCGAAATAAAGATACTTCGTATGGAATGTTCAGTAAAACCCATAATGCTACAACAGTATCACAATCCCGTACAGTTGGCTTCCACAACATAAAACGGTCTGCAAGTCACATTGAAAAAATCACATGTAATCAAAATCGAAATTCATCGCAAGAATAAATATAGCGAAATATTTAAAAATCCGCAAACAAGTTTTGCAGGTTCGCACCTATGCAAACAGGGTAGGAAAACCCGCAATGAAGTCAGACGGACGGTGTTTCACGTGTTTGTAAGAGATACCGGCACATTGTGTTCGATCTCTGCACAATGTGCGGAAGAAAACCTCATGGTGTGTCAGAAAATGGCGATCAGACCTTTCATGAAATCGATTGGGATGTAGAAACTAACAAGAGACTATACTGCATATCTTACGTACAAAATGGTAACCAAGTTGGACCCCATAAGTCTTACGCGTACGTAAACGGTGGCGCTGGCGGAAGGGGGGGAACCACTTTCACTATAACCTAGATCTTGCCCAGAGAATGACACTAACTGCCACCGTGCTGTTCCGCAACGGCGTGTGTCTATCCCTAATTATTGTAGGAGACGGCCGAGACGCTGCACTGGGAAGGGTTAGCCCGAATGACAATCTGGCAGACTGTTTCTTGTTTGCCTACGTATGCCTTAGTGGATTCCTCGCATGTGCCTGGTTGCCGGAGTTGATGACGGTGTGCGAAGAGTTGGGATTGATCAACTTCACGGTTATGCACTTACTCACCCAAAAAGCGGCCTGGATACTGCGCTCAGCTCGTGCATCTGCGGTGTCCGAGAGAGCGTTGATGCGAAAGGATTATTCAGACGTTAGGCCATGCCCAGTGATCGTTCCGTGCCTGCGCTTTCGTTCCGAGGAAACTGCAGATGAGCATGCCCGCAATCTGTTAGCCGCGGTCAATGACCAGTGTCCGGCCGCCAACCAGCGGGTGTACGAAAACGTCACGGCGATGCATGAGCGCTGGGTACCGACACTGGCATATCCGGGTGAATGGACCGACATTCGAATTTTTCTGCAAATGTACGTATTTGTTCGTGAGAAGCCTTAATAATAAGTTTTTTACATCCAATCGAACTTCTCGGTATTCGAATCAAGCCAGTGCAGTATTGACAATCCTTTAGCGTTGTCGGTAGGCGGTTAACTTTTACCCGATGCCACCCCACAGCGATGGGATGCGATGGATCTTCGCCAACTGGACATTGCAAGAATGACCAATATCACCTTTCACTATGCAGCATTTGAGTGGCTGTTCCAAGACTAGAACAGGGCGCATTTCACGATGGTCTCCGTTTCAGTGCATCTTAAATTTCGAAGGTCCATTAACTCCATTTTTTACTTACCAGTACGAAATAGTATTGGATCACATTTCGTATTTGTCCAGCGGAACGAAATAATTTTTTGTTATGGCCGTTCAATTACGACGCTATACTGTAAGTGCAGATATCTGTCGCGTGGTATTTTATTTAACTTTTGTCTACTGTAGCCTTTTTAGTTTTCTGCGCAGAATTTTTGGTACCGTGTCATGGACCCATGGTTCATAATACTCAAAAGTGCTGATGTGAATTTTCTATATAAACTTCATGATTCATAATGCCTCTTTTTTGGCGCAAACAATATCTTTGCTATGGCATCTAGACATAAAATTTAGTTACAGAAATAATGGTAGAAGTGCGCAAAGTCAAACGCTGCACAGTGCTTCCCAAACAACGACCGTTGAATGGCGTTCGATTGTTATTCGGTTTTGTTACTATTAGTTAGGCCATTACGGAGATTGAACACACCATAACGAGAAATGATATGTTTATAATTTTATATAGTTATGTCTATGTTGGTATGTGTACTTGCGAATATGCATTGCAAAATCACATAAAGTGGCAACAAATGATTTTATAAAATAATAAGAGTTACCTTGTGTAACTGAACAATGTGGCAATATGGCGAACTGAACAGCGCGGCGATTATTACAGTAATTCAAATTACTTCACATACTCCTCAAAGACTGTGCGCTAACTGCACCACAAACAACGGTCCGGAGATCGCAATAAAAAATCACATCATGCGGTAATCACACATACAATGAAAGAATAAATAAATATAACAAAATATTCATAATTCGGTAAACAATTTCTGCGGGTTCGCACCTATTCAAACAGTGAAGGAACACCCGCAATTACTTCAGACGGACGGTGTTTATATGCGATAAACAAGTTCTGAATTTGTGCCGGACTAATTTGGGGATTTTCGGAGTGCTGGAAAATGGCTTGCAGAAACTGTTGCACTTGTTCGTCAGTATACTGGCGATGGAAGTTACGGAAGATACGGAAGTTCTGCTGGCGATGGAAGTTACGGTCCATTTGCTCCACTTGGAACTTGGTGGCATAGTCAAAGAGCTGATGGTGATCAATGCGCCCGGAATCGATCAGCGTTTTGTCCACACTAAACATTATGTGGCTATTACGAAAGTTTGTTCATAAAATATTGGACAACTTTTTGATCTTAAATAGACTAGAGTAGGTGTAAACTCGATTTGAATCCGGCCATTATATAATATTAATAATAATAACAAGCAAATTTAGTTGAATTTAAGTAATGGCAATGTATAGTTTGTTTCCTATTTTCCGGTTCAGAAACAGAAAAAAGGGGTGTGGCTTATACGCACCTTTACACAGAATGAGAATGCCTCGCTCTTTGCATTCACATAAATACATCTATTCAGGTTTAAAATCAGTGGGGAGCAGTAGTACTGAACCAGTACAGCAAGCACAGTGCGCATATGACCACACTCGCTACAGTATAAAGTTTGAACCAAAGTAGGAAAAAGGCTGTAGTTAAATTATTTAAATGGCTTTTTAGTATGATGGTCGAATAAAATTATTATTTACCGGTCAAGCTTGCTGGTGGTCAGAACGATAATTCTCCCATCAGATAATCCTACTCCATCCGCAACATTCAACAGTCCTCGAAAGGTCAGGTTAGTGTCGGCCACATTATCGATCGCCGCGTCCACATTCTCTATCAAAATAACTGCATCCCTCGGCGCATCGTCCACAAGGCGCCGCAATACGTCATCCGTTAACGTTCTATCACCGAGACTGATAACACAGATATCCCGGTTTAAATATCCGGCTAGCGCTGTGGCAAAGCTGGTCTTGCCGGTGCCGGTTGGGCCGTGGAACAGATAGCGGCGTCGATACGGAACATGCTTCTGCTTGTAATATTCGGCGTTGTCAAGAAACTCTTGGACATCATTGATTATTTCTTCGGCGATGCTATAATCCAGACTAACGGTGTCCAGTGCACGTTTTATAATTCCTTTGGTCGGCTTCACCCATTTATAATCCTGGACGGTATACACAAAAGTGTGGTTCTGGCTTTTTATCGCGTGGAATCGCTGCACGTCGTCCTTCATTTTCCGGAAGACGGTGGTGTCGGAGCCGGTCGTGGTGAGACTGAGGCTTTCCTGTCCTCGTTCCAGAGTGATTTTCTTTCCCTCATACCTAATCTCCAAAGCTTACATTACGAAGAGTCAGACATCTTTCTCTGTTGGCTGGTATACGGCCAGTGCAGCGCACCATGGTGCATAAGCTATGATTCATAGAGATAAGAACGGGTATGTTAAAAAACGGAGCTCTGCAGCGCGGTATCTCGAATACGTGCGGTATAAGTTGCTGTCAAATATTACCACGTATTGGGACTCTGATGCGAATTGTATCAAGGCAAAACTCTCGAGTGCGCAACAACTCACGCACTGATTTGTGTGTCAGACAGATTCACTGATAACGCTGCGCGCATTGGTCAGATGGAGAATCAGTTGCTGAATTGGAAAACCGAGCTGTTGAGCTCGGTTTTATAATTCGCGCTTACATTCATGACCGCTTGTCAACTCTTTAAAATTATCCTGCGCTGCTAATAAACGTTCGTAGTGATCCAGGCTGCATTAAACTGTATGTAATTACGCTGTACTTACTGTACTTCGTCATTAAGTTTTAAGATAATAAGGTTTAATTAATTAACTTAATAATTAGTAATTGAGCGAAAGTTTGATGATCTAACTAGTCAGTCACGCCTAATTAGGACATTTAGCACCTAATTAATTAGCGAATCTGCCACTAATTAGTAATTGCGCACCTGGTTTTTTTAGCACCTAATTAGCAAATTTATTACACATGAAGAAAATATTAATATTACATGTCATTAAGCTATGTGAAATTATTTTTCTTAATAAGTTTGCGCTTGTTATGTTGCGTTGTCCATGGTAGTGAACGGCACTGAAGGCCAATTTATTGCAGAATTCACGGTGCTGTCAGATTTGGTGTTTATTTCTACGAGTGTATCCGTTATCACTGGTGGGAAAATTTTTCAATTTTTTTCTCTTAGTCATAGCGGAAAGATGAGTAGCCGATACGTGCGCAGCAGTCGTGCCGCAGATACAAACGGGCTGCTGATATTTGACAGTCCTAATAGTTGTTTTGACCATTCAGAGCATAGATAAGCTCCGGATCGTGATGACACACGTTACCAGTCGTTTCTACTGCGCATAATGCACAAAAAACCTACATAGGCGTTGGAAGATACCCGAATGTCTGAATCTGAGCATTATTTATTATCACACTGTGTATTAAAGAGAAGCGGTATGTCAACAGATTCACAGACACATGGTGATATGGTAATAATTTCGTATACTCTGTAAATCCACTGAAATTGCGCTTTCACGTACCGCCGAGACAACTGATTGCACTGCGTTTTAGCGCACGGCAAAATAATTTGTATAATGCAGAGGCGCTTTCTATAATGAAGAATATGGAACAATATTTCCCGGTATGTATGCGGTACATTGGCACGAAACCGTTTGTGCTTGCAACTTCCGGTTACAGAGATAAGATGGGTACATTAACACACAGGAAGTTTAAGCACGATAACGTACACCAAACCTCAGGTTATCTTGTTGTCTTCAACCGATGCTGTAAACATTAAATAATAGCACGTAAACGCGCTAAGCATAAAAACGCGTTCACGGCATGTAGCGCAGTCAAGGAATAAAAAAAGAATTTCAAATTGTCTTAAATTCTATTTGATCTGGAAAAAGGCGATAAAACTGGCTTCGATTTGACCTCGGTTTTAATTACGTATCTTCTACAGACTGTAGATCAGAGTTTCTCGAATACCAGATGAAAGCCTGACGTGGTGCAAGACAATACGTTCAAAGTGTTATTTGTTTGTTTTACTGTAGCCGCCCGCACAAGTTAGACCACAGAGTCGGTATACGGGGAAAAAGCACAGCAAATATACCTACTCTAACCGGGCAAAATGCACGGCTGCCGTACCAAGCAACCATTTGATTGTCAGTGATTATTTTTTCTTGGAAAACTGTTAGAACGTCTGAGAACGTAGTCAAAAAGCCGCGCATTTTGCCCGGTTAGAGTAGGTATATTTGCTACGCTCTTTTCCCGTATATTGACTCTGTGGTCTAACTTGTGCGGGCGGCTACAGTAATTCGGAGTGCGCGAAACCAGGAGTTTCAGTTTTCATTGGATGTATACGCTACCTGCACCATACGCTCCAACCAACAACTAATTAAAAAATCCTAAAACTTGCACGCGATAAATATTTACACAAACTTACTGGAATACATGCTTTCCGGTGTCGGTAAGAAACTCACAAACGCTATTTCGGGGTTTCTTTTTGCCCTGCCAATAACAGCTCTGCAGGCCGACATGTCGTGGTCCTTTGTGTTCTTGATACCAGTCCAGAATCAGACCGTACATTGGACCGTGGCACGGATTGCCACGGAACTTTCCAGGCCACTGTAAAGTGAGACTGGTGCACCTTCCATCCATAATTCCACACGCACTGCAGCGCCGCCACCAGGGTGACGGCACTCAGGACGCCAAAGATGGTAGACACGACAGAATTGGTGCCGGCAATGCCGTTGATGTAATCGCTGATGTGAAAGTTGAAGTGCCGTAACAACCGCTTGTCCACATACGGGAAGATCACGATCAGCAAACCGGCCAGTCGCAGGCCGCCGCTGATCTTATTGAATCCTCGAAGCAAGCCGTCCAACGCCATGACGAAGTCCATGAACAACTCAACTGGAAACCCAAATAACTCAGACATAGGACATAGTCTCTACGTTTTGGATTATTCGAATTATGACGACTTTCACCGTATTTTTAATAATGCATACTAGTAAATACAGTCTACAGACCAAATGCTAACTTCTGCCGGTGGAGCTGCGCTGCGGAAGTAAGGATGCTTCGTACGGAAATCGCATGACACAAACAGCGAATAGCTAGTAAAGTGGGCGGAGTCATGAACAGAAAACTGGCTCAACTTGCCACCAGAAAACGTGCAAGGGTATCAAATGAGATTCAACTAGGAAAATAATTTCAAATTTTCACCTATAAGGCTGCCGGTTACCGTGATTTCACAACACAATATAATTATAATTCGACCAGCACTGCACTATAAATCTGTTATCAAAGCAATAGTAACTGTGAGCCTCGTTGGTACAGAAAAGACATGTGGATTTATGTTGTATTTATAGAAGTACCGACATATGCATATTTTATATGCACTACATACACATTATTTTCCGGAAACGTTACTTACAAGAGCACAGCCCAAGATGAACTACGTAAATACCACTTATTCATCAAAGTTTCATTGGACAAATGCAAGGTGAGTGCTGGAACAACACTGCAAAAAACCATCTCCAACCGCTTTATGATGGCAGATCGGATTTCTTCGTTTTGAGCGTGTTCTTTCCTCAGTCAGATGTATTAATTATTTACAATACGCGCTGTAATGTGCAGCACCCAGTAAATATGATCAAATAAAGAACTTGTCTCAGTTGACATGAGAAGGGACTGTGCACAATACACTTATAGCATTTCCACGCACAATCTCCAAACTTAATCGTTGAAACAAAAACAAGTGGAACGACTCTCGCCCGTCAATCAGATATCGAGGCTAGCATAACAATTCGAAGAACTCTCGATGTACCCTACCTTGTTTACTGCGAAACGTAACCGTTCATTTGTCAGTGGTAAGTGTAAGTTAGTGATAACTTAAAACCAACGTTGTACTCAAGGGGCTTTCTTGTATACTAACAGTAAACAGCAAAATGAGTGCGGTATTGGTTAAACATGAAGCACTGCTTTGCTAGCACAGATGCGACTGCTATAGCATCTGCATACTGCACCCAGTTAATATCGTGCGTAAACAGTGTTATCGGGAATGTAAATATTTTAGTCGAGCAGTTAGATAGCATTACGGGATACATACAAATGATACGATTATTACAATACCGTGTAGCAATTGATGTACCGAATACTTGATTTAGCACAGCGCTCAGTGTTGGTAAACTTCTTTTATGAATATGTGTAAGAGCACGGTCGTCAAAATGGTAGCATCCTGTATGAATCTGTCAATTAAGATTGTGTTGACAAGGATTATACCGTGCCAAGCCCAATTAGTAAAATTTGATATATGTTTGTATGCCGGCTTAGCTTACCATTCGTGTAGCAAGGAGAGACCCAAACTGCATCCGCTGGCCAACTACAATTTTTTGGAAGACAGTTGCCTTGATGCGAGCTCGTATTGTTTGTTTCTGCGCCGATGTCCAGCTCAAGCCGGAAATGTAGCGGGCATTTTGCCCACTTGCCGTCCTGACTCTATGATGGGATAGTCGAGAACAATAACAGCTTGTACTGTACCGTTATTTACTGTTCCTGATTCTGGTTTGATAAGCACCGATCCGGGCAATGCGCTTCAATGTATGTACTTCCACGTAGCAATTTTTCACATCACTCTGGCACTCAGCTTCTTTTTTGTGCCTGCCGTTCACTATCGACAGCGCAGTACGACTCGTACGAGTATTCCTTCTGCGCAGCAGTTCGAAGTCGTCAGAACAGGTGGTTTCTTTTTGACTACTCGTACAGAACCATGAACGCCGTCTTATAAGCCTTTTTACTGCATTAGAGAACATGATATCTTTGCAGTTGCCAGTTGCCAAGTGTACCCAGTAAGCTGCCAGTGCAGGTGCCACTGCCACTTTTTGCACCCTGCCCGATTGCAGACTTGGTGAATTGCCACAGGGATCGATAATTTTGTGTCTGATAGGCAGCACTGCCCGTAAGACATTTTGTGTAATGTGCATAACTGCATATACAGATTCACAAGACCGATTGCTGTCCGTTCGGGCAATAAAATTTTAATAATAGACTAATAGACTAACAACAGAATGATAAGTGTTGAGCATGAGTCATGACAGCAACGCTGTGCTTGCACACGATGCTATAAAATACTGCACCCAAACCAGTATTGCGCATAAATAATGTAATATTATATTTTAGTCGATTGTTATAACACATTCGCAATACAGATGATTATTAGAGAAGCACTGGATACTACAAAACTAGATATATACCCAGCACAGAGTTGCTAAACTTGCCGCTTTCAGTAGTCCGCTCAACGTCAGGTAAGTATCAACATTTTTCTTGACAGCAGCAGTATTTTCTTCTTGACCTTTCCTTTCTTTCTTGCCCGATAAGGTGCACCGTAGTCCGCATTCCATTCCGCCGTGTCAAAAAACTCCTGGATGTCCGCGATGATCTGCTCGATGATGCCGTGGCATGGAACCCAGATAAATGGAATCCAAGGGGCGTTTACGCTTTCCGCTGTCACTGGTCGGCGGTCAGTTGCCGTCTTCGTTGATGTGTAGCATACACAGGCCCAGAGTAGGTGTAATTTTCTTATCCTTAAACCTACGACACCAAGGGAAGTGTTTGCTTGCGTATATAAGCCTGATGGTTTAGGCGTCACGGTAGCTTTTGGTTCACAAGAGTACAGGATACCAATCGATACTAGTGTGCCGATAAATAGCTTTTGTTACCAACTGCGTCGACAACTACAGAGACGTTCGCTTTCTCACATTACAGAACAATGTTTTTGCATTCATCTGTGTCGTTTTACAGTGAAACGTTCTACAGCGAAATAACAATAAATACTCCTACGCGTTGGCCTGAAAGTTTTTATAATGGCAGCATCCGAATGCCCAGATCTGGGCTGCTAAAAAATGGACAAAACGTTGATGTCCAACGCTGGTGCCACTACCTATGACAAGAAATCGTTATTTTCACTACAAGAAAGATTAATGGCTGTACAAAGTACAGATAGCGATGGTTGGTCGTTTCACATCTACCGCCTAACACTACTGTTGTACACTGCTACTAACGCTACTAGTACTACTGGTGGATTTTATCGAATTAATGACCGCCCTATAGAGCCAGCAAACCCCCGAATTTTGCCACTTATATTTTAACTTTTTCACTGGAAGTACAACATCACAGCTTGGTTCACTAAATACAGGACCTGTATTTAGTTAGTGTCTTGTTTACTTCGAATCAGCCAAACAGTACCTTGTCGCCAGCAATAGACATAGCCGTTTACTTACTTGCCACGTGCAGTCATTATTGCTGAATGATGATGCTGTAGTACGTACAGTGCACGATCAAAATTATTGATTTCAGCATGTTAAAAATTGATGATAGAATTGTATTCCGATAAATAATTTTTGTGTTTGATTTGCAACACAGCCGGGAAGATATGATACGTACGAGTAAATCATTCCAGTGCTGTTTTGTACTGCGCTCAGCAATCCGCTGTCAGTGGGTCCTTTGTGCACAGCACAATCGTTATCTCCGAATAACTGAGTGTGCCAGGCGCTGATGACCTACAGTGCCCACTGTTCTGTACTGATTGTATCTGTATGTAAGTGTAGATGAGCATTTTTTTTTCGTAAAACCGTCACAAATTTAAACGTCATAACTTTGAATGATGAAAAGCTAAATCGTAATCACCCCCTTTATGACTGAGGTGAATTTCTTAAGTTGGTTACCTGATAGAAGACATACTTATCATTTCACAGAAAATGACCTCCTCCAAAAGAACGAAAAACCAATTTAAAGGAAATTATTTGTGACGATGAGCCATGCTATCCATGCGCATGTTTAGCGGTGCCGACTTTCACCGACTTATTCGATACCGCACAGTTGTACAGTTCAGCGGTGCATTTATCGTGCCGGATACAAATGCCGGCAACGAGATACTGTATATTATGATATCAACCATGAAAACCGAAGCTTTGTTTATAAGAGAACACAGCGTACATGTATTAACAATTGATAAATGCAACATTAATTTGCCATAACACGGCTACCTGTCTCCATGCACGTACAGGAGACAGGTTTATAATGAAACGTGACTGTATTTGCGACGAAATTCGATTAAGTAAAATAACAAAAAGTGGTCAAAAGGTTGCAAATCGGAAACTACTAGCACTGCGTTGGTATCAGCAAAACAGAAAAATCTGTAAGCTACTTGTTATCGGGGAAATGCTGCCGAATACGACACACCGCCGAAATCACGTATTCCATCGCATTATGGCTCATCTGGGCTTCCGTTGAATCTTCACCGAATAACAAAGCAAAAATATCCTTTCCTTCGTTACCAATATCCACGATGCTGCAGCACGCTTGACGAGCCAAAGTATCGAGCTCTTGCTTAGCCGGCCTCGAGAGCTTGCTGACGCCATGTAGAATTCGATTCTCCAACGCTTCTGCGGTAAACTTCGCAGCGGAAACCAGCAAAAAGGCGCGCATATCAGCATACTTTGGACAAACGTTCCTGAGGACAATAATACCAGGAATGAAGGATAAATATTACGACTGCAAGTTGCAGTCGTCTAAACTAATTTCATTTAAATCATTATGCAACTAACGTATTTTATCATATCAGTATATGCCCCCTCCCACCTCTAAAGAGCTGGATTTCCCGAAATACAGGCCCCTCCCATACCTTTATGAAGTTATTGAGTTCACCCCTGAAATTGTGTACCGGGAACTCAATTGCCTTGCAGCAGGTTTTCAAAAAAATTTCGCGTTTTTTGTAACTTTTTGCACGATTTTTGCTCAACATTCGGGAACTTTGCGGATTTTTCACACGAAAAGCTTCTCGTGTTTTTCGTAGCTAATATGCAGCTGCGCCAGGATTTTGAGGAAGATCAATCAGCAACGAAAACCTTTTAAAACCTCTCGTCCCCGAAATAGTGTCATCCTCCCGAATGAATTACGAAAATTTAGTAACCCCGGAACATCAATTGTTAAAGCATGGTACATTAAATCGCTTTAGCCAGAAATTTACGGTTTGGAAGTGCCCAAAGTTACCTGACACAGGTCACAAACTCCCTCATCATCTTCCAGCCATCTGCAAAGCGGTTTTCATTGTAGTGCTTCTCCGCTAACTTCCAGCCGCAGATAAATCGGAAGTGCGCATCGGGCTGCAGGATGCCGGCAGCGTCCATCTCCTTGCAGAGCTGCATGATCATGGCCTCGTGTTGCTCCCGCGGCTGGCTTGTCTTAATGGCCTCGTGCTGCTGCAAGAAACCGCGAAACTGCTTCAATCGGTGACCGTTGAGGGCGCCGCATTCCGCGCAAGGTGCCAGTGCTCGGCTGTCGCTCGGAATCCGATTGGTACATCCGACCGTCACGCATTTCAGTGAGTTGATGTCGGCATCCTAAAAATACACAGGTCTGGTTACGCTACAAGTGCCAATATTTGTCTGCAAGATGCTGATAACGCACATATTCTTCCGAGCATCTGCGACAAGTACACGGATATTTGTGGCGTCCTTCAAATTCTGCACGCCGCTCGGCTCGCGTCATACAAAATGCTTCTTCCATTTCGCTGTAGCGCAACTAGAAGAACATTAATTACATTACAACAGTAAATGGTATGTAATTTCACTTTCTCGTTTTCAGTCACCTAAAGAGTGCAGATAGGTATACCGGTACGTTAACATAAAAAGCTTGAAATAAGAAAAGAATGTGACTTGAAAGTAACGCTCAAAATTTTTTCATTTCAGAAAAAAATGGGTTTGTTAGAAATCAGCAAACCTGGACGACCCGTTAACGACTTCGGAATTATTGTAGCCGCCGGCACAATTTGCACCGCCGAGTGAGGAATACGGATATTTAGACCCACAATGCTCCCTGTTCAGTGCAGCGTGTGCAGGGAGAAGGCAACGGCCGGATCTGTCAGTGGTGCCACTTGTGCGAGCGGCTACAGTACAGTACCTTTACTGGTGCAATGAAAAAAATACGGGAAAATTCAAAGTACTCGAAAATAGGTGACATGCTATTCGTCGATGAAAATTCGTCGATCGTCACTAAGCCAAATGTCGACCCATCATGAAAATCTAAGGGTATAATAATTTTCTTATGTGTCCAGATTCCTAGTATTCTTAGCCATCGCGCTCATAACGGTCGAGGTTATGACGGTCGACGAAGTGTTAGTCAGTGCGCGCTGCGCATAGTGACAGTAAGGCTCACATCGCGAAGCCCAGTATACTGCGGAATGTCTTCCACGGCATGAATAACCAACCGTCGACCGCGGCGGTTCAGCTCCACATTGATATCCATGCACACCGGCGTCATTCGTCCCACCGGTGCTTGCGCATACACCGCTCTACCGATCGGTACCGTAGTATCAGGCGAATCAAAAATATCCACACCGTTATACATGAGCATTCCACAGTAGGTCATTATGTCCGGGCTAGGAATACCGAATGTTGTGGAATTTTTCGAATCCACACTACAATGGAGGAACCGCTAAAGACGTGGCACACCAGCATGGAGTTTCAGCTTACTTTGGTTGCATAAACTGCACCATCCGTTCGGCTCGCGGTTGCGATGGATTTGTGGGGAACGTGAGCAGAATATCTTTGACAGATTTGGGACCAATCCCCGGGATGTCTATCATCGTATTCTTCTGGAGAACCATAGCAGTGTTAACAAGATCACACCATTTCAAGAGTATTCGAACTTCCACATCATAGAGAATACTGTACTTCAAACGCATTTGTAATTTACACAAGAAATTCTCATTCAGATTTCATCACCGCACGATACTGCGCATAAATAATTAAATGATCTTTTTACAACCACAAAGCATTCAACTCGTTTTTCAAACCTAAAAATATTCCAGAAACAAGCAACAACCATTCTGCTTCTTTCTCACTTTATTTATCAAATCAAAAACATAGTATACAAATACGGAGAAAAACAAAACAGCCCAAACTATAAAAGAAAAAATTTCGTTTCGTATCATTCTGATCTGCGTCCGAGTAAATGCAACACAAGCGATTGTTTGTCAAGCGGGATCGAAGACGTTTCAAAAATATCGCGTTACGTTTCCGCACTATCGCCTGATGGATCCTCATTCCTCCATGACATGAGTTTTGAGTAACACGAGCTTACACTTAACCTAAAACGTCCCGAGGACCGTTATTTACTTACCTTGATTTTATTAGCCAATTTCCCGGTCAGATCCGAAGATACCGCGCTGAACGTGAAGAGGTCTACGGGTGGGGGCGGCGGAAGGGCGGTGGTGTTCGCTGCCAGGGAACCCGCTGGTAAGCCCGCTTTTAATAGGGCATTCACTGTACCCAACGGATCTGTGCTAACGAGATCCTTAAGCATAGCGCATTCCAGCTTGTGTTCCACCTTCCAGTCGGCGGTCTACATCCAGCCAGACCATTGGTAACGCTTTTAATAAGTGAGTTGCAAAGGCGCACTCATACCAGCATGCGTATTCGCCATTGTTACGATTTTATACCTACACTGCTGTTTTACAGAAAGCTATCTGTAATACGTAAGCACCGTACCTGGCAAGCAGAATTGCAGTAACGGTGCAGTTGGCATCCCGAACATGTGCGTAATTCTGGGCTTTTTCGAAGGCAGTAGGCACAGTGTGTTTTGTAGGCGCTCCTTTTCAGCATCCACACCAGTGGATCGCAGGACATCACAAGGTCGCCAGCAGAAAAAGAACGGATTCCAGCCGATTTTGTTTCCATTTTCACTGACACCGTCAACCACAAGGCATATCGATAGCGGACAATTACTGTGGATAAAAAGTGCTTCACAACATAGAAGTCCTGGTGTTTTGCGGTGCTGTGCAAGTATGATCTGAGTCATCTGACATTCTGACCGTAAAATGAGCAGCACAGAGACTGGCAATGAACCTCAGTGAGGTAACCTAAATTACGGGCACGATCAAACACGCGCAGTCGCTCTTGCGCAGCACCGAGCACGTATGACATTCAAGACATTATTGTAGTCAAAAATTGAACCGACTGCCCGCGTCCTTACACACTTCGGTAATAGCATGTTCTGCTCACCATGAAATGCGTATTAAAATAAATCATCAACCAAGTTACTTACATTTCTCGCTCACGGGAGGGCGGCTGCCATGGTGACAGACACGCGTTATTGTGTGTTTTCTCAGCAGAGTCCTTTTCTCTTCTATTTCGAATTCGGGACCCCAAATATGGTTTTAAATATTTAGTACGATGTGTTAAAACGTCAGAAAGCCTTTGATGAGAAAGAAACTTGAGAATATCTTTAAAGAGAAGAGCAAATTTGAGAAATTATGGCAAGCAGTAGCACATAACTGCTTTCTGGCTTTTCTGTAGTCGATCGTTGCGCAGTCAATTCCCAGTCCCTACAGGAGTTACAGCGACTTACTGCTGGTGTACCGTGTACCTAATAGCTTTAGTAAGTTCTTGCGTGTTTTTATTAAACAATTTGCACCCGAAGTTATAATTAAGTACTACTAATCAAGCTTGATCCATGGCCATCCAGTATATCTAAAATATCTTGTAATATCTGGAAAATACATTGGAAATGCAATTTCTATTTTGGTCCATTTAAAAGTGACTGCAGGAAGTTGATTTATTTAATTTCTTTTGTTGGGAATGGTTGGGCTGATAATACCTCTCTACTGTGTAAGAGCACTTCTTTTGATATTCAGTCATACCTGCTTGGGTAACGCTTTTCGTTAATAATAGATTTGGCGAAACGATGACCATTGCCAAACAAATGCAGCAGTACATTTATAAATTCAGTACGTGTATTAGATATAGTATATTTACGGAATACTTAGTTATAAATTGTGATTTGTGGTTACTGGTTTTAGGCTTGTAGCTATACGAACACAGTCATCATACCGATCAGTTCGGTTTGCGAACGCCTACTCCAGACGTGGGAAAGTTTGTAATGGAAAGCCGATTTCTTCCGGTACAAATTAAGGCTGGGCTGCACATCCCGGCGTACTGGCCAAATAGGGAAATTGTTTAGCATAATCGGTGCTTAATTTGTGCCATGATTGTACGAATGAAAATGTACAGCTAGATTTATTTTAAAGAAGATGAAGGCAGGAATAGCAATAAATAAATGTTTACGCTGTGGTTGCATTCAAAACTGCAAATGGCGGTAGAAAATATTGATCGCATAAAAACTTAAACTGCAAAACGCGGCGATGAACAATAAGAAGCTAATTACTCGTTTCGCAATAAATTTTGTGCTCATGGGCCATAACAGAAAAGCCTGTCGTATGTAGATCGGTCTAACCGAAACTTTATAGCTATCGGCATGAGTACAAGACACAAATATCGGTCAAAGTACCGCAAAAGCACAATTTACGCTACATATTTATTAGTGCGCATTTGTGGAATAGCGACACAATTAAATTTTCTTGTTATTCCTCCTAAGAAAACAGTGCTGAAACGCCCTGAATTACTTCCGCCGGATTGCGCTTGTATGAGATAAATAGGGCCTGCAGTTGAGCCGGACTAATTTTGGGTTCGGGACGGTCAAAAACCGTCTTCAGAAACTGCTGTACTTGATCATCAGTGCACTGGCGATGGAAGCGGCGGTACATCTGTTCCACCTGGTAAACGGTGACGTAGTCAAAGAGTTGATAGTGGTCGATGTGCGTGTGTTGAGGACTAATAAGCGCTGCAGCCACACTAAAGCAATAATATATCGATGTAAACACTTATAATATTATTGGATTAATTTGAAAATGGTAATTTCTGTCTGCTGATAAAACTCTGCCGTGTATATAATCACGTAAACAGACGACCTTTAAATATTCATCGCAGACAAGGCATCGTTTTTACAGTAGGCTAAAAAGTATGTAAGTGCGCCGAATTTCTACTTCCCTCCAGTTTTTTTTCTGTTTTTCTTAGTAATTTGTAATGTTATAAATCGACGTTTGGTCACATTTATAGCCTTACCGGTCGAGCCTGTTGGCCGTCAAAAAGATCAATCGTCCATTTTTTAACTGTCCCACATCCAGGGCATTCAGTAGTCGCAGAACGGCCAGGCCGACGCCCTCAGGATCACCAAATGCCGTATCCACATTCTCCATTAGAATAACCGCATCCGCTGGCGCATCGTCCATCAATCGCAGCAACACGTTATCCGTTAACGTCCCATCACGGAGATTAAGCAGGCAGACGCTCCGGTTGAAATACCCAGCTAGCGCCATTATGAATCTGGTTTTGCCGGTGCCGGTTGGGCCGTGAAACAGGTATATGCGCCGATACGGGACATTCTTCCGCTGGTACCATGCTGCGCTATCCAAAAACTCCTGGACATCTTGAATTAATGACTCAGCGACACCTCTATCGAGAATAACGGTATCTAGCGGAGGTTTTTTATTTCTTTCCTCGACTTCACCCACTGGGAATGTCGGACGGTGTACAGGAAAATGCGGTCCTTGTCGTAGTGGGACAAGAATATTTCACAGACATAGTTCCACACTTGCTGCAGTATCGCCACCAAGGCCACGGCACTGATGACGCCGAATATAACGGACAAGGCATAATGACGGCCGACAAGACGGGTGATATGGAAGTGGAAAAGACGGAGAGGTACGAATACCCTCTCGGCGCACAGGAAGCTTATGATCAACATACCAGTCAGTAGCAGACCGCCGCCGAACTTATGGACTAATCGAGTGACATCGCTCCACACCTCCATGACGCAATTCACTCAACGGCGAAACTAGAAAGTCAGCACGCAGAGCATTTATTGCACTTATTTTACGTTCTGCCGAAAGTAGCTTAAAGTAGATATCCTTTTTTTAGTCAGTGCTGGACCTTTATAATGTATATCCAGTGTTTTTCTAGTGTGGGCTGAATGAAATGAATCTATGGACATAAGGGTCGGGAATACATAAGTCGGGAATAAATGATACGAGTACAAACCTCGTAATTTGCATAACTTGTAATATACGATATTGACTTTTCACCTGTCTCGTGAACGGATTACAAAATTAATAGTTAACATATATTATAACAGTCGGTACGTGCAACTGAGCATCCATAAGGTGTACGTAAATTGCGGTACCTTGTAAAGCATTCGGGGCCCGGGCACTGCAGATTTTCCGGAATATGTGCTAAAGGAAAATCTATGGATAATAAAAACAGAAGAAGCGGATGCTTATGTGAAAATCTCCAAGGATTTCTTAGAAGAAAAAATTACGCAGGTAGTGCTTAGAGAATACAAAAAGGATAACGCAGTTAATTTATTCGTAGCACTTATCATATGTACAGACTACAGAATACCCTATATAAATACACAACACACTACTACGTATTAATTTTGACAGTGAGACTGCCACGAACACAAATATTTGTAGTACGAGATATTATCGTTCCTGCATACATTGTATGCGACAGATGACAGTTGCAGTCGACTGGTGCGCAGCGTGCACCGTACCCGGCAATTGAACAAGAATCCGGACCAGAGTCCACACAATAGTAGCAGTATACGCTGGAAACTGATATCCCTGAAATTTATCTTGCACCTTTGAAATAATTTGTGATAATGAAGCCGAAAGTTAGGCTGACTCGTCTTCGTTATTATTTAAATTGTAGTGGAAACTGGTTTCTACGCTTGGATTCTTTTAGGTTTATCTAATATTTTCATATTTTTAACACTCAGAAATATGAAAATACAACATCCTTTGTACAGACCAACTCGTAATATGCAGCCAGTCGACCAGTGCTGCGGAAGTGTCGGATACGAAAAACGCATGACTACAAACAGCGAATAACTGGTTAGGTGAGCGGTGTTATGAAGCTGGCTTAACCTTCCACCAGAAAACATGCAAGACTATCAGAACGAAATTCACCATATGAAATCCTTCTAAGTTTTTACTAACGAAGCCGCAAACGAGATGGCCTTTTCACCAAATCCGTTGTGCACTTTTTGTCGTAAAGACCTGTATAAACGTTTTCAGTCATACAGAAAGAGCCACTTATATTGTCCGATAATGTGAAAACTGCGCTAGCTAATTTTTTTTTAATTATTAGAATTACGTTGTCGGTCTTAATTCAGTTAAGGCCGACAACGTACAACACGCTTTTGAAAATATATTACGTTTAATTACGGATTGGACAAAAGCTAAAATGTCAGTCTGCAAAAAACTGTTAAAATAACTTGTAATAAACCTGTTAAGACAAACAACGCGATAGTGGTTTACATAATTTATCAAGTCCGAAAAGATATTCCTGTTATGGTGTACAATGTCGGCATCAAAGTGAGCAGGAAGACAACGACTCGCGCTATCCGTTGCACTAATTTTCGCTCCGATATGGCTTCGAGTTCGCACGGAATTTTGGCTTAAAATTTTGTTTTTGATAGTTCTTCAGCGTCTTTTTTCGAATTTTCGAAAACCCTCCCAGCAACGGGCTGTCGAAATCAAGATATAGACTGTCGAAATCAAGAAATCATAAGGTGATGTATCCTCCTTACCAGTTGAATAGCGAATATTTTTGTCGGGATCAAAGCGAAAAATTAATTTTCTCCTTAGTTTGTTAATGACCGTACAAAACTTTATAAAAATTATCAGATGATACTCATGATAGCACAGTACAGTATCTTGGTGGCATACGCCAATAGTTAAATTAACCCTATATCACCGTGGACCAGGAATGAGTCCAGGACGGAAGTCCAGACTGACAGGACTCCGTGTAGTGTAGAACGTGACGTGTTAGAGGAAGAAATGCACAACGCACGATATCCAGTCTACGTTATACACTTTATTAGCGTTCTCTATCGTGAAAACCAACACACTGACGTTCAATGCTCGGTGAGCTAACGTCTACCAAATATCTCATATGTAAACTGCACAGCGCATAGTGAACACAGTGAACAGCAGCCGTCAGCCAATCAGAAAAGAGACACGCCACAGACGGTAATTCCACGGGGAATCCCCAGTGCGTAGTGCAACGAAGCACTCCCCCAACTCCAGTAGCGTCACTAAGGTGGACGCAAGGGAGCCATCGCCTCACATGCCTCTGGGTGGGAGGCTGAGCTCCGTCGAAGCTAATTCCATTCCGTCTCGCTCCGATCGGTGGTCTGTGCGCGCGCTCGTAAACAAAAACAACATCAAATTCTCTCTATTCCTTCTTATCACATAATTCCAAATGCACAATGTGAATTAAAAAGATCTGTATAAAAATACTATTCCATATAAACAGATCAACAGTTATAACAGATCAACAGAAGCAGTTAAATGAAACATGTAGACTAGGATCCTCCGTTGACTCGCGTAGGTCACTGGTCCTGTCCACCGTTTTCCACATCTCTTTGGCCCATTCCGCTCCATCTTGAGCAACTTCACTCCGCTTGAGCATCTCTGCGCATCTTCGTGCGACTTTTCATCACATCAGCTTTTAGGAATAAGGTGCGTATCGAATGTACGTCTTAGGAATACTGCTTCACTTTTGGAATAGATGCGTATCAATTGTACGACTTCACAATGAGATCCGGTTAAGTCATGGAGGGACGTCATATAGACAAGCGAAGTTCGCTTCCTCCCTAGTAAGATCATCTTTCTGATCATGGATGTGCGACATCATCTGGTAAGGTTAATTCAGCATAGGTCATGGAGGAACTTAGCCATTTTTCATCGGCTTTCAAGCTCATCTCAGCTTGCCTCCCTGGTAAAGTTCATCTCGTCGCACAATCCATCTCTTCCGCCTTATTTAGAGAGCCGGCCAAGTGTACCGTAGCTACTCTTAACTAAGATGAGTCGATATATAGGGATGCCGACATAAGCCGTAACAACTCCTATCAGATCGGTTTTTACTGATCCATCATCTCGTTCGACCCATCTCCATCATCTCTGTCTCGCGGTGGACGTTTCCGAGTTTAGCCCGGCTGATTTCTGTCGGAAGTCCGATCAACTGGTGCAGCTGATCCGGTAGGTACGTCCTCGTCCGCTTGAACTCGTAAAACGATGTTTCGTGGACCGCGACCTTTCCCTTGTCGTGAACGTTTGATCGCGTCCAAACGATGTCGTGCATCATTCTCTTCACGTTGCAAGTTCCGATTTTGAGGATCTTCAGCCAATCGTTGTCTGGCGTCCTCATACTGATTCCGGATATTCTGATTTCGAGCAGCTCGTCTGCCCGGTGTATTCGGAACTTTGGAAGTTGTCGGCTGTTTCGGTCCCTTCCATACCAGGTGATCTTCGATGTAGTCATGGACCCGATCTTTCGGCTCGATATACGGCGTGTCCATGGTGTCTCGAATGCGATTGAGCCGCTCCTGGTACTGTGCTTCATGTATCTCATGGAGATTACAATCATCGAATCGCTTCTTGCAAATCGTCAAGCCTTCGTTTGCTTTTCTCGCGATCTCCTGATGTTTCGACGGCATTCCAAGTTTGGCAACCTTTTCCCGGTACACAGGCGGAACTTTCCCCTTCGTAAAGTCCGAAAATAGCTGATTCTGTGTGGGAAAATGGCCCAATCTCGCAGCAAAGACCTTCTGACCGAAAACTCGCGATTTGTAGTCGGTAGGGTCAACCGTCAGTCCAATGGCTGCTCGTGCCGCAAGTACTTTGAATGCCGGATTCACGTTGCGTAGCACAAATTGTGCTACATATAGACTTCGCTCCTTATTTTCTTGGTAGCGGAACTGTGTGAGTCCCGTATTGTCGATTGTATCCAATGGGACTTCCCATAAGCTCAAGTCGAGGAGACTCGGTAAGCCACATTGTCGGATTGGTGTATAACACACCATCGCAGATTCGGTGGTGATCTCCAGGCGACCGAGGTTGCTCTCTCTGAGATCCGTTTCGTAATTAGAATCCCGTAGAAACTCGCGTAGATTGTGGAGCTGCGCATGTATCATCACTGACTGCTCCGATTCAATTTCCAATCCGAAGTAGCGACAGATTTCCGCTCTTTGGGTTTCGATATCATCCATGTCGTACATTTTGCTGATCAACCTGCGTCGTGAATTGTCAAAGCGCGAGTGATCTCTCCGGTGACCATCTTCACGTCGTCGTTCTGGTCGTTCCTGTTGACAATCCGGTTGATATCGATTCTGCGGTTCTTGAGGGCAATTGTGCGATTCGTGAGGGCCTTCCTGCTCACGTCGCGCCGATGTCGATGGTTCAAGATCGCGGTCCAATACCACATTTCTTCTGTGGACAACGTTGTCAGTTGATGATGTTTCCATCGGTTCGTCTTCGTCCATCGTCACAATCAATGGTTCTACCATATGGACCACTGACTTCACTTTCGGCTGTTTTGGTAGAGTATCGTCGCGTTCTCCGCTCAAAGTTCGTTTGTGATTTATCGGGAAACTTGCGAAGTAATTCATATCTTCCTGCCATCCCTTATCGTACGGGCTGCGACTTCTGACAGGTCCCGCTAAGGTTCCTTCTCGTCGTTCCGGTGTGAACCCTCTGACTTTTGGATGACAGAAACCAACTCCCATCGGTATCTGCTGATGTGGTTCATCTCGACGCGTTTCTTCTTGACGAGGTTCATCTCGTCGTCGGTCAGCTGGTATATGGCGACGATGTGCGCTGGTCTCAATTACTTGATCTCCATGGCGCACCCATGATCTGCCGCCACGGTAATCGTAATCGCGCGAGCGTGATCTATCATCTCTTTCGTTATGATAGTCACGGGTGCGTTCACGGGAACGTTCTCTTGACCGTTCATTCCGAGAGTCAT